AGTGTGCTTGTGTCATGTTTCACGTCAAAGAAAAGGAACAAGAGAAGCGCGAGCATCGAAGAATGGCAGGCAGTCATTCGGTAGAATGATTAGACCTCGGCGTCACTCCGGGGCAAGTCCACCAGCGACTGGTCACGCTCCATCACCGCTGGGACACTCCATCTTGCCGCCTAGATTGTCGCCGGTGCCATTGCCGTATGAACTGCTAGTTCGAAAGGACAAAGAAGCGGACTAGAGGCGAGTGGAAAAAAGATCATCCGAAGCAGCGGAGCCAGATTTCGGCGACGACCCGAAAAGAGGCGCAGCTTCAGGATGGTGCCCCGAAGACACTGAAAGGAACCCGGCGATGACCCGGGGAAGGCTCGGCGAACACCAACGAATAGGAAAGGAGACATCGACATTGGCTCGGCGCTGGCGTGGGACTGTCGGCAGCGACCCGAGCAACCACAAGGGTGGCGATGAAGGTACCAGGCGACGACCGAATTTGTTGATGTAACTTAGTGTCCAACTAAAGTCTCAGGAAATCAAGGCTGTGGCCAAAGAAAACTGGAGGAAGGAAACGAGATAAAATACCCGACGGATTTCGCGGTGACACTGACCTGACCGACCTAGGCTACACCGTCAACAGCAAAGACCGAAAATCAGATCGCCACGTGCAAACAAACATGTGAGACTTGATAATTTTTGTACATCTGTGTTTTAGTTTATTACTGCTCTTTTTGCTCCCCTCTTTATATAATATACCTTTACCTCTTTCATCATCGTGCACTTTTTTCTCCTTATCCAACGGTTGGACCCTGAACCGTGACAGCTTGTCACTGTGTAATAGGCATTGCAATTTTGCATATCATGCTTCGTCGCAGTGCACCCTCATGCTGAGGAAAAATCACTCCTCCCAAGCAGAATGTTACATGGTTCCTGAAAAAAAAAACTGTGGCTAGTATATATGATAGCAATATTCTGACAATATCTTTTTAATATTCAAGATTCATCAAGGATACTTGAGTATCGCAAGAAAGCTTTATGAACTGCTTCATATGTTTAGTTTTATGTCAACTCTCATTTAGTTATAACTTTATATAGCTTCTATCTGTGCGATGGCACAGTGAATACAGAGAATTAAAACTAAATTAGCTGGCGCAGTAAATGCAAGCCTGGAAATAACCTGTGGTGGGATTTTTTTTAATAAAGCATATTTACCATAAAAAAAAACAGAAAGAATAAACATAGGGACGGACAGAACAATCAAACTAAATATTTATCGTTTACATGCTGATTTTTGTTGTCATGAAGTTCTGCTTATAAAATGCCATTGATATTCATAATCAAACGACAAAAGCTTTGCATTCTATGTAAATCGCTAGAACTTGAAGAAACCATAAATTTGGGTTCTCAAAATTACTATATTCTATCATTATTTCTGTGGACAATACTATTTGGTTTAAGTTTGATTTCATAACTAAAATAACCATGCACAGAAGTTTCTGCTGTCGTTCATTTATCGCATCTTGTTACGGTGCCCTGTACTTCTATGCATAATTAAATTGTTAACTAGGGAATCTAACCCGCGATGCTGTTGATGCTATCGAAAGATATCACAGAGGCAGAAGAGCAAAGTAGACAAACACATAAATCTTAACATGATATTTGCACTGGTACAAAAATAAAAATGTCTGCTTACGCTGCAAAAGTACTCTTTGCTGCTCCAAAGTGAAGTTTTGGCTGCTCAAAAGGTGCTTCCAAATTACTCCACTGTTGAAGTTGCGAATACCTCAAACAAAATAGTATAATGTGCTCCTGCCTCGTCACAACATAATTAATTGCCTTGCAAACAATATTTCTTATCTTTTCCTGGGATGGGTCGTAGGTTGCTGCTTACCCATCTTGGGATTCTTTCCAAAGTGGTCCCTTTTTTTTTTTTTTTTTTTTCATTCTTACTTGCATTGACTTATCTTGTTCGCATGCCTGTGGGATGAAAACGTTTGGTTAAAGGCCGGCATACAACCTCTGTTTTCTGCAGGGAAGATAATCCTCTTAACGCTCCCCTCTCCTAAGCTGTGAGGGGAGCCAAGTTGGGGCAAGGTAAAAAGTGCAGGAACGAAAGCGCTGCGCCATTGTGCGCCATTGTGCGCCAATCCCCTTTCGCTGCACAATCCTGCTCCCAAGCGCACATGTCGCACCAAAACAGCTAAAAAAGTTTTTTTTTTTTTTTTTTTTAATTTTTTAAGCTATATTTATTGGAGTATTCTTCTTTATGGGCCACAGTAATTTACCGTGTTGTGTTCGTTTAGGTAATTTTAAACGAATAGGCACTCTTAGCAAACAGTTACCGTGTTCTGCACACCGCTCTCCCCCGAGCCTTTGAAGCATGCTTATAAGCGCACTTCCGAGTGATACCATGACTGCGGGGCACGCGCTTAAAAGCTTGTTTCATAGGCTCCGGGAGTGCGGTATGCGGAACACGGTAACGGTCTGCATACCGATACGGTTGTGTCAACGGCGTGTAGATCTGATTTCCGAAAATGGGATATGCATAGGTGGCTTTTTGTCAGAGTACGCATCACTACTCTGACAAACAACAAAATGATGCCTCGAGGCATCGTTTCGTCATTTATTTACTCTTTTTTTCCTTTTGCACAGTGGCACTGAGCATGGCCGCATGTATTGGGGATACCACCTGCACGGGGGCGGGGCGGGCGGGCGGGGGCGGGGGGGCGGGGCGCGGGGCGGGCGGGCGGGCGGGCGGGCGGGCGGGCGGGCGGGCGGCATTAAATTGCATATCTTGCAAAGCCTCGTATGAACGCCCGCCCCCGAGAAATCACTCATGCCGTTTTTTTAATCGCATCCACCACCTGATCTGCGGTATCGGTACGTGACAAATGTGTTTTTTCACGGGTTCCCTCGTGCTTATCGCACAGTGACACGCAAGCATGCCTCATCCATAATTTTCTATTATTTTTTTGTCTGCGATTTGCATGCGCAGTATCAGTTCCCGTGACACCCAAGTTATTAGTGGCCGGATTCTTGCGTGTATACTGCACTGTGAAGCACGAATGCGCTGCGTCGACGTTCTGCTGCCGTACCTGTGACAGGCCGTGTCTATATGTATTGTGAATGAAAAGTCAGTGAGTGTGCAGGCAAGCTGGTGATAGTTAATCATGCTGTTTAAAATGGAGAGTTTGGTGAGGGAAAAAATTAAAAAACTTTAAAGTCGAAGAGTTCCCATTTCACGTAACTTGTATTGTCCCGTGCCCCCTCCCCCCCCCCATTCCCGGCACACACGTACTCGCACCATTTACATTTTTGTTTTGGGTGGGCATTCTTTCAGGACCATATGGTATAGACCGACACGCTGTTTACAAACAAGCCCGCGTTTACCCACGCCAGGTGTGGGCACTGCGCGTGCGCAGAAACCAGATTCGTGTGAAGTTAAACTTCTGCTCATGCACCGTGCCGTCGACAGCGCCACCGCAGCTGCGTGACGTCAGGTCCACGTGTTGGTCTATATAAACATACTTAAGAGCCTGCTGGCATGTGGTCACCTATCTAATCTCTGGGGAAAGCAATAACTACTCTACAACAATTAAACAAATGTTTGGCATAATATTTTCTTTTTTTGCATGTTTTGGGGTCTGTGCTTTTGCTGAGACCTCTTCCGTGCTCCTCATTCATGTCGTAAACGTAACATATAAAAGCGATAATTGGTTGCCTCAGTCATCTGTATATTTTTTTGTAAATGATGTACGGGAAGAACACAGATCTGGCACACAAACAGGAAGCCAGCGGGATGACAAGGAACAGTGGGAATGTCCTGCTGAGCGAAGCAAATTCTAAACCATTGTGCTAGAACGCATCCAAGCGATTGACTTGTGAGGAAAACTTTCCGTTTTATGGTCTTACTTGCTAGTTTTGTCAGTCACTTTTTTTTTATTAAAATCCTAAGCAAGTTTTTCGTTTTTAGTCAGTCATGCCTGTTCCAGTAGGGGTTAATTAAGTGTGTATGTATGAGCAGGGATGGTATAGGTGGTATAATGAAGTTTTCAATGTTTTGCATTTGTACTTCTATCAGATGCAGTAGCTTTGTACTTTGCTGAGTATTGGAGTACTCTTGTTTGCTAAACAGGGACTTGGAACGTTTGTATTTCCTAATAATGAAAACTGTAGTCAGTGTTGTAGTTTATTTCATACCATACTATTGCATCTTGAAATAATTTCGTTCTCAATTTATGGAACTTGTGATTTATGTTGTTAAATAGGCACATTTTGTTTTCAGGAGGCTTAAGTTGTGCTTCTTTTGTTGACTCTGCCTTCTATTGTAAATCCATGAAAGGAACAAACCTGCTGCCAGGACACTTCTCACTAGCTGCCATTCAAATAATTTTATGCTATGGGCTGGAATTTATTTAAGGAAAGGGTATGTTCGGAAATAGTTCTGGAACGTCACATGGAGATGCTTTTCATTGATATTTTTTTGTATTTAGAAAAATGCATCTGCCCAGAGTTTACCAGGGTGACCAGCTTCAAGATTTACTTTTATTGCTATGAAACTCTGAAACTCTACTTTTGTTGCTCCTGAGCTGCTCTAAAGCTGCTTCTTTGTTGCTCCCAGACCTGCTCCAAAAGGCTGAAGCTTGCTTCCACCCTTGAATGTGGAGAGGATATCGGAAAGGAGGAGGTGTGCAAAAGTAGAAAGCGCAAAGTGTACATTGGCCTTAAGAAAACTGTTATGCTTTGTTTACAGCAGGAAAGACTGAATGTGGGTAGTGAGGAACACATTCTCACCTTCTATTAATGCATGGAACCGACGGTGCCTGATAAAATAGTTTCATGACCGCTGTTGGCAAAAATTAAACTGATGTATGAGCCACCAGATGGTACTGAATTTTGAAAGTGGTCTATAAAGAAGAGTTTCTCCTAGCATTATATACAGGGGTGCTTTTTCTGTGGCAGTTTACTCGAGTCCGGGCTTGATGTGCATGCTGAGCCAATCTTCTTTGCAGACATCTCTCGGAGAATGAAGAGGATGTGAGTGTCGACGTTTTTGGCCAAGAGGTTCATGTAGTTGTTAGCCCACCACATGACAGCACAAGTAGCAGCAACAGGGTCAGTTGAATGATTTGATATATGGCATTCAGTTTAATTTTTCCTGCTTCCTTCCTAACAAGCTCCCTTGTTCAAGCAGGTAAAGATAAAGAATATTGTGGACTATGGTTGGGAGCTGAAGTACAACCTTGGAAAGCATGTCTGTGTGCACGTCTCTGGAACATACCTGGCATACGCTATTCGAGGTGAGTACTTGCTTACTTTGTAATAACATATACAGTGGCTGTGCTGAATAAATGGTGTCTTACACCTAGTTGAATATAAGCCTACTCTTACTGGGGAAGGACGTTTTGGTTGGTGCTTCAGTCGACACTTGCAAGAATGTGTGGTGCAGTTTCAGGCTTGATGCACCTTTGGTCTTAAGGCTTGTTTGTACTGTTGGTTTATCATCCAAGGTTTTCTTGCTAAGAGGGAAGGCTGCATCTAGAGCCACCCTGTGTGCTCCCAAAGAGAACGGAGTATTGTGCACCCACATGCCATCTCGACAAGTGGTGAGCACCACACAAAGGCTCCAACTCGTGAATGCTTGCAAATGCACAATAAATTGAAGAAGCCTACATTTTACTTGATTACTGGGCAATGTATGGCATAAAAAACTGTATGACAGTGAAATGTATATGTTAAAACATCACATACAGGCTTCATAAAAGCAATTTGATAAGTTTTAAGCTTTGTACAAGTGCAGTTGTTTTAAACTCCAATTTCGAGCTACCTCTGTGTTTTAAAATTGGAGGGGGAAGAATTCTAATCTCGTCTTGAAAAGTCACTCGACTTTATCCCTTCCCAGATTTCACAAAATGTAAATCCTGGAAGAGAGGAATCTTGTTTATGGACTACTTAATCACAGCATTTCAGTTCTTCGTTGTCTCTGGGCAAGATACCATGGAATCTAGATTTAATACCACATCACTTGCCTCAAAAGCCATCCTCATACCACTACAGCGAGTCTTCCCTCGCAGTAAATGTGGTATTTAGAGGATGGTGGACACACTGTTTTCTTAATTTTCATTAAATTGTTTTAGCTTGGGGGAGATATTTTGGATGCACCGCATGATTAAGTGTTGTACATCCTAAATTAAAAGCGCAAAACAGATGGTGATACAACAAAGGATGGGCACACATTCTGGGTTTTCCAGTCGTTTGCGCACACTCGGGGTGTCTACCAACCTGGAAAACGTGGAATTGTTAGGGAATTTCAAAGCATCTGGAAAAGTTGGGGAATTGTCAGGGAAAATAACCGATGTGGGCGGCGCAGTGACACTCAACGAAGCGGGAACGTATGGCGTGCCGTGACGTCGATGGCTTTTGTGCTGAGTAACAGTTCCCCGAGGCATCATTGGGCAGCGTAAGGCCCCCCCCCCCCCCCCCTTCCTCCTCCTCCTCCTCCTCCTCATCCCCCTCCCCCCCCCCCCCCCCCCTCGATTTACCGGATTAAACAGGAATAGCTTAAACCAGAGCCGTATATGGGGAGAGTTTGGTCAGTCTATGATCTCGCCGCCGTAACGCTCTCCCCCTGAGTGACCCAATCGGCACGCGGCGCAGAGCGAGAGGCATGAGCGCATGCGCGTGAACTCGCGGCTGCTCCCAGCTGATTTGGGAGGGCCTCCATTTTTGTTCATTCTCCCGGCGGAATGCGTGGGATTGGCATCTAAATCTCGATTATTTCCTTTTATATCGCTGGCTCTGGCAAGAAAATGACATACTGTTATTCCTCGGTGGGTTAAAAAGATAATAAATGGAAGATTTTTCGGCGTATGGCCACAAACTTTTATTCAGGCGAAAAAGAAGTCGGCCCGTAGCAGACGACGCGTAGCCTCACCAGTGCTTTTCTCCGACCAGTCTCCGACAGCGTTGTGGAGAAATGGCGGTCGTCTCTTCTCTGCTCCCTTCTTTCTCTCTCGCTCCTTCAGCGCTCTCCTCCCTTTCATTTACTTTTCTCCTCTCCGGCGCCTTCCTCGCCACACCCACTGGCCAAACTCTCCCAATATACGGCTCTGGCTTAAACGGCTGCTGCATTTCCTTTTTTTGGTCAGAGATTTTAATAGAAATATTGGGGGAAAACCTAGAAAGTCTGAGAATTTGAGAGGAGCAATTTGATGGGCACTTTGAAACTATATTACTCATGATTAAAGGAATGGTGAACCGAAATTTGGATTTAAAAAAAAACAATGCAGGAGATGTAGGCGGGACGCTACAATCCCTACAAAACTACTGGCAAGGCGATATCTTGAATGGACGGCCGTATTTTTGGAAAAAGGGGTCGTGATTGAACCAGGCCGACGAGGCGCGTGACGTCAATATACCGTGTTTCCTCCTCTCTTCGCTTCGCTCCCTCATGGCCGCGAGGTGGAGAAGACGCGAGACCGTTCCTTCTCCTTCTCGGAGAAACATGACGTCAACATTCCTGCAAAATGCGCCTCCTTTTTTGAAAAATATGGTCATCCGTTTGAGATATCGTTGTATGAGTGATGTTTTGGTGTTTGTAGCATCCCGTTGCACGCTTTTGCCGCGTGTTTTAGGAAATTCAAATTTCGGTTCAGCATCCCTTTAAGGCGGTATTCACTCGAGGGAGAAATCTGAGGGATTTGTCTGTGAAGCGCGCCTCGCGCAACGGAAATGTCAGATCTTTGTGATGTGGAGCTGTGTTACCAGCTCAGCAGCCAAGGGGCAGAGGGATGCCCGGGCGTTACAAACAATCCCAGTTGGCGGCAAATCAGTTTGGTTTTAATAATATTTTGTCTTTAAAATCCTGGGTGCCAAGAGTTGAAACTGCTAAATTCTTCTTTGGTGGTGTGAGGAGTGAAAACCTGTAAATACTGCTGCTAATGCTGACGTCTCCACTGGCATCTCATCCATGTGAACAACAAAGCTAAGGAGGGAATTGCGCGTGCCAGAGAAGTTGCGCCCATTCCTCCACAGATTTCTTCCTTGTGTGTTAGTATGTACGACGGTTGCAGTAGCCTAGTCAAACCTTCATTTCATTGTCATTGCACAATTTTTCGCAAGAACGTTTGCGCTTAAAGGGGCCGTGCAACAACTTTTTGACTGGTTTTTAATTTGCACTGAACCTGAGCGCATTGAACTTAATGAAACTTTTCTTTTCTCGAATTTCGCTTTTTTTTTAACAGTTATAGGCAAATTAAAATTACAAAAACAAGCAAAAAATAACCTCCTTCATGACATCCTTGTTTGTGGCCTGTGTGGCCATGAACTAGAGGAGGGGTAGTGAGCTCAGGGAGCGCTCACGGCTGCTGCACTCCGTGTCGACGGCTTGAGAGGGCGCCACTAAAGTATGTGCTGGATAGGCTGGATGAAGCGGGCGGCCAGGGCGGCTCGCATTGCATTTGCTGCACGATTAAACACTAATTCGGCATGACACTTCGTTGGCCACATACGACAGCAAACACGGGGTAAAGATCAGTTCAGAACGGGAGCCACTTCATGCTGCCATGCCGCCAAACGGCCAAACCTGCTCGCCGAAGAGCTTCGGAACCGGTCGGATCCTCGAGCCCGTATATGACCGCAGCACTGCCGCGTACATTTGGGACCTTTCTACGCTTGCCGCTCGTTGGTGCCTGATCCCACTACCCCTTTCTAGTATGCGCTGCCTTCTCCACGGCTTGGTGGCGGGTATGTCGACAAGTCATTTCTTGTTTCCATACTTTATGAACTACATTTGTTTCTTTTCTGATCTAAAATACTGAACAAAAACTACTTTCATAAATATTTGAAACGGTTTGCACCACTTATATTTGGTATTTCGACTAAAAAGAAGCTTTTAGCAGCTCTGACCAGTTGTTAGGCAGGAGCTGGCCAGGACCAACAATGTCACAATGTTGTCACATGCTGCGCAGGTTCAGTACCACGAGGCGCCGGCGTAGGGCGAGTAGGCTTCCGCGTTGTCCAGTTAAAATATGACGCACTGATATTTAGTTACTCTCTCCGTGCCCTCTGGGTTGCCCAAACCACAAGAGATGTGGAAACCGCAAAAAAAGGTGGACGCTTAAATAGAATTGCAGAGCCCCTTTAATTAGTCGGGTCCCTGTATTGACCAGCAGATATTAACTTTTGCTCTCGTAACGTCGTTCCTGAGAAGAGTCCTTTGAAACCCAATCTTTCTGCGACACTTTCTTTAACTTGGACTTTCAACGTAAGGCGCTGACTTTTGTTACCTTTTTTTTTTCCTCAAATATTGTTTGAGCATTTGACGTTGTGTCCTGCAGCGGCCACATCTCCTTCGGGAGCGGTGCGTGTCTTGAACCACAAGACTGGCGAGCGTACCCTGGTAAAGGGCCTGAGGGGACTGGTTCAGGACATGGGCTTTGCCTGGCTCTCTTCCCGTATCTTGCTGGCCATCGTGGACGAGTATGGCACCCTCTACGTGTACGAGATTGACGACGAGTCCGGGAGCCTCACGTATCCTTTGGACCCCGACTTGGTGCACCTGGCAGGTGATTAGGGTGAACGAGTGTCCAGGGGGGCTATGTTGCATGTTTTGGACTCCCAGGAGACTAGGGAGAAGGAAGTGACGTCAACAACGCTCTTTGGATGTTGATTGGTGGAGTCGTTGATGACGCGTTGCGTGCTGCTGCTAAGATACGTTCATTCACACCTACGTCACTTCCTTCTCCCTAGTCTCCTGGGAGTCCAAAACGTGCAACATAGCCCCCCTGGGTGCCTGGCCGGTTTGTTGCAGGTTTAGAATAGCAGAGCAAGCCCCTTTCAGAAAGCTCTCTGCTTGCTGGGATTGGTAGTTTCTTCCGCTCGCCTCCCCTCCAGCATTTGCTCTGCTGAAGGGGAAAGAGTGGAGGGCTTTGCTAGAGAAGCTTGTCCTGCTTATCCTAACCTGCAACAGGCTATAGTGTTTAAAGCTTGCGAAGTTTGATATGGATTTTAATATATATATATCGATGAAATTTTCTGGTTTTTAGTATTTACCGGAAAACAATCGTCGGGCAGGAGACAGTTGGCACTGAACATTTTATCAATGTTTCGGACGTTTATTGTAATTTTTATTTTGATGTCTTTGAAAGAACATTGCTCGAGTTTATAGACATGTAGACATCAGCCATGATAATGCTGCCATTTTTGAGGATACGCAATCGGAAAGGCTTTAAAAGGATGCTGAACCGAAATTTTGATTCCACAAAACACGCGGTAAAAGCGTGCAACGGGATGCTACAAACACCAAAACATCACTTGTACTGCGATATCTCGAACGGATGACAGATTTTTTCAAGAAAAGGAGGCGCATTTGACAGAGATGATGTCGTCATGTTTCTCCGAGGAGGAGAGGGAACGGCCTCGCGTCTTCTCCGCCTCGCGGCCTTGGGGAGCGAAGCAAAGGGAGGAGGAAACTCGGTATGTTGTTGTCACGCGCCTCGTCGGCCTGGTTCAATCTCAACCTCTTTTTCCAAAAATACGGCCATCCATTCGAGATATCGCCTTACGAGTAGTGGTGTAGGTATTGTAGGCGTCCCGCCTACATTTCCTGCATTGTTTTTCTGAAATCCAAATTTCGGTTCACCATTTCTTTAACACTCAAATAAGCGTTGTACTTTTGCCCTTTTGCTTTCAAGACTCCTCGCTTATTTGCAATTCTTTCACACCAATCTGGGGCTGTGCACACGTCAACTTTATGGTAGGTAAACAAATGCCGACTTATAATGCCAAATTCTCTCCGAAATGAACTTCAGAAATTGGGAACCTTAGGTATAGAAGCCTTAGCCTGTTGGCAATTGAATGCATAAGGAATTGGAAAGTGGAAAAGAAACAAGACTGAAAACAAGTGCTGTTACTCTCGGTCGACAAGCATGACTGCTTGTCAGGCGATTGTGTCACTTCCGCAGTAGCTGGGCCTCTTGTCCAGCAGCTATTGGTACTAAGTTTCTTAAAAACATTGTGGCAAAATTTTTCAATGAGTATGATTGCTTCCACGCTTTTCAACATTTGCAGTGATTACAAGTGACTGCTAAAGCCTCAAGTATGATGGCACATTCTTAGACGTGCCCTTTCTGGCAAAGCCGTTTCTTTCCCTTACCTCTGTGCTGCTAGTCCGACGCTGCTCCTGCAGGTGGAGCGACCCGTGAATGAAAAGCCCAGCGAGTACCGCAGGGTTGTGTGGTGCTCCTACGTGCCAGATGGCGGCATTCGTGCTGGGGATTCCGACGAGGACGCCTCAAAGCTCCTGGTTGTCACCAACCTTGAAGAGGTGATGTGGCTACGTTTATAAGAGGGTCGTCCAAGTGATCCGAGACGACTTTCGGGGTGGATGTTGAACAGTAGTACCTCTGGTGTCCATCACGGAAACTGTAAGCTGTGTGGGAAACAAACATCTGCCGTGGCTTGTGCAAAAATATTCTTTAGTGCCAAAAGCATAGAAATAGAAGTAATGCACTCTCGCTTTGCATTGTATGCCGCTGAAGTCTCGTGTGTCCATGTACAGTTGCGTGCGAATAGGTCTTGCTGGCCACGTGCGGCAGGCTATGGTGCAGTGTGCAACTGGCATGGTGTTTCTGGTCTTCCAGAAAGGTTGCGAAATAATTTGAGTATGGCAAATGCAGCATATCATACTTCAAGCAAATTGTAGCGAGCTCCAAAAGTCGTATGGCAAAAAAAGAAGCAGCCACATTGTTTTCCTCACAGCCAATGTTTGTTTCGCTGGACTCGGCAGCCCCTATCGTTAGATTTCCTCGCCAGTAGTTCTTGAGTGTAATTTTAATAATTTCTTCAGTCCACATTGAATTTGATTAGGTATGCAATTGCAGCATGTAATATTAAAGTTTGTGTACCAAATAAAACATTTTATTGCCTTTTTTAGTCCTTTTTCTTTTCTGAAATGAATTTATCTTGCCATTTACTAGGCCGAGGTCTGGAACGTGGGCACAGTTGTTCGAGAATATGGCTGTGGTATTCTGACTCCCGAGAAGGTTAGCGTGGGTCTCCAGAGAATGCTCGAGCACACTATGGTAAGTGTAGTTTCTTTTGTTGTCATTTTGTTGATTGTCTAATCTTCTAAGTGCCTGTCTCGCTCGAGCAAGTGTGTGTTGCATCAAATAAACACTGAAGTGAAATCTTTTTACTTTCTTTGCTTAAATGTGGACTGCAGCAGTATGGGACATCTCAGAAACATACATCTTTAAACTGCTGCAAATGACAGAGACCATCTTGAAACTATTATAGCAGGTCGTGCCTTGTGGACAGCACTTCTGAAGCATCATTGGAAGGGAGCATCATTATAGTATTATGTCATCTCAGAGTAGCACTGTAGCATGGAAACACCAAGCCCAAACTAGTTGCATTTGTTTGTAAGCAATTAAAATCCGATAGCCCTGGGTCAAGCGTGGTGTCTTGCAGCGTCTACGGCAAACTGATTTAGAATAAATACAAACTAAAAAAGTTCTTCAAATGGCACAGAATAATGTTCAACACTCTTCTAACTTTCATCTAACTGTTCACTTTGTGGGGAGCAGTTCATGATTCTGAGATGCTGCCTGCACTGTGGAGACACAAAGGGCAAACCGAAACAGTAACAAATCGAAGTTGGTGCGTTTCAGATTTGATTTATGGATTTTACTTCCTGATCCATTCCTCTTGACTGGCTAATGCAATTCAAAGTATGAAGTAATATATATTATTAATTTGAGACAGTAGTACACCGAAACAAGAGATTACTGTTATGTGATATTACCAACCAATCGGGTGGCAAAAAGGAGACTGGCTCCCTTATTGCGAATCATGCACTTCTTAGCCACAGCGATTGGGGGGTTAGATTGCTTTCGAAGTCAATTTTAAAATGTTTGATCGTGAATGGAGATTTTGGACTTTACTTACATGGGTATACTGAAGCCACTGGTCTACTAGGTTGAAGGAAAAAAAATTCTACTTTACCATCCCTTTTATGATGGCATATTTAAATTTATTTGGATGCATGTCATATTAACATTAGGATTCAAGTTGCAGATTGTTCAGTGTTTCTATAGAGGAATGCAGCATTCACTAGAACCTATGGTCCCCTAAATAAAGTATGCTTACAACTTTAGATATTAGTTTCATTAATCCTTAAACAGCCAAGGGTGAGCCTTACTCTTTTGATAAAGTACACTTGGTCTCACCTAGCATGGGTAGAAAGTCAACTGTAGCACACATAGTTTTCTTTGAAATGCCCCTCCCTGTTAACGCTACTTGCTGCATGTACCTGTAGGCCGTGTGCCGCTACTCTGCTTTGTATGAAATGAAGCATAATGTGCTCCTGCTGCTTGAGCACACAGAGCAGCATCTTCTTTCACAGTTATCAATTTGCACACAAAGCTTTCCGTGACGCGCTGAATGATATTAAGGCGTTAAGTCGCCCGGCTCCTAGCGTGGCCTAGTTTAAGCATCTAGTTCGGCATAACGAGTGAATCGAGCTATTTTCACAACTTTGCCTTGCACATAACTCGCCTGTTCTTGCATTTACTCGTTCCATTTCATAATCGTCGATCGCTTGTTAACGTAGGGCCAAGGAGGCTGCCAGCACTTGCATGCACGGGCTCCTGCCTTTTGGCTGCCTCGGGCTCTCGTCCCTGCCGATGTTAATGCCAATAAACACTGGACTTTGACTAGGCTTTTTATGTGGCAATGATGGGGTTACGCACTGATAACTTTGTGTGAAGCCTTTTAGACACTACTTTGTTTCTTCAATTGTGCAGAGCAATGTTTCATTGTTTACTCTTTGTTTATTTCTTTTCCTGTTTATTGTTTAGCCCATTACTGATGTTGCATTCTCGCCTGATGGCACTGCCTTGGCCACTGCAAGTTCCGATGGTGAAGTCGGTTTCTTTCAAGTGTACACACAGGAAGCTATGATCCCCAAGTAAGTGCTGTAGCAATGTCTTCCGAAATTTAGCTTCTCAGGCTGTTATCACATCGCTAGGGGTGTGCGAATATTAAACTTTTTCTAAAAGGGTATAGAATATTGCTCTGTTCACAATTTTTTTCCGATTTGAATAGTGATCTTTTAAAGTTTCTAATGATTTACTAATATAGATAGAACGGTTTAGCGCCGCAAGTTTCCTTTTATAGGCTTCGTACCGTGTGCCCGCCATTTATGTCCTAAGTTGTCACTGCATTCTTTTCTTTAGCAGAATCATCATTGGCAATATGGGTTCACCTGTATTCGTGCAGTGTTGTGGAAGAGCTTGTTTTCTTGCACTGGTATTTGAAATACCTCTGTCTGTGCTGACATGCATTCTCATTTGGTTACGTGCAAAAGTGAAATGTCTAGAAGTGACCTGCTTTTGTTACATGTCATAATGGTGAAGGACTTTTATCATAATCTTCTGCTTCTTTCCCCACATGGTCTGTTTGAAGAGATGTGGTCAAGAGTACCGTATAAACTGGAATATAGGCCGGCCCCCTAATTTACAAGTTGCAAAAAGCGAAAAAAGGTTTTTAGGGCAAGAAAATGCGACCTTACATGCAATAAAACAGGAAGTGCGCGAGCGTTACTACTCGGATTCATCAGAACCTTCGTCCGACGATGAGTTCACTAATGCAATTCAAAGGGACGATGATGTCCCTTTGAATTCGCTCTCGAGAGCCTGGAGGCACAAGCGACCTTGACGTCTTTCGTATGGATTCACTCCAACGTCACAGGTAGTGATCTGGCGTGCAGATTCCGAATGAAATTTGCTTTTCCAATTCGGGGTACACCGCAGTTCTTCCACGAAATTAAGTTTTCTTCGCCTTTCTGCGCGCTGCCAGTTTTTGTCTCTGGCCTCGCCAGTATGATACACTCTTCTCCCATACACCGAACTCTCGCTGCACTGCAAGATTCTTGTGGATCTCTGCATAAGCGATTGCCTTCTTGAAGGCTACCCTGAACTGTCTTCTACTTCTGCTCATTATCACTCTGGGAGTGTCAAAGTTTATTCAGACAACCGTCGAGGTATACAGTTGTCTGGGGGGCCGCCACAAAAGGCATTGGCTTGCCTAACAAGGCGACAGTGTCTCCCCTCTCAATCAAGCAGAAGTGTTTAGTGACTTTGTGATTACGGTGCTAGTCCAGGGCAAGAATTGTGACGAAATCGACGTTCACAGGCAGACTGGCTAAATAAGTGCCTGTGACAACTTGTGATGCTTTCCAGCCTGATTTCCATCCATATTTTTGCCTGAAACATTCTAAATGCGCGGGTCGTCCAGATTTTCGTAACTGGTGTGAGTTGCAACAATAAAAAAATTCTCTAGCTAGTGCTGCGCGTCTTGGTCGTTTCGGTTCTTTGTTGGTCTATACCAAAATGTAATCAACAAAAAAAGCTGCTTGAAGCTCTGTACTTTTTTCACTTACTACGTCCAAACTGATTACATTTTTTTTGTGTGATTATATTTCTATTACGTTACTAGAGCCTCGCACACTAACTCCCGAGTGTGCGATGCAAAATTAAAATGAGATACCCAGAAACCCGTTGCAGGTGCCTTGAAGTCGCTGACATAAATTTTGAGGAATGTATTTGGAAAAGTATTTGGAGGAGACCAAATGCATTTGGTTGTATTTGTATCTTGTACTTAAATGCTTTTTTGGAAATATAATTAGATTTGTTATTAAATACATTTTTGGCGAAGTATTTTGTATTTGTATTTCGATACATATTTGCATGTATTTTGCCCATCCCTGGTTCCAAGGAATTCCACCCCACAGAGAAGCCCTCTTCCTGGCGTTCCGGCCCGCACGCCAGGAAGGAGTGCGCTAGGACGTCGCTCTCGTGTCGGTCGACGTCGGAGGGGTGGTGCTGCGGTTGCTTCTGCTCCTCTCGGTGCTGAGGAACTTCGCGGCGCCTGATGCATCTATACCGTCAGCGTTCGCAACCCCGGCAGTGGCTAATGTGGCCGTCCACACTAGTAGTCCGCAGACAAACCAAGGGAGGGGAAGAACGACATTCATGCTTTCACATTCACAACTTTTGTAAGAAGTGCTTGGGTGTCCTCGGAATTTTTTAATACTTTTTTTAATCATTTGATCGGCTTGTTTAATCCTAGTTATTTTCAGCTAGCCTTGTGTTCTTAGAACAATTTCTAGGAAATTGTGTAAACCATCCTGTACCTTTCTTTGGAGGCAGCCCACCCACTATTCGAGAACTATGAGGTAATTATTTGATTTGGTGCCACCCCTATTTGGTGTGTATTTATTTATTTGGCTTCAAAAATCGTTATTCGCACACCCCTGCACATTGCTGTGCTATCTCGGCTAAACTCTTAGTACGAGCGGGTAGCGCTTTATGTAGTTGCCAACCAAGGAAATAGTGTATCTGTTTACTGCATGCATTCTAGGCTTACTCCAATTTCTGAAGGCGTGACTATGCTTGTGAGCGTGAGTGTTTGGAACTAGCACCATCTTGAGAACCGTAGACCAAAAAGGGGGACGTCACACACACTCGCGCTCGTGGTCTCGGGTTTTCAAGATGTTGAAGGTTGACTAGCTTGCTTTCATGTTCTCTGTTGTTTCTTTCTTGAAACTAGCATCTGGGCTTGGGCCTTGGTGTGGCCTTTCGCTAATCCTGCATTTCCTCACTGGCAGATGTCTTCATCGTTGGGTTCCACACAAAAAGAAGCCCATTTCTTGTTTGTTCTTTTTGGACAATGTCAAGTCCTGTAGCCCGGAGTAAGTGTTGTATTCTTTGTGCATTTTACACTAGTATTTGTCTAATTGATTTTACTACTAGCATGCAGAAAGCAAAATCCGTCTCTGTTGATATTGGGATATGTTTGCATGCGGAGAGGAGCCTTGTAGGCGTGAGTTGTTTTTGATTGTAGGCACTAATTTTTATGGATTGTGCAGCACTCAGTTCTGGAGGTTTGCTTTGACCGGAGCCGAGCACAACACGGAGCTAAAGTTATGGAGCTGTATGACGTGGGCTTGCCTGCAGACCATTAGGTGAGCAACTTGGAAAGACCTTTTTAGTAAGAGGTGAATCTGGGGGTTTAATGGATGCAACCACTCCAGGGCCCGTTTGCTCGAAGCCGGTTAACTTTAACCGCGGTTAAAAGTTAAAGGGGCACTCATGTGGTTTTTGGGGAAGCTGCTTTTTGGTGCAATGGCGTTAAGGAAGTGCCTGTGAATGAGTATCTTCAGTTTTAGAAGGCAGAACCGCGTATTAATCATGCAGGAATAAGATATGTACGGACTCTTTTCTGTCCCTGCGCCGACCAATGTAATTATCTTATGTTTGAAAATTTTGGCAGCCTTTGTAAAGTTTCGCTAAAGAAACAATTTTCAGTTCATTTAGATATGTTGTGCATGATAATTTCACAAGACATAAAATAGTTATAGTTTAGAATGCGCGATACTGCAATTATCGTTTCACAAACAAGGGACTACGTTTTCTCCTTGCCTTCCTCCGGGGGGGGGGTGAATTTCCCGTTCCCTCGGGATGCGCGGAAGCGCACGTATCATGAACTCGTGCCTCAAACATGGTGTCGGTGGTGATCGTCGACGTGGACGGCGTGGTGAAAGCTCATCGTTCCGCGTAAAAGCGCTATCCTTGACTGTGAATTTTCGTCATGTGTCGCAATGATAACCCAGCACGTACTAGAAGGGAAGATCCACCTATTCGTGCGGTGATGTCGTGGCGGCACTCTCAAGACAGCAGAAACGCCCGTGCCGTCTTGTTTGTTTACTTCGACTACAGTGGTGTTTCCTAGGCATTTGTTTCCTCGAGCATCGCTTGGATTTCTTATTTGGCGCATTTCATGCGTGTGCTCAAGTTCAAGGTATTACTGGCGCGTACCGTATAAAGGACGCGAATTTTCACGCGTTTTCATCACCGGAGAAAAGTGATTAGTTAGCAATCCTGAACGCTCGCAACGTCTATCTGATCACGAAATTATATTTCTACGTTGTTATATCGCTGCTAAGATTACATGTCTTTTATAATCGTAGAAAAGGCGTGTGGTGATATTTGTACTATTGGAAATGTCGTGTATTAGAGTCGTGATCGTCCAAGACGGCGTACTGAATCTTTTTCTTTTTTTTCATCCACTGTACCCTGCAAGCCTATCATGAATAAAAAAAAATAAATAAATAAAGCTTTAGGCTATAGAAAACTGTCTGTCTAAATTCTGTTATGGCATTGAATGTCAGTGCGCCCCCTTGTTGGAGGCGCCGCTGAAAGAGCTGACGGCGGCGTAGAAGCGGTCGCTGTGCTGCCGACCCGCTGCGCTTCTTCCAGTGGTTGCAGGCGTGTGTACACGCAGCGCAGAGCGGTCGCTCCGGTTGCAACGGACGGAGTCGTAGGTAACGCGCTCGTTGCACATGTCTGAACCAGCCTGCTGTCCTCCCGAGGCGAAAGTGAACATGGCGACATCGTTTGACATCACGTACTAGAGGTTATGCTGCAATGCCAAACGTTTGTTTCGTTACGGCTTGCCCTAACCGCAAATCGAAGAACGCCCGAAAAGGTCTGCGTTTCGTCGTCCTCGGTACCTGAACACGACTCCGAAGCCCTGCTATCATCCACATCGCCCGTCGGAGTGGCGTCATAGGAAATCATAACCAGGTCGGCTGTCCGCCGAAGAATTTTAACCTCTAACGGCGTCAGGTCCTCGAGCGTAGAGAACTCCGCCATGAGCGAAACTCTAATGACAAAAAAGTTCGGCCGGTGCGGCTACCTTGGGATCGCTGCGGGACGGAACGTCATCCAACGCCATTGGCCCGAGATCGTTTTGATATGTGAGCGGTGACCAATGAGAGTGGTTTCTTTTTCTGATGGATCCGAGGTTCGGCGGCCTTCAATTACATTTTTAATAAAGAAATATTCACCGCATGACTACATTTTTTGGTTTTTAGGGATACTTAGGGCGTCAAGATTCAGTTGTCATCATCAAAACACGAACTCAAAAACCACTTGAGTGCCCCTTTAACCGCACTTCTCTATAGGTACCTACCTGCAAGTACCTAGCCAAGTTTGACGAGGGGTGGATGAGCGATAGCTCCGCGTTTTATTATGGGGTGGTAGCTGGTGTTACCTACTGGTTGTAGCGAATATAATTGGCTTACCAGGTTTTCACGATGCAGCGCGGCATACATTTGAGCTTAAGAAACTTTTTTTTTTCGTGGTACAGATATTGGGTAAGGTAAAACTAATTAACCCTCGTTTGAAAAATTTCTACATGCTTGGCTTTCTGAATTGAAGACGAGCCTCGTTGAAATTTCCTTCCAAGTTCGAAAGAGGACGACGAACTTCCGTCTTAGAAACGATAAGGAAGAAGTGAGCACTGAAAGGCAGACGGTACACCTGCAGCATGGTTGGCCAGCATGTAAGAACTATATATAAAACCACTATAAATTGAATAACCTGTGATTTGGCTCCAGTGAAAATACGCCTATTAGTAAATTACCCCAGCATAGAGGACAACGCTGGAAGTGTAATTCTACGATCCGCGCGCGCTGGCCTTCCCTTTATAAAAGATTCGAAGTAAATAATCATAAGGCTTTGGCGAACGCGCGCGCAAGGCAAAATTCGTTTTAGGCTTTTTGCTTTAGAACTGTTACTACTGCAGACGCCAGCACGTGCAGCGCGTGTAACTACACTTGTAGCATGCACCTCGGTGCTTAAGGAATTTAGCAAAAGGTCTATTGGGACGCTGCCTGCTTTTGTGTGCTATCAATACCCGGCCGATTGAGTCAAGGCAATCCACTTTCCAAAGACGTTGCCATGCCGACAATTATCGCGTTCAGGAATGGCCAGGATCGAAAGACTATATAAAAAATGCAGCGAGGTCATTGCTAATGCTTTGCGATTTAGGTGGGGAAGGGCAAAGCGAAAGCCTCCCGCACCATTCATTTTTCACTACGCGCCCGATATTGCAGCTTCTATGACATATCAGTTCCAAAGCAAGCGGTGCTCACTCACCGGACACCGCCATGTTTCCCCGCCGTCTTTACTCTGCCGGTCACGTGACCTAAAATTCCCCCTCGTAGGGAAATGCGGTTAACTTCTAACTGCTGTTAGAGTTAACCAGCTTCGAGCAAACGGGCCCTGGAAATAGAGCGTACAGGCCTTAGAGCTGGAGTGTTGTATGGTTTGTCACTGTGCTGATCTTGTTTCTTTCCCTAGGTTTTTTGTAGCACCTGATGACCCTGGCCAGCTTCCTGCCTTTAAGGCTGAGATAGACCCTTCAGCCAGCTACCTTGTGCTCTCGGACATCCATCGCAAGGTGGTGCTTCCAGCTTCCTTGTTATTATTACGCCTGTTGTCGTGTGTATGGAATTTGGCGCTTGTGTTTACATTCTTAGCATGTGGGGCTAATCTTTTCTTTTTTATATCATCGTAAGCTTACCAAGCCTGCTTCAACCAAGCCTGCTTCAACCTGTTCTTGTTATCTAACTTCAATCTGATTTTAAGATATCCCAAGTCTGCCGTGAACACCACTCGAGATAAGCAATAGAGAAATAATTACTAGGGTTGTGCAAATATTCGTAACTTCGAATAGTAGTTCCGAATAATACACTATTCGATATTCGCTTCGAGAAGAACTGCACTATTCGCGTTTTTCGAAGTGTTGATTGCGGCAGTTTAGCCCCGTTGAGTGCGTGTCTTACCAAGCACTGGTGCCCTGTAGAGAAGCAATACCCGCGGAAGTGAGCTCCGTGGGTGTTGCTTCTCTGCATTACATCGGTGCTCGGTAAGAAGCGCTTTCAACGGGGTAACCCGCCGCGATAAACACTTAAAAAAGTATGAATACTGTATTTGCGTGCCTAAAAGAAAAGCATACATTCAAAGCGGGATGGTGCACTTGTGCCGACTTTATTTGAAAATAAATGGAAACTTTGTGAATCTGTATATCTACAGTGTAGTAAAAGTTTCAAAATTACTGTTGTACAAGAGTACTCCATGTTGGGCAGAGATGCCCGTACTACCTGCGTTCATCACGCGCGATTCATTCTTTTTTTTAGCTCGAGATTAAAGAAAGAATATTTTATGTAGCAAGATTTGTAAATTCACTCAATTGGGTATAGTTGGCCATTTTTACAGAATTAATTTTATGTCGAATCCGTCACTTACTTGCCATCCCAAGACACTAGACCTTCTAAGGTCACAGTTCATAAACATAAATAGATTGATTCAACTTAGCTTATAAATGAACAAATGGAACGACCTTCACAGGTTTAGCTGGGTTTTCGTCTAAGCATTATGCAATGGTAGTGAAAGTACCTAAAAAAGCGCCAAAAAAAACACAAGGACGAGGAAGTAGACAGACGAGAGTGCTCTTTCTACTTCCTTGTCCTTGTATTTTTGGTGCTTTTTGGTGATCATGAACCAACTGTCCCAAATTGCTACTTTAGTGGTAGTGAAAGGCGTGGAAAAACTATTCGATATTCGAACCGAAAGTATTCGGCCCAAACCACTATTCGCTTCGAATTCGCTTCAAACTCAAAATTCACTTTTCGCACAAGACTAATAATTACGCATATGAAAATTTATTTCGTGCCGCGAAAACACCTGCAGAGATAGCTGATGTTTCAATTTAGCAGGCTGTAGTACTGTATTGTGACTTGCATTAATAGGCTGTAAAACAAAATATTAGGTTTTTTTTTTTTAGTTGATATGGTAATGAAGTAACGTAAGAACAGTGGGTGACTTTAGGGTATCCCACTTTTTCGTCGAAGCATCTGTGGTTAACAGCCTTTCATGACTCAATCCCACCAGATGGGAGAAGTCCTAAAGGGCTGTATTTTTTTTGCCACAGGTGGTCTATGTGGCACAGCTGCAGATAGACGAGCAGTACAAAGAAGGGAGGTTGGTCTCCCTGGCTCAATTTCCTGTTATCCTGCCTGTTCTGAGCTTCACCGTGGTGGAGGCAGTCCGCTGCCGCTTCAAGCCATCCACAGATACCGAGCATGTAGACCGCCTCGATGCTGGTGGGCCTTGTTTTCTTTCCTCCCACACTTAGACCCTGTCTCGTAGACCTGCTTAACTCGTGAACACTGGCTAAAGAGCTTTCTAGCGTGCAGACAGCGAGTTCTATGGCTAAAAAGCTTTAGAATTCACTGATTTGCTCAAATCAGTACTAGTAGTGGTAGTAGTAACGTGAGCAAGTCCAGCTGGAATGTTGCCGTCTAAAAGATTACGCTTTCTTGGATCAGAAGAACTGGCACACGTTTCGTTCAAAGTGAGGCCGCAGTTAATGGGGATGTATATTAAGTGACCCTTCCAGAGTACACAAGTTTGACGCTCTGTTAACTAAAGGGATTGGAATTGTGCGGGAGTTTGGCATTTGAGTTCACCCTATCCACTCCGACTTTTCCCTGGTGCACACTTTATGATGTCGCTTCTCGACCAGGATGACGATTAAGATGGGGGGCAGCCTGGTCCTGCTGTCTTTCAGTTCAAAAGGGCTTTGCCTATTAAGCTAACACTATTGAATTGGAAAGCAAAACCATCAAGGAGCATTCTGTAAATTGTTTCTTCTTGTTCTTGTCCAAAAACTAGTTGGCATTAAGTTTGTCTGATGGTCAGCATTGACGAGTGTCGTTCTTGTGCTGAAAAACGGGCTGTGTGTGTTTACAGAGTTGTGTTCGTCCCCTTCTGTGTTCCTGAGTCTCGGGTTTTATTACCATGAATCATCACCAGCTCGCTTATTTTCTAAGTATTATTACAGAGTTTACTATAGCCGGTGACGGGTGAGACTTCAGGGGAAGCTCGTCCCACCTCTTTCCCCTTTAGCAGAGCGAACACTGGAGAGGAGGCAATCTCCTCCTGAGCATTCGCTCCGCTGAAGTAGAAAGTGGGGGAGAAGCTTCGCCTGAAGTCTTAACCTGTCACCGACTGTAGTCAACAGGCCAATCAAATTTTTTTCTTCTTTTTATACCTGGGCATAAAGGCACTAAATACAGACTAACTTCAAGCAACCTGCAATTAGTAATGTCTTTCAGCATAATATTCTTGTTACTATTTTATGCTTTAATTGTTACTCAAAGTAATGGGTAGCCTTAGTTAATTAGCTGTCAGAATTTTGACCTCTGATGCTCCTATCCACAACATTTTGTACTTGTGCTCCCTAAATCCAGAAGCGGCCATGCGGCTCATCGCGGTAGTTTTGGTGTGTCATGCTGCGGCATGCTGGGCTCTTTTCAGTCGCTCACCTGTAGTATAAAGCTCCTGAGTGCCAGAGTTGGAGTACAAGAGCATGGGCTTAACAGGCTCATTGTCTGTAATAGTTTCTATGGAAGGGAATATGTTGCATTTCCCAACAATTGCAGTGGGAAATACCAATTCGCTTGGGGAAAACAAACTCTGGCTTCATTCTCACCCTCCGGATGTTGGATTTCAGAGCATCAAGCGGCTGATGGGGAAGAGGAGGTGCGGGGTTCGGAGAAGCGCCACGAGGGTACCCTAGTGCGACTTTTCTGGATGAACACCAAGTAAGCACGACGACTTCCTGGTGTGCAAGAACACCAGCATAAGAGATAATGCATTCTGTATAAAAATTGCTGGCTGTCTCTTTTGGCTAGAGCAGTGTGCTGTGCTCTTCGTTCAGCCTTCTTTGAATAAGAGACTGCCATTTCAAGTCATTAACAGGTCATTCTAGATGACTTGCGCTTCATTGTATAGTAGTGTCATGTTTCAGGAACCTTTGTACAGTCGGTGTCTGGCAGTTTCTTCAATTTGATCCCTAGTTAGCTCCTTGGCAGTTGATGTGGCACTTGGGAATTTAAATTCTGATGCGATTTGCAGGTCTTTGCAGGCATGTCACATTGTGTACCCAACAGCCGTTGCGTCCTCAGCAGCGTCCATCCGAACCCTGTCTCAGCACTCCCTGGGTGAGTGCGATGGGTAACAACCGAATATGTAAAGAGTAGCCCCAATGTGTGCCTTTACAATGTTTTATAGTGAATACCATAGTTATTTGCGCTTTGTTTACTGTTTTCAACTACAGTCGAATCTTGTAAATTCAAACTCGAGTGGGATCGAAAATTTGTTTGAATAAAGCAAAGTTTGAATCATCACCTGTTGAGGATGTTTCCCCGGTTTTTTACCAGTTCATTGCTACCTGTGATTAGTAACTAAAGCTTGCTGGTTTGTGCAGTCTCTGGGTGTACGGATCACCTCTCTGAACTCGGCCTCGATGCAGAGGAAGCCGAAAAGTCCAAGGAGGAGGAGTGTGAGTTCCTGTTATGTAGCCGTGATTTTGGGGGGTTTGCTGTGAGGGGAACTCTGCTAGTGTTTGTAACTTTCCAAACAAACACCATCTTTTAAGAACTAATAGTTCATGTATCATGTATTGAACATGATTAAAAAATAAAAAAAATAGATAAATAAATAATGGGAAGAAATATTCTTCAGCTATTAAATAGTGGTATTCATACAGCATCTCCTCTTTACATCAGATCAGGGTCTATATTATAGAATAATATAGATTATGCTACTGAAACTAACTTGGTGACTATGCTTGCACAGACTTCCCTGACAAGGCCATCAGCGAGGACACGAGGGATCCAACTCCGTCGGACTTCTCAACGGCTGAAGTGCTCCTCACTCCAAGTGACTTTACGTCACCATCTCACGTGACGATCTTGACTTCTACTAATGCTGCAGCTGGTAAGGATAGCAGGGCTTTCTTTCAGAGGCGCTACTCACAGCAGTGTTCGGGCCATCGAGGCATAAAATGTGTACAGAGTTCTTCCTTGCAATGTCACCGTGAAGCAGCCAGCACACAACATATTCTACGTTAACACTGTCTTTTCCATAACAGCGCGGGGAAAGGGTGAACTTTTTTTTAAAGGATGTTTCAAGTATCAAATGACATTGAAATTATGCGACCAGGTGCATAAAAATGACATTTTATTTCCTTCATTACATTTATTAGTACCTCAAAGGCACTTCTCCTGAAGTGCATTACATGTCGGTGGAATCAAGAACTACAGTCGAACCCACTTATAACGAACCCGGGAATAGCTAAATGTCGGATATAGCTTACAAATTTTCATGTCACGCTCCTGCTTGTATACCTTCAGTGTAATTTAAGCCCACTTGTAATGAACAAACTCAAAGCGGCACCGCGGATATAACAAAAGAAATCATATAAACTCACAAAAATAGGCAGAAACTGACGTACAAAAAACTTCAGCATTAACTTTTACAAAAAATTGTTTTTCCTAAATTGCGGTGCGCTTTAACGCCAGGCGATTTCTCCCACAAAATTCACGGCGCTCTGCGCTCGCCGGGTTCGGCTTTGTTGCAAAGCACATCCCGGCGACCATTCATCTTGTGAAGTCGGGCATCGGGTGCAACAGGGAGAAAAAGAAGGCGGGCGAAAGAACCAAATGCGCACGGGAAGGAAAAGTCGGACGCAACCTTTTTTCCCAGCTAGACACAATCGAAGCACAGATCGTGAAAACGTCTTTGACCCGTTTCTCGCAGTCGAGCATCGGCACCTACTTTCGTTTGCAATAAAACCTGAAACTTGCCGTACGCTGTTTTTTGTTTGTTTTTGCCTGGATACGTTTCACGTTCACAGATTTTTTGATTGCAGCTTTAGGAATATAAAAATTCATTTATGGAAAGATAAGTATCAACAAAGCAATAATCGAAGTCACCTTCACCTAATTTACGAGCCACGGGATTGAGCAGCAAACTGGGCCGTCTGAGCAAAGCTGATCCAAAATACCTTCCCTGCTCTTCAGCAGATGGCGCTCTCTCTCTACTCTCCCTTCTCTCTGGTGGCCCCCCACTCGCCCATCTTGTCCGCGCTTGCGTAACCATATCGGCAAACTTGGAGTTTATACGGTAACACGAGCGTGGACAAGGGAAATGCAGACGAGGGAGAGCCCCTCTCCCTCGTCTGCATTTTTTTCTTTTCTCGCACAAGCTAACTTCGTGGTTTCCCAGTTTATGTTTGGTTGAAAATTGAAGGTAAAACTGGGCCGCTGCGTCTCTTCATCGAAAGTTTGGGAAAGCGCGTGTAGGCGTCTGGCGCGCCTGTCACAGTGAGTGGTTGTTACAGCTGCCTTTAGAGGGACTTCCATAGTCAAAATTCTTATTAAAACATCATAAAAAAATATTCTTTCGTTTTTTCGCGCAAACCTGGGTGCTTCAAGACTGCGTACATGCCTGCGAAACACGGTCATGCAGCAGCTGATTCCGTCTGTTATGTTTCTTTGGTCGTAAGCTCTCTTTTTCTCGGTCCGTTGAAAAGCGTGTCACAAGAGACTGTCCTATTCAAACCATGCCGCGTCCCGAAGCTGTGTCGGCCGAATGTATGCACCCCGCTTATTCGCTGCCACTCGCCTTCCCACTGCTGCTTGCTTTCCCGCATTGCACAAATTGTCAAAAGGAGAAGCTCACCTCCAGGCGAGTTGACACTTGCACGCATGGCCGCATTTGTGATAAACACAACTGTGGCTTTATTATAGCTACTTTACAGTGAAAATCTACAAAAGTAGGGCTGTTGTTACTATAAAAGCCTGTGTTATATACTGCATGCCATCAGTGGTCCTGTGCATAAAAAAAAATTGTGATCTTTTTTGCAGATTTTGAATGTAACGAATTTCAGATATAACAAACATATTTCCGATTTGTGTTTACTTCGTTATGACCGGGTTCGACTGTATAAACAAACATTTAGAAACAAACGAGTAAATTCTCAGAATAAATATAGATATTGAGATTTGCTGAATAATTGCTAGGGTCAATTCAGATCAGGATACATATCATGGAAACAAATATTAGAAACTCAATCAAATTGTATGAAATAACTATTGGAATAAACAGTTTGACTAACCAAGAACACTTTTAAGATGTGCCTTGCAAAGATTGCAAAATTTGGCGTGGTTATTTTCGAGTACAATCCTCAGCAAGGGAATTCCAGTTGTTAATGGCTGGAGAGAGTGGGGAATTTTGAACTTTGTTAGTTCTTGCAAATAGAGGGTTTATTTTAAGATTGTGGTCACGACGTAAGGAGTTGTGTGGTGGAAGTTGGCAGTAATGGTTTCGAAATGAAGAAGAGGAGTAGTAAATTTTGTGGAATATGACGAGACGAGAAAGTTTAGTTCTTTTAGTCAGTGAGCAAAGGTCGAGGTTAGTTTTGATTGCAGTTAAGCTTGATGACCTTGACTAGTTATGGGATATGAAACGAAATGCTTTGTTTTGAAAAGCGTAGTCCAATTTAGCCCTGACAAAAGATTTATATGCTGTTAGAGTAACACAAAGTGGAGTACGGTATACCGTAAAATACTGGGCAAGCGCCCACTCAAAATTTAGGGATAATCGCTATAAAAGGGGGGATGGACGCTTGTCCGGTCATCAATTTTACACATCAATGTACTGTGCATATTTTCTCAGATCTTACAAATTTGGGTATGGGCGCTTAGTGTGGAATGGGCGGATGCGCAGTATTCTATGGTAGGTTATGTTTAATATATCTTAGAGATTTACAAGCAATAGACACTACAGTGTTAATGTGAGTATTCCAGGTAAGGCCGTCAAAGTGTTACTCCTAGGTATTTGTAACTACACACTTTTTGGAGAGGCAGAGTTGGTAAAGTATAGTTGTGTATTGCAGGCGTTCGTTGGCTGGTGAATATTAATAGTTTACTCTTGATTACATTGACCTTCATCTGTTATCTGTTACACCAGAGTGAAAACATATTTAAATCCTGTTGTAGTAGTAACGACTCTTCGGTATTAATAATGCGATAAATGACATCTGTGAAGAGCCTGATGGATGACGTATGTAGGAGAAGGTCATTAATATAGGTAAGAAAAATATAAGCGAACCCAAAACGCTGCCCTGTGGAACACTTGATATTACAGGGAGGTTAGGTGATAGGCCCTGTCCCAGGTGGACAGCCTGTTTATGGTTATTTAAGAATTCAGCTATCCAGTGAATAATAGAAGGGGGAATATTTAGTTCAGAAAGTTTGTACAGAAGTTGTTGGTGAGGAACCGTGTCAAATGCTTTTGAGAAATCAATGAAGACTGCGTCAGTGGTGCTAGAGGAGTGAAAGTTGCTATGTAGGTCCATAACGAAATCAAAAAGTTTGGTCTCGCATGAACATGGGACATGGGACATGGGGATAGGTACGATGTGCCTATTGTGTTCTCCGCACCAAACAAACTATCGAGACTGTGTCGCAGAATCAACAATCCCCGTGAGTCAGCAGATCCTTGCAATACGAAGCACCGCAACAGGTACACGGAATGTGCCACGGGCTTCATATACGAAATCCCCATGTCATTCGGATCATCGTACATTGGCCAAACGGGCAGATGCTTTAATGATCGCGCCCGCGAACATGCTGCGGCTACACAGGCTACCCCGTCAGGACACCTCGCCATGCACTGCAGCCGTTGCTCCTGCACACCGTCATTTAGTGACGCAAGGTTTTTGGCCAGATACGCCGATCGGATATCGAGGGAGCTGCACGAGGCCTTCGAAATAAAAGAAAAGGGCAAGGACTGCATTAGTGACACGTCTGTGTCACTATCGGCAAAAGAGCACACTTTTCTACGAAGGGGGCTACACCGGACGTTGTATGACTGTGTAGTATGACTGTGTTGTTTTCCATGAGTATATAAGAGTGTGGTTTTATCATAAACGCTAGTTGCGAGTGCGCCTTGTTCACGTCTCCTTTCTTGTATCTTGTCCTTGTGTATTTTCGGCGCCCTGAAAGTTAGTGATATCTGTCATTTGTTGCTGCTAGGTTTTTAATTAGTCTGCTCAATTTCTCCACATCAGTAGGGCCAGGGTTGAGCTCATCATCTCTGCGAAGACGCAATAACGCGTCGAAAAATAGAAGGCAGCTAGCATAAGGTAGTGAAGTTAAGCAATTAAACACGAAGGTTACAACACTACAACAAATGGTTGATAGGCATGTTTTGTTGATGTGGCATGGCACCTCTAAGAGCAGTAGGTTATTGGAACGATACTATTTTGCATTCTTCAAGTAACAAACCTGTGATATGAACTGCGTTAGGTTCTGCATGGTTGTGTCGTACCCCGATGCTTGCGATGGTGGTAGATCCTTTTGTAGACAAATGCCTGTCAACAAAAACGGAAGCGTTCCTTGTCGTGCGGTTGTCGTCGAGCTTGAACCACCCACAAATGACGCAGCAGGGGATTCCTGACGAGTAGTGCCAGTGAGGCTGACGGTCCAGTGATGTTGAGCAGCAGCACCTGTGATATAAACTGCGTTAGGTTTGGCATGGTTGTGTTGTGCCCCCAAGAGAAGCTTAGGACAGAAAATCTCTCCCGAAGCTCACCAGGAGCTGAGCTTCGGGAGAGATTTTTAATCACACTCAGAATACCATTTGGTTGAAGGTAATGGGTTCGCAGTATTAAGTGCTTTCCATATTTGATCACTGGGTATAGGTAATTGTTCTAAGGTAAATACAGATGTGACATAGTTATTAGTTATTACATCAATTTCTTATAGCTGTGGAACTAGGGGGATGAAACAAATATTAGCTTTTTTAAGTGGGAGATTTCACTATTCCTGTGTTTGACCATATATGCAGATGTCAGCAGTTTTCTTCATATTTTTTTATGCAAGTTTTTATTTTAATGCAGCAAAAATGGTATTGAGAAACAGTCATTCAGTGTACTTATAAAGGAGCAGGCACAGCATGCTCTATCGCAAATGATTCTCATGTGAGGACACATTTTGACAGCAGCAATCAGCGTGTCTTTTTTTTTTTTTTTTTAGTGATACGACGATGATGATATATTTTTATCTTCATTCGTGGCTAAAATTGACTGACAGTCTTGTATGCACGAGAGTGCTAATTGTCCTACCGTCCTTTTGGGATTGGGCATGCTGCAGCCTTCTCGCTCTTCGCCTCTGAGTGGAACTTTTCGTGAGTCTGCCCTCGACTGCTGTGGCACACGCTCGAACCCGGTTTGCAGGACCCCTGGTGGTTACTCCCTGCACACTGACGCCAGCCAACCACAGCGGCGACAGCGACTCCGCAACGAGCTTGAGCGAGGAGGCTCCGGAGGGAATGCCCCTATTGGGGGAGTCGATCCCTCTGCTGGAAGTGATGACGGCAGAGACCCCACTGCTGGCTGAGACCCGACCGTGCCAGTCCGGCGAAGAGGACGAACCGGCGCCGGGGGAACCTGAACCACCGAGGGAGGTGGCCAAGAGCACGCAGCGGCCCTCATCTCAACAGAGCACGACGAGCACATCAAGCCACGAGGTGGCAGACATCCTGGCTCCCTCGGAGAGGCTGGCCAATGGTGCGCTTCCTTTGCTCTCGCTCTGAGCTGCACCGCAGCCTCTGCTAGATTGGCCGCTAATTTGTTCCTGGGGTCAAGCTGAAGCTAAAGGAAGTGGCAAGTGCCAGGCTGAGGAGGAGCCTAGGTAGGGCAGGTTTTCAAGAAGGTGGATGGCTCTCTACGGTCGGAGCATTATGGGCAACAGTGGCACGGGTTCAGAAGCGGGGCTCAAAGATATTTCTTTCTAACTTTGTGGAGACGGTTATCTCAGAGCTAACTACCTGCGTTTTTCGCCGTGTAGTGTTACCTTGAATTAAGTGATTGAAAGGCTGACGAGGCGGCGTTTTTTGCTCTACTCAGCAAGCCACAGCACCGAAGAGGAGGAGGAGGAGCTCGACCTGGGGCTGGACTACGACTCGGCGGCAGAAGAGCTGCAGCCGATAGGAGGGCACGGTGAAGGCGCCCTCCTTGCACCCCCCGTTGAAGTACCGCTCGTCAGCGCCTGCGATGAGACGTATGTGGAGGAGAGCAGCAAGGGCAAAGGAGATGGCGCCTGGCCAGAATTACCCAGCAGCACAGAGGCGTATGCCGCTGTAGCATCGGGGTGGGTTGTGTTTGCTTTTTTCTGGTGATTCATAAAGCATGTTGATCAGTTTGTACCTTGTCGCTCTAAATGAACCCTCAGAATAGTGTCAAGTCCAGCCGTAGTGGACCAAAAGCTAGACATGGCAGTATTGAGTCAATGGTGAATCTTGTAGTAAATAGTGTGAGGTATACCATGTGCACCCATCTACTTTGCTCCTCTTATTTTAGAGCGCGGCTCTTAGGCGCACGTTTCCGGCTTGAGCGGCGTCGCCGTCGGCGTAATTGCGCGGTGCATTATGGGGAATGTCCTATAATGCAACGTGCGGGACTCGTGATTTCACGAGGGTCACTTGAACTCACGAGAGTCACGTCGCCTCACGAGGGTCACATGATGTCACGTGACGTTACGAGGGTCATGTGACCTCGCGAGGGTCACAAGGTCGGGAGGGTCACGTGACGTCACGTGACCTCACGTCACACGCTGCATTATGGGAAACGTCCCACGATGCAATGCATGGGGAGCAGGAAGAGGGGAGAAGGAGGAAAGAGGAGGGGGATAGAGTTTGAGGAGGAGGAAGGGGAGGAGGAGGAGGGATGAGGAGGAGGAGGGGCATACCCTCCCCTCCTCCTTCTCAAGAGCTGCGCTCTAATTCGTTATTGCAGGAAGTCGTAAAGGTCTTTCATTTTTTTGTTCTAAAAACTGAAAGATGTTTTAAGTGAACAATTAGCAGGAAATCGTACTAACAGTCCAATTCGTCGTGGATGACCTCATTCTTAACCACCATGTTAAAGGGGCAGTTCAACAGGTTTTGTACTTTCAGTAAATACCTCTTAAAAATAATCGTTGATGTCCATAACCTACAAAACATAGTTAGTTTTTCTCTCTATGCAATGACAGTCTCCGAAAAAATTAAAGAAAAATGAGTGGCATTCACCCCCTCAACTCAGTCAGACCTAGCAGCAACGTGGTCTGGTGCGAGTTCTATGTTGCCAATCTTCATTGCAGCCATGCACTGTGGTTGGCAAAGCACAGAGCATGTGCCGAGTTCCAGACATTGTCAGGGTTTGGCTATTCCTCATTGGAGCGATTGGACACGAACCACTACCCAAAAGCTCAAAGGGCATTGATTGTCACGAGCCCAAATAGAGTGCCTGCGGGTATACTTGGGTCGACTGGTTTAGAACAATCTGAACCAGTCGAACAGTACCCTCCCAAGCAGTTATATTCACGGGCTTCAAGGTGTCACAAAAAGGACAATTTAAATGGCAGTGACAAGGAGACGAAGAGAAGACAAACGCCCAGCCAAATAAGTCACCCGTGAACAAGCGACTGAGCAGGCCATGAAACGTCGGGCTATATAAACACAGTTGGTTAGAGTACTTGCAGTTTCTCTCATTATTATTCACCTAACCAGGCAGATTTCTCCCGAAATGTTTACTTTTCAACCCTCTTAACATAGTTATCCCACATGAAGAAACTCTGCACATTTCTTCTTGTAAAGTATATGGGTGATTTCCATATACCAGATTTTCGAAAAGGGTGCTTATTCGCCTACAATGTGCAAAGAAGTAAAGGCAACAGCTGTAGCACGTTCGCACAATGCGGGCGAAATGGTGTAGTCACGTACCAAAGGACAGGGGTGTGAATTGGTTATTGCACATTGCCGTCATGGTAAGCATCGTGGATACCACTGATGACTGCCACGGGCTCTTGGTGTGCCGAGTTCCAGACATTGTCAGGGTTTGGCTATTCCTCATTGGAGCGATTGGACACGAACCACTACCCAAAAGCTCAAAGGGCATTGATTGTCACGAGCCCAAATAGAGTGCCTGCGGGTATACTTGGGTCGACTGGTTTAGAACAATCTGAACCAGTCGAACAGTACCCTCCCAAGCAGTTATATTCACGGGCTTCAAGGTGTCACAAAAAGGACAATTTAAATGGCAGTGACAAGGAGACGAAGAGAAGACAAACGCCCAGCCAAATAAGTCACCCGTGAACAAGCGACTGAGCAGGCCATGAAACGTCGGGCTATATAAACACAGTTGGTTAGAGTACTTGCAGTTTCTCTCATTATTATTCACCTAACCAGGCAGATTTCTCCCGAAATGTTTACTTTTCAACCCTCTTAACATAGTTATCCCACATGAAGAAACTCTGCACATTTCTTCTTGTAAAGTATATGGGTGATTTCCATATACCAGATTTTCGAAAAGGGTGCTTATTCGCCTACAATGTGCAAAGAAGTAAAGGCAACAGCTGTAGCACGTTCGCACAATGCGGGCGAAATGGTGTAGTCACGTACCAAAGGACAGGGGTGTGAATTGGTTATTGCACATTGCCGTCATGGTAAGCATCGTGGATACCACTGATGACTGCCACGGGCTCTTGGTGAGCGGTAAAGTGGGCACGGCGTGACACCGGATGCTCAGTAAAGCAAGCAATGCCGGTCAGTAAAGTAAGCGTTGCAGGTCAGTAAAGTAAGCGATGCAGGGCGAGCCGCAGAAGCCTGCCGTTCCACCCCCCTCATTCCTGGGACAAAGTACGGCCTTGGTGTGGCGGCACCGTTAGGAATAGTCTTTGGCTGTGATGACGCAAGCGAAGGTGCAGGTTTCCCCGGTGTTGTTAAGCGGTGAAGGGAAGGTGTAATGTTGACATTCAGCATGCATTCAGGGACACATGAAGAGAAACAATGCAAAGCTCTGCTGGTAAGGCGGGTGCAAGGCAACAAGTTTTAGCAGAACATATTTTATGTTTCGGGTTGGGTTCGAGAAGTAGAGATGTTATGGAGATATCAAATGCGGTGGAAGTTTCTAAAACCCTCCAACATTACGTGTAGCAGCAGTTATAACGGGAGCAATATTTGAAAACACCAGTTTTGAAGTTATCATTAGCATACAACAGGGGAAGACGCTCCGCTGATGCTTCGTCATCACATCGTTAGTGACGTGTTGTCGGGGCTCTCTCTTCTCTCTGCGCAGCCTGGGCAATGGAAACACCCAACTTTTCTCTCTCCTTGTGCCATGAGGGGAGACAAGAAAGGTTTTTCCATTTTCGTTGCGACGACAGACAACAAACGCAGACACCAAAACCCCTGCTAAGTGTCGCCTGTAAAGCTATTGCTTTAAAACTTGAAGTGCCAAACCAAAAAAGGGAGTGGATTAGTAGTTGCAGCTGCAATTTGGAGCACTCTGACGCTAGCGTGAAGCGCATACAGTCTGTGAAATGTGTCAAGGAGGGTTGTGGGCGGCGTGCAGGCTTGCCCCGGTGCTGCCCCCTGTGCCACCCCCAGTGCCGGTGGAGGAGCTGCAGCTGCTGGCGACACAACAGCTGGAGCAGACGTCCGCACTGGCCCAGTCCCTGGCTGCCCTGGCCAGTCAGGTGCAGCGCATGTCCGAACAGCATTCGCAGACTGACGACTTGCTCTCTTCCCTGGTGGCCGAGAACCGGGCCACGAGGGCTGCACGTATCCTTCCCTCGGCACTGCTGTGTCATGATGCAGCTTTTAGGGGAAATCCCCTTTCCTCGGCCATGGATATTGTTGCTAACTCTTTTGGTTTTAAATCTCGTCTCATAGGCCTTCAGGAAAGTGCTACAATTTTCTGCTCATTCAAAGGTGGAATATGCTTTTGGCGAGGGTAACTTTGTGAAAACATTGAGGCTGGTTCACACATTTGTGTTCGAGTGGACTCGAGTGCGTTGCATTGCCACTTACGACGAGAGAACACTGGTGCCATCTGCCGGATGGCCCCGAAACACTTTAGACCTGCATAAAGATTTTTATGTAATGTTCTAAGTGACCATTTCTCATAGATACTGCATACCATATTTACACGATTGTAAGTTGACTCGATTGTAAGTCGACAAAAAACAATCTTTAGATGCGCATTTTATTGCGAACACATGAGAACGGCAAAGTATTTGTTTCGAAAGCCCGGCCTCTAACACGCGATCAATGCCTTCTGGCGTGCTTTGGCTGCGCATTCACAGGCGAGGTGCATGAGATGCCTAGGCGTTATCGAAACTAGGAAGTTCACGCTGGAGGCGGGACAACGAAAGCTGCTCCCTGTCCATCTCACTCCGTCCGCGACTAGACTACTGCTCATCAGCACTGGTGATGTCACTCCCGTCATGATCATTGCTATGTTCTCAAAACACGTCGTAGGCGTCGTCCAATGAAATCTTGCACTTCGCAAATGACAGCATCAACCACATCTTTCGCGCTTGCTGGGCGATCACGTTGCACGTCACGGGTAGGGACCGATTGCACACTTTTGCGGCGTTTGTAAGCGTGACCTCCAACTCCGGAAGGTATCCCCACCTATCCAGACTTTGGCCTGCGGAAGCCTCTTCATTTGCCGTCACAGTTTAGGATCCCGTGCCATTGCAGACCCCACTGAAGCATCACCTGCTCCGACGGGCCGAATTTGTGTCCAACAGTGCAGTTGTTGGTTGCTTCTGGGTGAAGAATGGTTATGCCATAAATGAGCACCAAAAACCTAGACTGCCCGGATCACGCATGTCAATACAAAAAAACATAGCTAGCGCTCCAGCATGATCTCGAAACTTGATCAAACGATGTGCAACCGTGAATCCTGCGAAAAGAAGCCGCAAGGACTGAGGGTGAGGCTGTTCCAGCGGCTTTCGGAGTGGATCTTAAGTGCCGCCACCCCCGGGAGTCGGGCACACTGTGCACTGTTCACCGCCGTATATTCCGATTAATTTGTGAATCGCTATCAATAATACTCGTTCGTGCAAATAAAAAAATAAAAAAGAATTTGTAAAATGAGCCCACAGATTAGCGCAATGCTACAGATACAGCCGGCTAAACTCTTGACAACCCGAGGTGTTCTTGATATTGTGATTGTTTTGTTTTTGTTGGCGGTGCAATGCTTTGATTCTATCATAAGTCAACAGCCCCCCTCCCCCCTTTCACTGCACTTCAAATTTCAGGGGTGGAATGGCTACGCCATTTGCACCATTTTGCGCCAGACGCATGTGTCTGCACCATCCTGCGCCATGTTGCAGAAACTGCACCACAGCTAATTCCTCGCACCATTATGCGCCGAATAGCAAAACGTGCGACAAAAAACGTTTTATTGTCTTGGTCTCGGTTTTATTGACTCGATTGGCAACAATGAGCGCGTTTAGCCTGGTCGGCCTTGCAATCCTTTTCTCCCTATGTATCCCGAGTCGGAAGCGCACGAAAAAACTCTTATTCTAAGCGCTACACCACCTGCGACTGGATTGTTATTCTTCAACCATCAGCAGTTAAGCAAGTCGGCTGAGGTGAGGTCGAGTTGTTAAGCGTCAGATTGCCTGAGGCTCTGCGGCCCGGGATCCGTACGTCAGCCAGTTGAAAACAAATGAGCAAAACGTTCCTTTTAGTACTTCATTGTTAGAAGTTGGAACCGCATTCTCGCAAGATAAATCGTGATTTGATAGAACTGAAGCGCGGTCCGATCTGGAACCTTGGTGGCCAGCAGCTCTTACGCGAGTAGTAGATCTACTCGGCGTACATTAACCTTGCTCCTGTTTATCGCTTCAAATACGATAACTTCGTTAATCGTAGTCTGCTGCTTCGATATCGAGTTGCACAATAGGATAAAATCAAATTTGTTGCCCTGTTCCTCCGTGCAACTGCACGTCCGTTGCTTACGCACGTCACGTGGTTTGCACATATAATTACTATGTCGAGCATGTGTGGGTTGTGCGATAAGCAGTGCTGATTTGCATTTTGAGCAGCTAAAAGCCACTCGGAAAATATCAAGAACGCTATCTTCTGAAATATAGGGTACTTGCTTTTTGATTCTCATTAAGGCTCACAAAGTTTAAAGTTTTTGCATCTGTTACACTGTTATCCTATCTACCTAGGTCCCTAACCTCTCATGTTCATCTATGCTGTTAAGGACAATTGAAATTGCTCCCGTGCTTGTCTAAGACACAAGCTGAAGTGCAATGAAAACTGATCTGAGCTGCCCCTAGCCTGCTCCAGAATGTAGTTTTAGCTGCTCCCAACCTGCTCCAAAACAGCTGTTTCAGCTGCTCCCGTGGCTGCTCCCAAGTACATTTCATGAGTTTCACCCGTGGATTTTCAAAAATGTTAAAAAGGGGTCGATTTGCGTTTGTGTAAAGACGATAGATCTGATGTCGCAAATACTGCAAAAACTTCTGTCTAGCAGTGATGGAAGTGCTGCGCCAAATTGCGCCAAGGACGCAATCCTGCTACATGTAGCGCCAAATTGTCATTTTACCGAAGAATTGCGCCATGCCTGCGCCGAGATGAGATGTAGCTATAAAAAATAAAAATTGAAGTCTTATCAGAGCGCGTGGCAGTACCGCGGTATTTTCCACACCGCAACTGTTACGCAAACCGAAACTGCGAGGGCGTATTATCATCATCATTATCATTGAAAGGAACAACATTAGCAACATCTGAGACCAAAGCCGCAGAGGCTAAGCAAAGAACCATCCCACTGAGCAGCCTATTTAAAAAAAATAAAAGAAAAGGCCGAGCTTGTGGATGTTGTCAATGTTGGCCCGCCCTGTTCCCGTGTGCTAGCTACCAGCGGAGTCCAAGCTAGCGCGAGCCTAATGCTCTGTGCATTCCTGACTCGCGCGTGGGCTCGTGCAGTGTGGGTACCGTTACGGGCTCCATGCGCGCGCTTGTAGCTTCGGCTGCATTCGCACCGAAACTGATATGAAGTATAGTTTAGTTGCACCAAACTCTGGATGTAGTGCTGGTAAAGCCTCACCGTCCTTTTCGGAGCACAAAGCACTGCGCGACTCGCGCGACGGCGGTGTCTGCTCTTTGGGTGTCACTTCTCTGCAGCGCGTCGGTGCATGCCAAGGAGCGCACTCAACGGGTTAACTCGCCGTGATCCGATCGTGACTTCACCAGCACATCGAAAATGAATCGGAATATTTGAAGCGAATATCAGAAACCGCAATATTTGAAGCTGCTGCTGGCCGAAAGACAACTCTAATCTGAACTAGAACATTCCACAACAGTGAAGGTCATTAGGTGCTGCTGCAGATACCTTAAAAGAAGTGGAGGCTGATAAAGCTAAATATTCTGTACCATCAGAACTCAGTGTGACATATTTAATTGTATTTTTTTATCTGACGAGCAGATAAACTTTATTTAAAAAATGTTTTTTCTTGTGTTTACTTTGTTGAATTTTATATATCCTGTCTTAAAAAGGCAACAGGTGCTGTGTTCCAATAATAGAGATGGGCTTTATACATAGCAATGCAGCATTATTTCATTTTCAAGTAATATGCCAGCATATGCCGGACCCTGCTCCAAAAGGGCCACTACTTGCTCCAGAACAACATTTTGCCTGCTACAAGGCCTGCTCCAAAAGGTCAAATGGCACTCCCATCACTGGTCCAGTTATAGTAGGTAGTTTTAGAGGTACCTGGCATCAAACAGTAGCTTTAGTGCTTCTAAATAGACCATTTGCAGTATTCCCAAGCGCCCCGGCCCGCACTCAAGGAATCATGGGAACGGTGTTCCTTCAGCTCTCTAGTGATCGTTAATTTTGGACCGACTCCATGGTTACACAGTTTTTGAGCGTAATTCGAGGTCACCCTGAACAAGCACCTGATATACCCCAAGGACCTGTCATATCACTTTTAAAATTTCTCGTCAACGTCAGCATTTTTGATACTGCCCATGCGATCCACCTTTCAACCTGGCTGAGCTGCAGAAATCTCTTACAGTATTATCATTCTCGTGATTGTTTTTTGAGCAGGAATTGCTTAAAAAGCCCATAATTCACAACAACAAAAAACAGGATTTAGCTCGGAGTCCGCTGGGCTGTTTATAGCATTTTTAGCGTTTCTAACTTAATATCAGCATGATAATAATGTAAGAGATTTCTCTAGCCCATCCAGGTTGAAGGGTGGACAGTATGCACAATATCAAAAACGCTGACATTGAGGAGAAATTTTAAAAACAGGTTATTGATTGGGGTATATCAGGCGCTTGAGGAGAAATTTTAAAAACAGGTAATTGATTGGGATATATCAGGTGCTTCTTCAGGGTGACTCCGAATTATGCTCAAAACCTGTGTAACCAGAAATAGAGTCGAAATTATTGATCACTAAGAGGCTGAAGGAACACAGTTCCCATGATTCTTTTAGCGTGGGCCGGGGCACTTGGGGGATATAGTGAATGGTCTATGCTCAGAAGCACCCTCCCAAGTCCATCGAGGCCACAGTCTGACTTGACAATCTCTACAATTACTGGTTTTTTGAGATCCAGGACATGACACCATTAGGTGCTGGCTATTCCACCTCGTTTCCACATTCTGCACCGAACATAGTGTGTCTTTTTCAATCTTCTGGTAATTCTGAGGGGCTCACTGACAGCGCTGAAATTTCCCAAAGGGGCTATTGGCTGAGGTCTCGCTTGTTGCCATTCTACCTTGACATTTGTGGCAGTGACACGCTTCGAGGCCACCATGGCTCAGTTGTCCAGTGAGCAGCGGATCAGTGCAGAAAAACAGGCCAATGCTGTGGTGCAGTATCTCTCCTCCTCTCTGCCTGCCAGCCTAGACAAATCCATCTCCAGGGAGGTGAAGACTTCTGTGGTCCCAGGCAAGTTCTTTCCTTGTCTCTGCACTTGTCTTGCCTCTGCACCAGCCTATAGAGGAAGTAGGTTTTGTAAGATCTGAGAGCAATACTGTGATTTGATGTCATGGGTCAATGTGTGTTAGTCTAAAGTCTTCTTGGTCAACTGTCTTCTCCCCAGTATACATTGGACTATATACACTTACATAGTTAAACATCAGCATAGCCGACAATTGGGATGGAATTTACTAGTATTTTGACTCTCCAGAAATAGCCAGCTAAAAAGTGTGGTGTAACAGAGTGCTCAGTCATACTAATTGGGCAGTTACCCAACTTTACCTTCAGCAATTGGAGCGTGATGTTAGTTGAAAAATAGCAGCTGTTGTACAGAGGCAGGGATAGCGATAGCTGCACCTTTGCACCATTGTACTTGATCAAAACTAGGGTGCAAATGCTCTTAGTCACTGAAATGTTTTTGTATGGGCTCAACTTGGAGAAGTTCCTTCTTTTGTTTGCAAAATTGACATCTTCAAGCTACAAATTGAGACAAGCCCTTTGCTGAAGTAGTGAAATTACCGATAAATAGATATGCTCCATTGATTATAACCACCACTTTTGTCACTTCTGCTCGCAAGTTGCTAACCTGCTTCATACTGTTGCAGCTAATTTTTTATGCCCCATAAATTTATATAAAATTACTACATACTGTTTTTTTTAATTATTATTGCAATATGTACGTAAGTTGCAAAATTCCTCAATTTGTAAATTTTCTTTTTCCTTTTTTTTTTTTTAGTTGCTATTTGCATGAAGCAACAAGCAAGCACCCTCCCAAATCAAAAGAATATTTGGCCACTTGCTTGAGTAGGATTCATGCATTCATTTCTGCCTCCAGGTTATGAGGCACTGGGTAGTTTCTTCCCAAGATGTTAATTACTTGGCATCATTGTGTATGCAGCTGTTTGCCAGACAATGGATGGGATGTGCAGCGAGGTCTCCAAGAGGTTGGAGGCGACAGAAGCTACTGTCAAGGACTCTGTTTCTAAAATGACCAAGTCAAAGGTTGGTCTAGCAGGGTCTCTGCTTTCCGCTAGCTTTCAAATTTTTATATAGAAGTTTGTCATATGTGCTTGTTTGCAGGCTGTACGGGAGTGTTTGACGGGAAGGTGCTTACGGATTTCTTTGTTTTGTAGGCCCTTATAGAAGCGGTGTCACAGGCGACAAGCATTGCAGTGCAACCACATGTGACTGCAAACTGCAGAGAGATCCTGCAGAACACATTGATTCCCACGGTGGAGCACATCTGCCAGAACTTGTTCCTGAGGCTTAACGAATCTTTCAGCAGAGGAACACGAGAATGTGAGGCACTGTCTACCTTCCTGCAATCTAGTTTTGTGGTTGGTGTGGTATGTCAGGTCAATTGGCTGCTAGAATTTTATTTAAGGAAAGATAAGAGTAAAAAAACTGCTGTTTGTTTGTTTGTTTTTTTATGTGGCTTTGAGTTGTAGGGCATTTGGAGTGATGTAATTGCTGCGCCAAACTGCGCCAAGGGGCTAACCCTGCTACATCTGCTATATTTCGCCAAAATATGGCTAATCTGCGCCAAGCCTGCGCCAAAGGACCAATTTTGGTAGCCTTTCAAAATTCGAAACTAAACTGAGAACCGTAATTGAGCTTGCGTGAGCTAGGTGGCATAAGACGCCGCCCGACACAGAGTATCCTGCATCAATCGTCTATTCGGTCTTGCATGATTTTTCCCACCGTCTCGCATTTCGCGCTGTCGTCGTCTCGGGAATCTTGTCTCGCGTCTTTTTTTCTTTTTTCTTCGGGGCACGTCGGGGCGTGTGCGGACGCCCCGACGTTAGTCTGCTAGACATGCTGTGAAACAAAACCACGTTTTTGCGCGGCGAGAGTTACTTTGTGAGCTGAAGCGCTCGCACGACCACAGTCGCCGTGGTCGCGCGACGTCGTGTGTTGCCGTCCCCACGTCACTGCAGATATGGCGCTTTTTAAACTGAAACGCATCGACGTTCCTGCTCTTGTTTAAACATACGCTGCTATAGAAATCCCTCTTTAACTCAATGACTGCTTGGCAAAGTTTTGATTACTTAGGTTTCTCTCGGTGGGCTTTCTTTCGAGAGGGACCCCGGTACGTGAAAAATCTGCCGCGAAAGAAAGTGAGCTGAAGCAAAGAAGGCAATGTCTGCACGCTGAACCCACACACCGCGCTTGTTTGTCTCGAGTTCAGTCGTTGCACAAAGCACTCCAAGAACTTTTTGACCCTGATTCGCAATGTCTTGCGTCGATACGCTCAGGTTCTTTTTTTCTGTATGTTTAGCCTGCACCTTGCCTGCCAGCCTGGCAAGCACGCTCCGCTGGACTGTTTATTGTCATATGGTGGACAGTTACATTTTGCATACTATTTTGGGAACCGGTTGGCGACGGAGGGGAGTGGCATGGTTTCGTTTTCGGTCCAACAGCCGTTGTCTCCGCTCGCGCGACGAAGCACATGTAACTGCAAGCCTGCCGAAGTTGCCCTCACATGCATGTGAACATTATTGCACGAGAGGCACCAGCTAGGACGCTTGCAATTCATTGTTTTACGTTTGCTTACTTTTTATAAAAATGTGCCACGTAGGGAACCAGTAAAACTGTATACTTGTGGGATGTCTCAGCAGCAAAAACACAAGCAACGAGTTCCGCTTAAACACGTCACATCACTACACAATACAAAGTGGCCTTTGTTTGTCCAGCACTTAAAACAAATATTTATTTTTCCAAGGTATATGCTCCAAAAGTCACTTTTTGTGCTCCGCAACACTGTTTTGGCTGCTCCAAAAGCCACATTTGCTGCTCCAAAACACTGTTTCGGCTGCTCCAAGAGGTGCTCCTAAATGGCTTAGGCCAATCACATCACTGCATTTGGTATCTTTGAACTTTCACCTTTTATGTATAAAAAAAATCTAGCCCTAACCTAATCTCAAAATTAGTCAAATATGCGTTTGAAGCTTTCCTGGTGACCCAGAAAGGCATACATTTCAGCCATTTTCGCGTGCACGGTCCTTCAGTTGTGGCATTGCTCGCCATTTCATTTATTAGTAGGCCAAGCCGTCTTGTTGCAGTCTTCGGTACCTTCATTTTTTCACGTAAAATAACAAAAAAAAAAAAAGGTTTTTCCTGCCATGAAATAGTTGCCACATGGCATTCAAGTTTGTTTTTTTGTTTTTTTTGTAATTTTGGAACTTTGCAGTTTGTGCACAAATTTAATTTTTTCCTATCTCAACCGAATTTGGCATGCATATGCTTTAGGATCTGTAGAATTCAACTATCTAGGTTTGGTTGCAATGTATGTATTTAGAGTCGTAGAATGTTATAGAAGTATTTGCGAACCCTTTGAAAATGGCTTTTTTTGTGATTTCCAATTATTGGAAGACAAAGCAAGTCTCACACACAATGTTTTTGTTCATTACCCTGAGTGCTTCATAAGGAGCGAATCAGGTTGTGGTATTCTGCTCTCTTAGATTTGTTGGCACATCTCACATGTTCACAAATGTGTTTTTTATATGCGTATTGCATTCAGAACATAAAACAAACAAGCACACAAACAAACAAACACTAGATTTAGAAAAAGGAGATAAAGCATTATAAACTGTGGCATTCTAATTCGGCTACCGTATTTTCCAAACTATGGCCAGTCAGCAATGGCCAGGCGACGCCACGAGAGTGCTGTATTGAGCGCCACAAGCGGAGGCGTGTCTGTTAATGGGGGCAGCCAGTCGGGCCATGGCGAGCAGCCGCGACACTGGTTTCAGCAGTCCCCGTGTGCACGTGCCCACCATGTCCCTGGTTCCTTTATGCGGTTTTAAGACCATCGGGAGCCTTGATAGTTCAAAATGTTTGGAGCATATTCTAGAGTTGTCATTTGGACATCATTTGAGTTGTCTTCACCGCTAGTATAAAATGTGGGCAATTAGAACCACACTCTGCATGCTAGAGAACGGTGCACACATTGCAATGGCTGTAATGTGATATGCAAGCCTGGTGTAAAAAGATGACAGGCAACAAAGCGTATGTGTGAGAAGGATATTTAGGGTTTGCATTAGCTTTTTCTAAAGAAAAACTTTTGCATCCTATTTTCTGCACACTTTCACATATGTTACCAGACTCAGCATTAAATTTGGGTGCCGAAACTAACAAAACTTTGTATGCTACGAAAATCCCTTATTTGAGAACTCGCAGGTTTGGAAGGTTATGGTTGCGACCGCGCATGCCGAATGGCTATGCACGCATGCAACTACGAGTGCCGGAACGGCCCGATTGTTCCTACCATACTTGGGTTGTAATTCAATTACAGCAATTGAATTACTTTTGTTGATAATGTCTAATTGTGATTAATTACTTTTGGTTAAAAGGAATTGTAGTTTAATTACTTTCTAGCGTCAGTAATTGCAAAATTTCAGGCACAATTGCAATTACTTTTACAGGACTTTGTGTAGCCGACGGAACCTCTCTGAAAGCCTCAGCGCTTGCACAAGCGGCCTAGCGCTCGGTGACACACTCGCACACATAGACATACACGCACAACAAAAATAGTATTGTGTTTGTTGTTTTGTCGCTTACACTGCGGGAAGAGAGACAATCCTCTTTGGAGCCTACCTCAATGGCGCCATATCCTGAGCGACCAGAAAACAATAGCATAAACATGTCAAAATATTGAAAGGACAAGAGATTTAGCTTCAGCTTTCAGCCGAGCTTGGGAATTTTAATTGTCTGTTTTTTGTTTTGTTTTTTTCTGCCAGTTTTATACGTCTTTCTTCCAGTACTGTCGCATAATTGTACCTTTGTATTATTTTCAAGTCTATTTCCTGTTGGTTTTACTTCGTATATTATTTGCCTAAGCATTTTGGAGACCGGCCTCGCACCTGTGAACATTGCCGCCAATGGTTCGGGAGCCCCGATTCGGTTCTTATATATTTCTGAGCCATTATAATTTCAACTCAATGTAAATAATTTACTATACCATGATGTTTATATTTATATGGTGTCATACCAGTGCGTGTGGATTTTAGTTTTATATTAATACTTGTAAAATATTCATATATGACTAATTGTCGCATTTTTATTTGCCGAGCTAACAAAAGTCTGTCAACCCAAATTTTTCGTTAGCCGTCTGGCGTCTTCCAGCATAAGAACTAATTTATTATTATTTATTAAAAATATAAGAATGTAGTACTTCATTGCCCCAAACTGTCGATTTCTATCATGAATTTAACAAAATTCATAAAAGGAAAGTACAATACGTCACATTTATGCAGCGATGCTTAAAGGGGCCCTGCAATGACTTTTTGACTGGTTTTTAATTTGCACTGAACCTGAGCGTACTGAACGTAGTAACTTAATCCAACTTTTCTTTTCTCAAATTTCGCTTTATTTTAAAAGTTATAGGCAAATTAGAATTACAAAAACAAGCAAAAAATAGCCTCCTTCATGACGTTGTAGGTCCTGGCTTGAGTGGCCTTGAACTAGAGGAGGAGTAGTGAGCTCATCGAGCGCGCACGGCTGCCACACTCCGTGTCGACGGCTCGAGAGGGCGCCACTAAAGCACGTATTGGATACGTTGTATGAAGCGGGCGGCCAGGGCAGCTCGCATTGCTTTTGCTGCGCGACTAATCACTAATTCGGCATAACACTTCATTGGCCACAAACCACAGCAAACACGGGGTAAAGATCAGTTCAGAACGGGAGCCACTTCGCGCTGACGCACCGTCAAATGGCGAAATCGCCAGCAGGGCCCGCGCCGAAGGCCTTCGGAACGCCCGGAACCGGTCGGATTCTTGAGCCGGTATACGACCACAGCGCCGCCGCGTATATCCGGGACCTTTCTACGCTCCTCGTTCGTCGTAGCCTCATCCCACTAGCCTTTTCTAGTATGCGCCGTTTTTTTCCGCCGCTTGGTGGCGGGTATGTCGACGGGTCATTTCTCGTTTCCGGACTTTCTAAACTGCATTTGTTTCTTTTCTGATCTAAAATAGTGAACAAAAACTACTTTCATACATAATTGAAACGGTTCGCGACACTTTTATTTTGTATCTCGACTAAAAAAAAGCTCTTAGCGGCTTTGACCAGTGGCAAGCCCAGGACCAAAGACGTCACTTTTTGCGCGCTTTCGGTACCGTGGGTCGCCCTCGTCGGTGGAGGAGGTTTCCGCGTCGTCCGGTTAAAATATGTTGCACTGGTATTTAGTTACTCTCTCCGTGCCCGCTGGCTTGCCCGAACCCCAAGAGACGTGGAAACCGCAAAAAAGGTAGATGCTTAAATATGATTGCAGGGCCCCTTTAAGGCTCCTCAAACATTGGGGCAAGGAATGAACAAATACGTTACATTTTATGCAACTCGTTTAAAGCTATATGCTCAAGTCGGGTCGCCCTCAGAAATAAGTAATTGTAAAGTAATTTCATTACTTTTGAAAAGTAATTTATAATTGTAATTAATTACTTTTCATGTAGTAGTAATTGTAATTGTAGTTAAACTAGTTTTGAAGCAAGGTAATTGTAATTCTAATTACATTACATTTTTAAAGTAATTTACCCATGTATGGTTCCTACCATACGTGGGTAAATTACTGTAACAAACCGGCAAAAAATAAAATTAAAATAACTTCATAGACAAATAAAATTCCCAACCTCGGCTGAAACTTGAAGCTAAATTTTGTTTCACTATTTTGGCATGTTTACGCTATTGTTTTCCGCTCGCACCGCAGACAGTGCTACACGGCGCCGTTGAGGTAGGCTCCAAAGAGGATTGTCTCTCACCCCGCAATGTAATCAAATTTTAAAAAAATGCGACGCTATTTTTGTTGTGCATGCGTGTGCATGAGTGTCTATGTGTGTGAGTATGTCACCGAGTGCTAGGCAGCTTGTGCGAGCGCTGAGGCTTTCGAGAGGTTCCGTCGGTGCCGCAATGCTTTGCAAAAGTAGTTGTAATTGTGCCTGAAATTTTGCAATTACTGACGCTAGAAAGTAATTAAATTACAATCGCACAAAATAGCAGCGAGGTCATTGCACCGTGCAAACAAAAGTTGCCGTGATGCATTGCAGCAGTGGTGGCATTGCCAAACTGGCCACCGAGATTGGTTGATTACTTTGCACCTTTGAAAAAGAAGAGAAGCGTATAAAAGCTAAAATCTACACAGGGCCGTAAGTGAGCCAAGAGTGGTGGAATATGGGTGTTTCTTACCAAATCAAAAAGGGCAAATATTCTAAATTAAATTTCATTGCTGATATTGTTGTGGTATGCAGTGCAACACAAACCTGGCTTATGGGCGAAAGCGTGCGTTTCTCATTGGGTCAGCTTTTGCAATATAGAGTATTTAGGAGCTAAACCCGCAGTTCCATGCCTGTAATCTGGCTCGGCTTTGGTTTTGCCCGAGGGTCTAGTTACTGTCAGTGTTACAGCAATGGGGCCTGCGTCTGGGAGAAACTGAGGATGTGTGCCGTTCCCTGGTGCATGTGCAGTTGTGCACCAGGTGCAGGTGTACCTGGAGAAGAAGAGCAAGGAGCGCGTGGATGAAATGACGAAGAATGTGCGGCAGTCTGTGGATCGCCACCTGCAGACTTCGGAGCGCTACATGCAGGCCTCGGTGCGCAACCTGCAGGAGTCTCTGGCAATCCCAGACCTTCAGGGTCCCATGGAGCGCGCAGTGCACGAGGCAGTGCAGGGGCTCGGGGCAGCCGTGCACCAGTCCCTGGCTGGGTAAGTGGGTCTGGGGACTAACTCGACTGTGAACTGTGTTTAGGCTCGACTGTGAACTGTGATCACGCTTAACTGACCGAGATGCTGCTACACCGTCTTCCCATCTCAGCTGGAGCCAAATCTAGTGTCACTTTTTTAAGCAAGGAAACAAAAATCTAAACACTTCAAGATAATGAAAGCCGCATCGACATCACTTGTTGTTGTTTTCTAAAATGATGCAAATTGTAATCATAGACGCGCAAAAAAATACTAGAACACAAAAAGAAAATACCACGCGCGCGTGCCTTTTTTATTTTGTTGCCCATCTCTCCACCTTCTCACGTCCTCGCTTTTTATTTGTGATGTAATCGATTATGAAATTTGGAAGCTTTGTAAGCGACATTTCTAGAATATTTAATAACGGCATTCGTAAAACCTGTTTTTTAATGTTCGCGAGAAAATCGGAGTCCGGAAGTGATGTCGCCTTTCGGCTTTTATCCTTCCTCTGAAAGCATGGCGGTGCTCGGCACCTGTAGCAGTGCGGATGATCGGGGAGTCGGGGTATCGGACGAAGTTCTCGGTGTTTGGTAGACTTACCTCTAGTCTGGGTTTTGCTTCGTATAATGTGACCTGCTGCGGGAATTTCGTCGGAACGACACCACGCCTCAACCGAGGTACCATTTGAATGCCCAATGCTCAGGGACACTTGCACTGATCTCATAATCCTCGTTGACAAAGTGTCGAGAACAAATAAAGGACTTCAATCCTAAGCCCTCGAGTAGTCCTTCAGGAATTGCAGCTAGCCAGTCCGCCTTCTCTGACGCATTCTTCGGGAACCTGTGCAGCGCACTTTCGGTTGTGACTCTGCCGCGGGGCAGCCTTTCACGGAGCACCTATACAACATCGCCCCTCATTTCACTCACAAAAGTCCGCTGGGCATCCTCTTCGACCCTACACTGTTTTAAAGAATTTGAGATCGCTGGAAGGGCTCTAAAAGAACTTCAGGCTCGGAAGTGAAGCGTCGTCTGCTCACAGTCATAGGCAGCACACATGGATCGCGTTATGCGGACTAACACGACACTTCCGGTTGGAGGCGGGAGAGAAACTCGAGCTACAGGAGAACTCTATCTTTGACGTCGCTGCACTGGCACGGATCACGCAGGAACTTCAAATTCCGCAGTAAACTGGTGGATGCGGATAAAAATTAGACGGATTTTGGCGGATTGCAGATCGGATGCGGATGTCAGGGGCTGCGGATGCGGATATCCCCGTATCCGGATCTAAATTTTTGCCCGGCGGCATTCAGTTCGTCGATTGACGTTTGATCTACAGATCGTTTCGTCAACATGCGACGTTTGATCGAAAGGCTTCTCGTGTTCGTTTCATCAAAAATCCTGAGACGTTTTGTCGCACAACCCTGCTATTTTCATAACAAACTTTTTGCGTCTCGCCTGGATTACAGGGGGGAGGGAGGCATGGTTTGGTTAAGCACGCCTTAGTGAATCGAACGCTAGCTTTTAGCGGCTTAGTGGAGAAATACGTTGTACAAAACTTTGCAGGGGCACGCGCCCACAAAACGTACCGCGTCGACGAACAGTGTGTCCAAGTGTATGTCCGTGAAAAGCTGTCCACGAAAGGTATTTCCACAAAGCGCGTTTCGAAGAAACGATAGGGATCGTAGAAATATCTGATTCTTACTGAAGATTGCTTCAGTTAGTGCATTTCATCTCGTCAACAATGCTATCTATAGAAAAAAGAAACCGCATCTCCACGTGGTGAACGATGTTGATTGGGGCGAAGCTCTGGTGGTGCTTGTCTGCATAGCCGCTGAGCCGCAGCATGCTGAGCCTTTTGTTCGTTTTCATCCATGTCACGCTGCGGTCAAATGCTCAAATGCGTATATAACTACGTTCCATACCACACATTCTCTTTCTGACATGGATGAAAACGAACAAAAGGCTCGGCATGCTGCGGCTCGCCGTCTACGCAGACAAGCACCACCAGAGCTTCGCCCCAATCAACATCATTCACCACGTGGAGATGCGGTTGTTTTTTTGTTTTTTTTTTTGCCCTACACGAGCACGGGAGCATGTGCTCACGTGGTCGTGACCCGACGGCGGACGGACATACGGACATAGCTAGCCCCTAAGGAGCTTCGCCCCTAAAAGTAAAAGTAAAGAATGCAGGGCATCAATCGTCCTGAGAAAGCTAGTACATTGGCAGGGAAAGAGTAGTGCGCTGTGAAGCAGTATCAAGAGTGGAAAACTTTACCAGGCAAAGAAAACCTCAAACGAACAAGTCACAAGAAAGTAGAATAAACCTCCCCCTCTCCACAGAGAGTGGTGTGGTCATGATACCAAAAACAAAAGAAGTGCTTGGACAGCGAGCGCGACCCTGTGGCGCCACGACTTGCAAAGTTTCGGGCGGCGCACGCACATAGGTAGCCCTTAAATTGCCTGTTTCTTTTTTGTATGCTTAGAGTTCTAGCCAAGAAAGTCCGGTAGTTCATATTTGTCCGGTTACGACGCCAGGGCGCCGCAGTGCCAGCAGCTGCCGTGCACAACCTCCGTAACCGCTCCAAGCAAAAAAAAATTTTTTTAATATATATATCTGGGCGCCTGCAGGCTGCGATCTTTCTCGAACAACACGTTAGTCGATCCGATCAGGCCTTGGACTCTGACTTAGCGGCACATGTGCCCACTGGCTGACACGAAACACCGTGAGACTGGAGGCGGCCGCATACGCTCGCAGTAACATCACAGAAAGGATTTTGTCTTCCTACCACTGCTTCTCGTCCTCTCTTTGCAAACTTTCTTTTTTTTTATGACCTTTTTTCTTAGGCGTTCAGACTTCAGTGGAGAGTTAAGGGGCCACAGGTGGAAAGTTTCCGATTCCGCGTGCGGCGGGGAAGAACGCGGTCGGCATGATTTCCGCTGATTTTGCTAGTCTAAATGTAATCGTAACCTCTGGTGGTTAGCAAGAACATCGACATGGTTCCACATTTTGCGGATGCGGTTCGGATACGGATACAAAGTATGCGGATCGGATACGGATACAATAATGTAAAAAGTTTGCGGATGCGGTTTGGATGCGGATACAAAGTCTGCTAATGCGGATCAGATGCGGATACTCAAACTGTTATCCGCGTAGGGCTCTAGTGCCAATTAGGGGAGACACTATCCGGTAAAGTCAACTTCTGTACCGCTCGCTTGATTTCTATCAAACTCTCAGTGCAAGTTTATATGAGTGGCAAGACCATCCCTGCCATATTTCATGATCCTATGTCGATTCTGAAACTTGTTAGGAATGTTACAATATGGAAATCAGTTTGTTCGCTTAGGAAAACTATCGTTCTAAAATAAAATAAGAATTTGATTTTTATGTGTAATATAATCATAGGAATACCCATAGCACATACCCAGCTAGTTTGTTTGCTATATTGCATTGCTTTTCGCAAGTATAACTCCAAAAGACGATTAAATTTTTTTTTCGTGTCTGCGCTTTTTTACAAATGTAGTCTTTTTAGCATAAAAGAAAGGTAAAGTAAAAAAACTAACCAGCCAGGCATGTTCCTCACAAAATTCTTTCCCAGAAAACCATCTAAGAATAATTCTCTTTTGTGTACTAGGAAAACGACAGATTTCCTAAAGTGAAATTTATGCCTAAAAGTGGAACGGAGAAAATGCATTCAAACTCCAACCCCTACCTTTTCTTTACTATCGGTGGACCAAAAATCATTTATAAAAAATTGACTATGCAGTGTAATCTAATTAAACGTTCTGGGAATACTCACTAGATGTTGGTGGATGTAAATATGGCATTTCTTTTTAATCAACTTTTTTTGCAGAAATGTTTCTTTCTATTTTTCTATGTACTGTCCTCCCTTGCAGATACATTTCCTCAACTTCCAGGTGTTATATTTTGCTCTAAATCAGGACTTCTGGTCAGAGTCCCACTGATGTGCAGACGGTGGAGTTAATGAAATGCTTGCAGGATTCGCATCATTTTAATCACTCTGCCCATCAAACTATGGTCCGATTACTAAAAATCTAAAAGGCTGAGGGATTTGTCGTCACATATGCTCGAGCATTAATCTCTTTCAAAAAGAAGGTTTTGTATCTCTTCGTTGGCTAAAGCAGCCATCCCCACCAAGGCCATGTTTTAGTGTGAACTCTCGCAACTGCTTTTTTTTTTGTTGGCTAAATAAAGCATTCTCTCTCTGTCAAACAGCAAAACAAACGAGCAAACTGCCCAAGGTAAATGGAGCAGCAGGCCATATGCCAGAGCGTGCTAACCAAGCGCCAAAACCGAAACACAAGTCATACTCGTGGTTGGGCTTAAAGGTCCGTAAGGGGCGGCACGAGTGACACTCATTATTGATAGGCGAGGGGGTTAAGGGATTGGCGGGGTAGATGATGTATGCGATTCCTCATCTTCTATTACCCGTTCGTGGGCAAACAGTGCTTGGAAGAATTTGTCCAGGAAGGGGAGTAGTTGGGAAACTAATGCAGACCAAGGATGTGGGGACAGTACCAATAGGTATGTGGAATGTTGGGGAAGCCAAGGAGGGGGGGGAAAGAGGAGGAGGAGGGAGGGAGGGTGGGTGGGTGGGTGGGTGGGTGGGTGGGTGGGTAAGTGGGTGGGTGGGTGGGGAAAGAATTGTATCAAATGGAGGTGATCGAGGTGTCTCTGGGCTTGCCGGATGATGCTAGCATAGGTCCTGGAGAGGGAAGCTGGAGGGAGTGGGAGGCGGTGTTCTAGGTGTGTGTGCCATTGTTGGTGTTGTGAGGTGCAGAACGTGTGGGGTGATAATAGGTTTGCCGGGGAGTGGGAGTACCCTGAGAAGTATTAACTCTGGTAAGCGTGTTAGCATGTGCGATCCCTTCCACATCCACGTGGCCAGGCTTTGAGAATAATCAACTTAGTGACCTTTTAGAGCTATATTTACGGCGCAACATGAATTTGTAGTTGGCACCCGCAGGAGCCACTACGCTGGTCACGTGGTAAACCTGTGCACTGCCACAAGTTATGCCATAGCTGTTAGTACTGCTGCTGAAATCCCCAGAACCCCCACCCAGTCACCACTGGCTGAGCATGGCGTGCCGCCGGCTTGAACGCATTTCTTCACTCCGTCGCCGTCAATTTTTGTCCGGCGCACATGTCTATCACATGGTGCTTGCGCTGTTTTGGGAGCTTCCTATGGGCTCTATAAGTAACTTATTAATCTTAATTTTTTTGTTGCACTTAAAACAAAGATTACTAAGTAATTTGTTGAGCCCATACGAAGCTCCCGAAAGAGTGCAGGCACCATGTGACTATAGCGGTCAGTCACATGACCATACCGGCCACTTTTCCGCGCGTTCCTGTGGGCGCTAACTACAAATTTGTTTTGCTCCGTAAATATAGCTCTAAAAAATTTTTTTTTCATTGTAAATTTATTTTATGACATCTTTTTTCTATCCTGTTTAAAAAAGAAAAAAAAAATCTTTTGCATATGTTTTTTTAACAACTTTAAAAGCTGTGTACAGGAACAGCGCAAGAAAGCCGTCGGTCTTGGGTCCTCAGCGAGTGGTTTGTCTGGCACTTTGCAGCCAGCAGGAGCAGCTTCTGGCTGCCCTGAAGGAGGAGCTGCGGGAGACCCTAAAGGAATCAGTGGCCCAAGCGGCCGCCGAAGGAGCCACTGTCCGGTCCCAAATGGCAACGCCAGTCCCCATGGCAGACCCCCAGCTGCTGCAGCAGCAGATTGGCCTGCTGGTTCGCCAGGGCCACTACAACACAGCCTTCCAGCAGGTGAGTGCCCCCCTCCCCTCCATCTGGGGATGACCGAAACGGTTGGGTTCCTCGTGAATCGGAACTACCATACCACTGAATTGCGACACTCGAGCACATGAAAAGGATGGTAAACCGAAATTTGGATTTTAAAAAAAAAAAAAAAATGCAGGAGATGTAGGCGAGAGACGCTACAATCCCTACAACACTACTCGTAAGGCGATATCTCGAATGGACGGCCATATTTTTTGGAAAAAAGACGTTGAGATTGAACCAGGCTGACGAGGCGCGTGACGTCAAGATATATTGTTTCCTCCTCTCTTCGCTTCGCTCACTCAAGGCGGCAAGGCGGAGAAGACGCGAGGCCGTTCCCTCTCCTTCTCGGAAAAAGAAGACGTAAACATATCTGTCAAATGTGCCTCCTTTTTTTTTTTTTTTTTTTTTTTTAAATATGGTCATCCATTCGAGATAATGCTGTACGAGTGATGTTTTGGTGTTTGTAGCATCCCAATGCACGCTTTTGCCACGTGTTTTGTGGAATCCAGATTTTGGTTCAGCATCCCTTGAAGATGCTTGTGAAATGCTACTCCAGTTACCAAAGGAGGAAAGGAATTGCATTACAGCTGCAATTACTCTTAAGGAGAGTAATGTATTCCTTTGTTTTTAATATTGTTAGACTCTCTCGGCATTGTAAATGAGCCACGGCATGGATGTGTACTGCACGACTGCCAAGCTGCACCCCACCGTTTTCAAAGTGGGACACACAGATAAATATACCTTCCTTCCATGAAATGTATTTTGTCTCAAGGTTGCTAAAAGTGATGTAGCTTCTGTAAGGTGGTGGTTGCTGTGGCATTAGTAGTCTCATTCCCGAGATGGTGTAATGCCGAGTCTGTTCCGTGTCCAGGCTCTGTCGGTGGCTGACCTGAGCGTGGTGGTGGCCACCTGCGAGATGGTGAGCCCGAGCAGCCTGTTTGATGCAAGCCCGTGCCCCCTGCAGCAGCCAGTGCTGCTCTCCCTCATTCAGCAGCTGTGTGCAGATCTGGCAGCCAACACCGACCTCAAACTTAGGTGAGTCTACGACTCTTGCTGCAGCTCTTCCTCTTAAGTGAGAAATGAGTGCCGGAAAGAGACACGCAAAGCATGTTCTTCACATTTGATTGATATATTTTTCGACAAAGTACTGCGCTTGATTTTGTTTGCAACATTCTCGTAGTAGGTAGTTCATTTTTTTTCGATACCTTAAAATCCTAAATGAACTCCCGCTGCCGAAAGATAGCCCACCCCATTTTTATAAATATTCATGGCGAAAAACTACCGAGACATCTGCCTGCTTTGTGTGGTGTTCGACCAAACTCCCCTCAGCCGCCGTGCTACTGGTTAAAATAGAATTTGCTTGAGTGCGAAACTTGCTAAATCGAAGTGAAATGCTGGCCGTGTCTCCGAGATTGTGCGCACTTTAGTCATGTGCGAATAGTAGATTTTGAGTTCAAAGCAAATAGTGGCTTTGGCCAAATATATTTTCTAATCAAATATTGAATAGTTTCTCCAAGCCTTTCACTACTGTTGCACCATGCGTAAATGAAAACCCAGCTGAACTCATGAAGGTTGTGTCCCATTTATAAGCTCATTTTAATCTAGGTAACTATATTTATGGACTGTGAGCTCAGAAAGTCCAATGGCTTAAGATGGCAAGTAAGCGACGGATTTGACGTAAAATTAAGCTAGACCTAAATACCACCTATACCTAAATGAGTGGATTTACAAATATTTCTATATGCAAAAATCCTTTCTTAAATTTTTAATTTGGAAAAAAGAAAAGAATCATGAATGATGAGCACAGGTTGTCAGGGCATCCCTTTTTCACATATATCCTTGCATAACAGCCACAGTTTAATTTTGACAATTTTACTGCTATGTAGATATCACCATTGACAAAGTCTCCTTTTCTTTTTAAATACACCAGGTGCATGCGTGCACCTTTACCATCCCACTTTGCAACTGTGCCTTTGTTGTACCTTGTTGGGTGAGCTATTTGAAATTTCGAATATTAGCGCATCACTAGCGCACTTTAGTATAGCACGGTGCAGTTTAGTGAGTAAAATTATAAACATACACGAAACAAAGAGCTGCAACCAGCAAATCCCAAGACTTTTTATTTGCTGGCCTTCTCATACCAGCAATTGCTTATAAATAAATCAGGAGCACAAGCAAATTAACACACGCATTAAATAACAGGATGCATTACAGACAAGAGCGATGCTGCTACTGTCAACTATATTCATATTCACCTCAAGAACCTTAGTAAAAAAAATAGTCTCCATGTTTGGTCATTCTGTTGAATGTGTTTAAATGTGGTAGCTTTATAGGGTGGGTGGTGCCTAGATCAGGAGGACCCTTAATCTTTCAGTGCCTGGGGTGGATGGTGCTCTTAGTTTAGGCGGTGCCGAGGGCAGTGTTTTGTATGGAAACAGATTATGTCACACCATTGTCTCTTTGACGCTGTGCGCACTTCCCTTCAGCACCACCCGGATGCAAAGCATTTTGCTGAATTTTATGGGTTCTCCAAGACAAGGGAAGCACTCTTCCCTGCCCTCTCCACTCCTCGTTCTGCACACTCTTTCTACACCACCTGTATAAGTTGCGGATTTTTGTTTCATACATTTTTCTTGGTGCGTCTTATACAACGATGCAACTCACCATATTTGCACGAATATAATGAGACCACGAATATAACGCGAAGGCAGGTTTTGATGCCCTCAAAAATAAAAATAAAAGATCCTATTAGTACTATTATAACCCGAGCAGAGGCCGGGTACATTTTCCTCACTCCCGGGTGTAGGAGAAGTGAAAAGGCAATGGATATAGAAAAAATATCAGTTTATGTTTCGACTGCACTCATCCTCACTGCTCAGGTCCTTCCGTTTACAATCCACTGGGTGACTAGGCACATAAGCAGCAGTACAGTGCCCCTTGTCTGGTAATTCCTTTTTTTTTTTCCGCGTGAGCTCCTCTGCAGCCCACAAGCAAAGCAAGGCATGAAGCAGAAGCACCAATGCACAAACACCAGACCACTCTCGAGTAGAGACTAAAAAATGCGCAGGCAGAAAAAGGACTGCAGAACCCGACACCCGACACACGATCACACTTATTCTTGTTCTGGTCCCACCGCATAAACAAACACCTTGTGTTGATACGTAACCGTAAACACGGTGGGTGGTCTTGGCTTGACTTGGCCTGGCTTGGCCTGGCTTGGCTTGACTTGAAATGAATTGGCCAGTTCCCACATTTCCCCATGGCACTCTGTGTTTCTGCTGTGTGTGCAGGTTGTACAAACACAAAAGGGATAAAAATGTTTTTTATGTTTTCTATTCATCCCTTCACGTGGCCCAAAAGCTAATAAATTCCCCCCCACACCCCCACTTCTTTTCCCACCCGATCTCCTCCATTGAGCTGGAGGGTTGGCTTTCTCCTCTGGCTTTCTCCAGACTTGCGCGCATAGCCTCGTGGCTGAACTCGATTCTGAATATAACGCGAGGCACGTTTTGGAGCACGTAATTCCGAAAAAAAAAACTTGCATTATATTCGAGCAAATACGGTATATGCGGGTTTTTTCAAAAAAAATTTCACGGTGCGACACCCTTTTTTTTTGCGCCGCACGGCATCGTTTGTAGAGCACCTTAACTATGTGGCCCTAGGCGGCATTGCCCCTTCCAGGAGGCACTGCTTTCGCTATACTCTTCTACACTCTTTATAACTGACTCAAAAAGCGAAGGATTTGACGCTTTCCCCAAAGGGCTCAATGTATATAGGCAAGGCAGTGAGAATAAAGCTTTTACAGCGTGTGATCGACATTGCCTAATTCAGCCATGGTTCCGTATTCTTTTGCTACAGACCAGTAACACTGAAAGGTAAATGGGCTGATATACACACATTGCAGAAAATTTTTTCTTGTCTTAGTTTTTCTTTTATAAGCAGTTTCTTTCTGCAATGCTCCAGCTGCATTTCAACATGTAAAAGGAAGGATTGCAGCTAGCCGATCTTTTAGCAGTACCGAAAGAAGTGTCAAGATTTCTCTACTGTAAAGTTCAGAAAGAACGCCCACCCAAAATGAAGAGATAAATGGTGAAAAACATGGGGTGGGCTATCTTTGGGGATGCCACAGCAAAACTTTATCAAAAATTAATGATAAACATGCTAACACCGACTACAAACCACGTCACGCAGGAGCTGATACCGCAAATCGTGGACACTACAAATTCAGGTTTCACGATGTGATAAACACGTGGGAATTCGCTACGAACTTGTGTGTCACGGGAAAGGATACTGCAAGTTGCCAACGCATCAGATTCGCGTTTTACGGTGTGAAGGATCCGCGGAAACCTGCCAAGAACTTCCATTTCAAGGGAACAAATACCGCAAATCACGGACGCAGCATATTCAAGGTTTATGGTGCAATAAACACGCGGGAACCCGCTACAAACTTGCCTGTCACGGGAACCAATACTGCGCGCGCAGATCACGGACAAAAACGCACTAATTTATATTGCAGATCGCGAATACAGCAGAATCGTATTTCACAATGCAATATACACGCGGGACCAACTCGCGTAGAATCAAAATCGCACGCGGGGATCACGAACAAACGCGGGAACCCGCTACAGACCTTATACAGGAACGGATACTGCAGATTGTGGACGCAGCAAATTCGCATTTCACAATTCATCATACACGTGGAAAGAACTCGCTTATTACAAGAGCCGATATCGCGTGCGCAGATCGCAGACTAAGACTTGGGAACCCACTATGCACTCCCTTGTCAGACGTGCTGGTGCAGCAAATTGCACGGTTGATGCGATTCCCGTCAGACATTGCACTGTTTGTCCCGTCGGACAAACAGTGCAATGCTTTGAGCGGAAATGGCTGATTACACGACTGCGATCGCCAACAACCACAGGCTACAAGTCGAAAAAAAAATAAAAAATTGAGCGGATATGGATGTGGCATTACTTTTTTGGTTTAAATATAATTGAAATTCATAAATTTGTGATTATTCATTCTTTATTCTTCATATCTTCTCGTTATAGAAAAAAAGATGGTCGCGGGGGTTGCAACCTCTACAGTTTGCCCAGTTATCGTGAAACAAAGTATGGGAGCCAGTTGAAAACAAAACCATTTCAAAATGCTAATGCATCTTGAAATGGTTTTGTTTTCAACTTATGGGATCTGGGTTGCTAAATTGGCACAACGTTTTGTCTTCATGGGGCTTAAATTGTGCTTCTTTTGTTGACTGTGCCTTCTATTGGCAATTTATAAGAGGAACCAACCCGCTACCAGGACAGTTATCAATAGCTGCCATTAAGATAAATTGCAATTACCGGGTTATATTTAAGGAAAGGGTATGCTTGGAAATGGTTCTGGAATGCTACATGGAGTTGCTTTTTTGTTGTGATATTTTTGTATTTAGACAAACACCTTCACACCTATACACCAACTCATGTTTACGAACAAACTGGAGCGCCCCTAGCGGACGCCACCGACGCCGCGAATGCGCGATGGGGGTTTGGACAAGAAGCTCGCCGTCGCCCATAAACCATTGGAATGGGATGTTGCCGGCGTCGGTGTGAGTCCCCGCGCTCTTTTTCGTGTTGGAATTGTTGATTCTACGTCTTCCTGGCAATGTCTGACTACTTAAGCAGCCTCAGCGAAATTAACGAGGCTCGTTATACCGCAAACTCTGCATGAATAATGTGACATGCCGATATTGATTCCACGTGGGCGCTGCAGAATGGACGCCAAAGCCTGATTCACATGGTGAGGTTTTGCTCTCTATTTTCAATCATGACGACGCTCGGACTGCAAAAGCCTGAACCGTAGCTGAGATGTCGACGTCGATACTGAAAATCGCAAGCAGAATCGGACCGAGTGAATCAGGCATAACAAGTCGGTGATGGCCACTGGTAACAATTATCAACATCTCCTTACATCTAATGTTTACACCGAGCCGAGCTACTTGCCGGAAGCAACCTTCAAACTTAAACGTCTTTTGAGGTCTGCACTTCTTATCGAAATTACCGGGTCAATGTTTAGTCTACGGGCCACTGTCGTTTGAACGAGCAGACGACAAGCAGAAACGTTTGAGAGAGCAGGCGACAGCTCGAACGATGAGGCGGCCGTTTGAATGTGATGACGCAGTGAACATAGTCCGCAGGTGGTCTGTGCAACTTGACGGTTTTCCTGCGTTCATGTTGGAACAAAGCAAATAAATCTGACGGCCGCAAGTATCCGTCAATTCAATCCAAAGTGCTTCCCGCCCAAGCAATCGTGGTCCAACGGCGTCTGGTTTTCCTTTTTCACGGCCCCTGTTCACGTTCTCGGACGAACCGAGCAGGCAGAAAACGCGTGAAAATTGACCTTCAAACCTTTTCCGATTCTTTTAGTAAAGCCCCAGTCGTGGCATTTTGACGAGAAGGCAGGTATTTGTCCGGTTTCTTCCAAAGTGACACAGGAATGCACATGCCCCATGACGGCTTCCGCCCACAACCCCAGACCGGAAGTGCGCCCGACGCGCCACCACCGCACCGTGACGTAACAGAGATGAGTTTGTGTATAGCCCCAAGTTTGACCTGGATGACCAGCTCCAAGACTTAGTTATGCTGCTACGAAATGCGGCTTTTGTGGCTCGTGAGCTGCTTCAAAGCAGAGCTTTTACCGCTCCAAAGCTGCTCCAAAAGAGCATCTTTGCTGCTCCCAGGCCTGCTACAAAAGGCTGAAGCTTGCTTCCTCCCCTGTGCATACAGTTTGTTGTCTGCTATATTGGTTCTTGTATTGTGCGAAATTAGTAGAGAGTGCTTATCACTTATTTATGTTTAAAATTGTGCTGCCCGATCTTGAAAGATTGCCCACCCGATAGCTTTCCCCATTTATCTCTTCACTTTGGATGGGTGTTCATTCTCGGTACTACTAGTGGCTTATCTTTTTTGGAGTTAATTACTTTGCTGTAGCTGGCTTCTTCAGGCAAACGCAGGCATTAATTACTCTGGGTGTGCATTGGTCTGTCTTAACCTTGCAGGTACCTCGAGGAGGCAGTGCTCAGTTTGGACCGGGAATACCCAGTGACCAAGGAGCATGTGAAGGCCATCCTCACTTTGCTGTGCCAGAAGCTGAACAAATTTTTGGTCACTCAGCCGAAGCATCAGTTGGCACGCAATGTCAAGAGGCTCCTCATGGTTTCTCAGTCCCTGTTGACCAGCTAGCCAGTACAAGGGCATCTAAGGACATACTTTCCTCAACCCCAGATGTTTTGTGGTTCTGTTTTCGTGCTCCAAAATCCTGAGCAAGTGCTGGTTGGAAAGTTGTATTATTAAGCTAGGAGCAGGCACTTGTTTGGCTACCCAAGAGGTGAGAAGCAAGGAGGATGTGCCCAGTGCTTAGTTCTTCCAGGGCTCGGAAACACTTTGTATGATATGACAAATGCCATGCTGCTGCTTGTGTGACAAACGCCATGCTGCTGTTTGTGTGACAAATGCCATGTGTTATTAGTGTAAGTGCTCCCACTCCCTTTTTGTGGCTGCAGTAAAAGTGTGTGCTCTGTGTTCATTTTGAATTTTAAGGGCATCCATGGTTTGAGGGTTAACCCTTGCTCAGGATTTTTAGGCATATCATAGCTCTCTGTTTTGATCATGCAGTTTTATTGTTAAACAAATTGTCATGTTTCCGTCTCTTTTTTTTTTTTTTTTTTAGTGTGTGTGAAGAGGTGATCCTCATCTCATCTCATTTGCTTGCATTTCTATAGAAATAAAGTTTCTATTTATTCATACAATGGTCAAGTTGGAAACTGTTGCATACGTGGGCATAGAATTTTGTTGACCACTTCTGTTGGTAATCAAAAGGTTTTGCTTAGATCAGGCGCCTCAGCATGTAAAGAATAAACTTGCTGTATTTTATTATATTTTTTTATAATTTTGTGTAGTTCTCGTCTTACTGCGAGATTCACATTATGTACGGCTCTTGTTATGTGAATGAGGTGGCTACTTAAAGGGCAACTCCGGTCAAAAACGAAACCAGAATAAATTACTGGTATCGCTCTAGCGGCACGAAATATGATCACAGCCGAAATATGTCAAAGTGAAGCTGCATACTGCACTAAAACAGACTTAAAACTGCGACGAGCTTCTCTTTAGAGGACAGCAAGTCGGTTAGCTTTTAGTCAAAGAACACAGGCGAGGCACCCTTGTCACATCATGGTGGAGCTGCGGTCGATTGGTTGTACTGCGTACCGCAGCACCCTTGTGACGTGTCACGGCCATACGGCTTATGATCAATGTTGCCATCCCTCGTACTGGTTTTGCCGTAGATGCCCGAAACCCAACTTTGAGCCGTGATATTTATAAAACTACACGCTATATTCAAATGAAGAAAAATACCTTGTAATTCAGGGTACACTGCTTTATCTGAGAACGGTCATAATCCCAAATTAAATAGATATTGGCTGGAGTTGTCCTTTAAAGGGGCCCTGCAATCCTACTTAAGCTTATACCTTTTTTGCGGTTTCCACATCTCTTGTGGTTTGGACAACCCAGCGGGCAGGGAGAGAGTAACTAAATATCAGTGCGTCATATTTTAACCGGACAACGCGGAAACCTCCTCCTACAGGGGCGCCCCGTGGTGTCGAAAGTGCGCGGCATGTGACGAAATCGTGACGTTTTTGGACCCGACGTCGGCCGAGGAGAGATCTGCCATGTTCCCAGGCAGCTTCTCACCTCGGCCTCCCCACATTCCTCAGTAGGGGACTCCTCTGGCACGGGAAAAGGGGGGACGGAGGACCAAAGACGTCATGAAGGAGGTTATTTTTTGCTTATTTTTGTAATTTTAATATGCCTATACCTTTTAAAATAAAGCGAATTTCGAAAAAAAAAAAAAAATATTCACTAAGTTACTGCGCTCAGGTTTGGTGCAAATTAAAAAAACAGTAAAAAAGTCGTTGCAGGGCCCCTTTAAGGTTAGACATGTACTCTGGGGCAAACATCCTGTTTGTTGAAGCGATTTGTGGAGCTTCTCAGATACTTTGTCCAGTGCATATTGGATTTTAGTTCTGTGGCATGACAGTATCAGTTTTGAAGTAGCTTTGTTTTGATGCGAGGAAATCTCTGGGAGCGGGTTGGAGTGGAGAAACTGGAATGCTCTGCAGCAAACTGACATGTTGCTTGTCATTCCTTTCTGCCTTCAGCCCTGCCAAATCGCTGTAGTGGAAAGTAATAGTTTAATGTGCATAAAGACCACTGCTAATGAATGATGAAGCCATCTAGCAATGCCTCCAGAAGTTGTTAATTTTCATGCCTTCAGCCAAGCAAACGGCACCAAGCATCCCAAATACTACAGAACTGCCCTGTGAGGAACGCTCGCACATTTACTTTTCTGCGTCAGCATCCAGCTAAATTTGCAATATCCATAAAGCTGCTGAATTACAGCCACAGTCCAAGAGTACCCTCGCAGACAATATGAGCTGAAGCATCCAGTCCAGCTTTATTCTCCCTCTGCGATTCCCATAAGCTCTAGTGTATCTCAGTTTGTCAAATAGCCCAAAGTATGACACCTCAACTTCGCATTCTATTCCTAGTTCGGACCACAGCTCTCTCAAAAACTGGCGGGTACACCAAAGAAGCATGGAGGACTGTTTTTGCTGATACTGTCTGCGATAGTATATGCTTGTAGATATGTATAGCAAAAATGGATGAGTTAAAAAAATTGGGGTGTGTGTTTATACAGCCTAGAACCTAGTCTGCCTTAACAGGTTATACTTGTCTCCCGCTGTAAATGAGCAATTTAGTCTATGCAATACAACCGATAGCCTGGGGTCTTTATCGTACAGCGCGTAGTAGTGATACACGACTGCACGCCGGTACAATGCTCATCCAGATCGAAACGAGCGGGGTGGGGCAGGTGGGGTTTGAACGCAGGATCCCATGGGTTCTGCAGAGCAAGGTTTCGCTCCACGTGCTCCGGCTATCTCACTCGCCCACCAATCCCCCCGACGAGCAAGCTAGAAGCCAGGCAACCCGTTTTTGAAATGTGCCTGTTGTTGAGTATTAAACTTTAGCATTTATTACGAAGCTCTATTCGTGCAAACCAACAAAGTGCTATGTTCTATTCATGCTCAAATTGGTTTCGCTACCACGCGAAACCTGGCGACACTCGGTTGTCATATTTTGTTTGCGGAACAGTGCCTTAAAATGCTATGCATATGGTGCAAACAGTCTGTGGAAGGAGCCAAAGCTCGTATGCCACAGGCTCGTACTTTAGCATACAAGCACTTCTTCAGTGGGTGGCACTCAGTCGAACGACATTTTAGCGAACGGAAACTTTTCATTGAAAGACAATACAGTGAATTGTCGGCTGCTGCGAAGCGGCGTTTACAGGTGGGCCGAGTGCATTAGGATTTTTGTAATGAGCCACCGCAGACTGCCGCCGCGAGCGCAGGGCGGGGGACTGGGTTAACACCCGCCCCTATTCGCTAAAATGTTGGTTAGCTCAAATGTCATTGTTCGCTAGACACCTTTCGCTCGTGTGATATGGACCCCCTCTTGAGCACAGGTTAAGAAATTGACATGTCTTGCTCTTTAAGCAGTTGGGCACCCTGACTTAGTGGTGAAGCCATTTTTGTTTGGCAAAACCAGCTGAACATACAAATACCAACCATCCATACAAATGAGAGGAGAAATTAAATGGGGGGGTGCATTCAGCCGCTGGATTACCAACTGTTAAATGACTCTTCCTCTTCGACTAGCCTTGTTTGTTCTATTCTTCGTTTGTTTTGGCATTTCATGAGTCTTCTTCAACTAGCTTATGCTTCCTCGATTTTCGAATTGTTAGGAGTACCTGTCGCCTCGCAGGAACGTTTTCTCTCTTTTGGATAGAGAGACAGATGATGAACTAAGGCACTCGTCTTCTTTTTTCTTCTATGGCCAAGGCCTCGAACACTTCCAGGCAAACTGATTTCTGTGAACAAGGACACAGAGCAGGCTGGTACGGATGGCTTGAAACACTAAAGAATAAAACTCATGGGGACGGACACAGACAAAACAGTTCTTTCTTTAAACACGAAAGAACTGTTATGTCTTGTCCGTCCCTACGTGTTTTATTCTTTCGTGTTTCAAGTCATCTGATTTCTGTGGTGCCCCAAGATGGCGACATGCTCGGGCTTGGCTTTGCACGAGCATGCGCGAAAATGTGCGGCTAGGTTTCCTGCTGTCGTCAAGTTTTTCAGATTGTTTTCTTGTTCCCATGTTCTGTGTGAACATGCAAACAATCGGAAAAAATTTACGACAGCAGGAAACCTAGTCGCTCATTGTGACGCATGCTCGTGCAAGGCCAACCTCGAGCATGTCACCATCTTGGGGCGCCACAGAAATCAGTTTGCCTGCGAGGTGTTGGAGGCCTTGGCCATAGAATAGAAAAGAAAGAAGACGAGTGCATTAGTTCATTATCAGTCTCCCTATCCAAAAGAGAAAACGTTCCTGCGAGGCGACAGTACTTCTAACAATCAGAAAACCGAGGAGGAAGCATAAGCTAGTCAAAGAAGACTACTCATGAAATGCAGAAACAAATTAAGAAGCAAAATAGAACAAACAAAGCTAGTAGAAGAGGAAGAAGACTCATTAAACAGTTGGTAGTCCAGCGGTTTAATGCGCATTTAATTTCTTCCCTTATTTGTATAGATGGTTGATATTTGCATGTTCAGCTGGTGAAATGCACTTTCAACTGCTATACTCCGTTTCACCTTATGTTGTACCGCAGAGAAGGCTAGAAGCGCGAGCTCATGACGTTAGGAGCTGCTCCTAACGCACGGGAGCTTGTGCCGCCGAGATGTGCCCTGGAGCAAGGAGCTCGCATTTGTAGCCTTTCCTGCGGTACATATCATAAGGTGAAACAGAGTATACATGAGATATTGCAGAACCTTCGTACAATAAGACTGAAAACCAACAATCGGAGCTTTACAAGTGCCCCCTCCATTTAGCATAGAAATTATCCCAAATTTGCGAATTTAATGTGCCACTGTGTTTCTTATTGTTGAAAAGACAAGAAACATACTGGAAGGTCCTTGAACACTGGGCATAGGTTCCCTGTGGAGGGAGGATCATTAACTTCCAGCAAGCATAGGATCGGCTGAAGTTGCCGCTTTAATAATCAAGTTGGGGGACGAAAAAAAAAAAATTACAAGGGTTTGTCGCATTACATCAGGAACCCAGGCGAAGCAATTCGGTACCTTGTTTCACATGTTTATTTAGTAATGGAGCTAAATGGTTGTCGTTACGGGTGCTGATTGGTCATGCATCTTTCTCTGAAAAGGTAAAAAAAAAAAAAGAAAAAGTCACGATTAATGCGGAACATCGCGGAAGCGACATACTGTTGTACACGAACTACACTTACTAATTGGTTTTCCATCTTTCCAAGTAGCCATTTTGATGGTAGATTCAGCAGCCGCGGCTTGCTGGAATTCCTTTTTCAGAACGTTTCTCACTGCTTTCGCAGCTATTGAAGAGAACTGGAGGTATCTGTGAAGGCATGGACAGCACCTCGGTCAGACACGTTCAAGGGCGAAATGGTCATACTGAAAGGGGCCCAACACTAAGGGTATGAATAGCGCGAAGACCATTCGGCATGAACTCACGTGAGTCCGGCTGTCCTCCAGTAGGTCATTTTTGGTTACTCGATTGAAAACTTCCAAGACAAGCAGCGGCGAGAATCTCCTCCACCGGCCTCTAGCAACGTGATGGCTGCCGCTGTACGGTTGGTTGCCCGATTGTACTATGGCAGCTATGGGCTTTGGTGCCTGGAGGTCCCGAAGTGGCAACGAATGACGTCACAGAAGGCGGAGTGTCTTGCTGCCGGACGTCGCGATCCTGGCGGTTAGCCGTAGAAATGCTGGCGAGAAGCACGAGCGAACGCGAGTATCGCTGTCGTCGCGGCGTCCCAACTTCCTGCTGCTGTAACTTCCGTGGACTGTCGCAGTGAGGAGCGACCTGCAGAAAAACAGACGTCTGCACTTCCATAATAACTGTTTGGACACCACCAGGATCGCGACCGGCGGCAACATGACACTTTTATGACGTCATCAGACGGAAATCGAGGGACAACTTTTTTGGACGCGGTAAACACACCAGTCGGAGGTGTGTTCGAAACCCCGAAAGTGCGATACAAAAATCCGGTTCGACAAAAGTTCGCGACATCCCTAGTTGTATTCACCCTAGCTACAGTGGCCTAGAGAGACTCGCAAAGCACATTCACACGGCGTCGATTCTTGGTCGGTATCCAAGCGTGCGAAGACAGAAAGGGAGCTTTGACCCCGCCGCGAGATCGGCGAAACTTGCTTTCGACGAGTTGTGCCTTTTTCCTGCGACACTGCGCTTTCGTATAATTTCCACGTGTTCACAACTTCTTCGGCAAATGACGACGAACGAACAGAATCCAAGGGGTGGGGTGGGAAGTCAGTTGCCCAAGCGCCCAAGCCAAGCCCCCCCCCCCCCCCCCTTTTTTCGGGTGCACACCAAAGAATGAGAGAATAGTATCTTTACAAATTCCCAACCTCCCCCTCCCCCCCCCCCAAAAAAAAAAACAAAAGAAAAAACGGAGTTTTGGATTTGCCGTTGTAGCAAGCTGGCAAACCACAGCAAAAGGCTAGCAGTGCACAAACAGCAAATCGTCCCCGAGCAAGATGGCCGCCCGGTGGCTTCACTCGCGCTGCAGCGAACAAGTCCATTCATTCATTTCATTTAGCGAATCTAGACAATATTGTTTTCTTATTAACACTATATGTTAATAATTAAATACTAATTAGACATATTCATAAAATATAATTTTGTAAATATGCTAAAGTAAACAATTGTAAATATCGCGGTCAGCAGGGGAGCCACCTAACATTTATTTATGATATTCCTGACCATCATCCATCCATCCGCAATTTAACTTTTTTGTCTGCGCATGCCCCTACGCTACCTCGTTCGCATGCCGTACCGAAACCGCCGAAACGCGCTCCTTGCAGGTGGTGTTGTCCTTGCGCGCTCTTCCACTGTGTTCTATGGTCGTGCCGGTTACCGACCGCTCTCTTGGACGCCCTGCTTAGCCCGAACTTCTGCTGTTTTATCCGTATTGTTGTTTTAATTTTAACATATTTCCACGCACAGTACGAAGTGCAACACCCCAAGTAGTTATTGCTGTAATTGGACGGCGCCAAGGTAGGTCGAACCTGCGTTCCATTCCTAGAAAGCGCAGTTCTTTTTCTTGTCACGTATTGTGTGCTCAATTGACGCAGATGGACACTAACAAGGGAGCGGGTGAGAGTACGGTCGGAAATGGAGACACGACCAGGGAAACGCTGGTGGAAAATGGCAAGAACAAAGTGCACATCGAGTGCAAGTACTGCTCGTCAAGGATCCTCAACGCAGGGATGTGTCAATTTGTCCAAACCGAGGTAAGCGCTTTAATATCTGTTCCGCTATTTTACCTCATACTTTGTTCATTAAGACTACTTTCCCGAGATGTTGGGATTGGAAGCCGTGGGAGCTGTTGCAATTGACTCGTCCCGCGCTCTCTTCGGGCAGCTGACACGTCAAGAAAACAGCGCGAGGCTCCAGAAGTCACGCTGCCTCTAGACTAGACGTTTCTGCCGTGCTGATACGAAGACGGCATCGATTAGTTCCACGTCGCAGGTCACTAGCCTTTCGGCGTCGACGTGCGCCGTGAAGATACCGCATTGATCTTTATTTTCTGTTGACGCTGCATATTTGGCCTTCGACCGGTAGCACGTGGACGGTGGTCACACTTGCAAAGCGTGCATGGTTCCCAATTTCTCGAACCAGAGTTTTGGCTCTTTGGACTTCAAATGCCACTGTGTGAGCGTAGACTATTTGCTTAAACGTTTCCCGCATGACAAGTCAGCACCACCTTGGGTGTTAGAGAATGCAAAACGTTGCACCTTGCACAATCAATAATCTCTGAGACATCCTGTATGCAAATTGTAGATATTGTTCACCAAATAGCCTCTTCATATGTCGCTCCCTAAGATGTGAAATGTATAGAAAACATAGAAAAACAATGAGTAAAAAGATAGGGCGTTTTCACATTACGTCAATCCACCATTTTCTTTGTTTTTTTTTTTAAATAAATTTACTAATATGAATGGAATACATCGCAACCTGTTGAGATGTCAGCGTGGTAAGACTTATAAGCCTCTGTGCTCGCCGCATTTAAGGGATCATGTAAATCCTTGGAATACTCACCTCCAGCACACGCCAAACAGTTCACAAGAACATAATGAGGGGCAAAATTGCGTCAATGAAAGCACCTTATGTACCAGAAAGTTAAAGGGCAACTCCACTTTGTTTAGAATACATTGAGAAAACAATGCAGTTCTTTTTAGTATTACATAGAAATACCGCATATAAATTATGTCATAATCCCACATAAAAATTATTATGTCATAACTCTACCAAAAAATTTATGAAACTGGTGAACAAAGTTTGAGATGTGCCAAGTCACCAAAATTTGACTACCTAGTTCTAGCGGACAAGGTGCCACGCGGTCAATGGCACTGTGTTGGTGCAGCCAATGCTGTACTAACTACATCAGAAGCAAACCATGTTTGTCTTGTTCTTGTACTTGACCAGACAAGCCTCACAGGTGGTGCCAGCAGCATGCATTAGCGTCCACGGGATTTGCAAACCACGCATGCAGTAGTGTGCACCCATCCACTACGTGCTTCATCGTGAACAAAATATGAGTCACTCTCTGTCTCGATAGCAATGTTCTGTGTAGACCATACTTGCGCAGGTGCCATCTGTAATGCCTAGCTGTGATGGCTAGCAAAAAAAAAAAAGAGAAAAGCAGAGGCTCTTGATATTGTGCCTGTAGGTGCTGTATAAGTTGTGCAGTCCAGAAGTTTTATTTCACAAGTTTCCTCACGACAGTGCACATCGGAACATTTCCAGACTTTGTGGTGTTTGATTGTTAAATGGAATATGTTTCAAGATCATTAGCTTTAGAAAGCAGAGCGCCGGCCTACAGACCTCCAGTTGGCGAGTTTGAATCCTGGCCGAGTTGTCCACAATTTGATGGAAGCTTATTGCAGAAAAGGTGATATGGGGGGGGGTAACCGAGATTTCAGTTGCGCGTCAAAAGGTCCCCATGAGGTTAAAATATTTCCGTCTTTTGCTGGGGTATGCCGGACGTCATCATTGGTTTGGCACGTAAACCCCCCAAATTTGCATTTAGAAGTATCAATATGTCTTTTGTCGTGCAGTGTCGAAATGATACAAAGGGTCTCTTTCTCCTGAAAGTCCTACAGTCGCAGCCACACGAGGGCATGATCTATCATACAATGTGATCTTGTTACACTTTGTTTCAACGAAAATTGAGCATGGCATGTTTCTTCATGCTCATAACAGCATATTTAGATGCAATTTGTGAGACTTCACCTTCTACTGATTTTTACGAAATATGTCTTGGGAAATTTCTGCGTTTTAATGCAAGCTGTGGCCGCTAGAGTGCAGGTGTCGTCGGATAAAGCACAGACTGCAGAGTAAAGGAGAGGACATTTGCATCCTTAAGCGCCATTCGCACACTTGCAACCGAGTACGACCGAGAGAGACAAGATTGGTTTTTAAGCTTATTGCGACGGCGTAAAACGTGCTCCGCAGCAGTGCATCCGGTCATCCGCCATCACAGGAGGCTTCAAAACCGGTCTGGTCTCGCTCGGTCGTGCTTGGTGGCAATTGTGTGAACATCGCTTTACGCTATGCCCGTCCACCCGGTCATGCAGTAGATTTATCCCATTTGTTTGTGCATGCTCCTAACAATATGAGTCCAATGTTGCCTGCCATAGGTAGAGTTCCAGTTTTGGTTTCGGATCGTGTTTAAATGAAGATTGCACAAAAAATATTTTATTTTTTTAGAAAAAACTGACATAAAGCTGTTCATTACTACCATTCATTACAAACCAGGAAGTGCATCACAGGGAAAGAATCTAGCCATTTGGAGAAGAACCAAATAGAGAACTAACTTAAACATTGGGTGCAGGTAAGCCACTGGAGAATTAGTTGAGACTTGGACATGTTTTGCATCCCACACTGCAAAATACACTTAACATTAAACTGCACATGTTAAGAAATTCGTATGCGTTGTTCCCCTTTCAGTATACTCTTCCGGCACTTGAAAGAGATGACTCTGCACAGGACCCCAAGGACAATGTGGAAAATGTGACTGACTTTTGGTGTGTCGAGGACATTTACACGTTCGAGAACATTGGATTCAGCAACACCGTTGGCAAGGCCAAGTACCTGGCATGTGCCGACTGTGACCGAGGTCCAGTGGGCTGGCACAGCCTCGAGACAAAAAAATCCTTTGTGGCACTTTCCAGAGTCCGCCACCTGTGATTGTTGCGTCTGTGGGTCTTTGACAGTGGCTGTCTGGGCTTGTAAGGAAGGGTTCAGTTTCAAACTGTGTCAATAACTTGAAAGTTGTGCAGAAGCTTGAGGGTTTACTAATTAGAATTAACTTCCCAGCCTTCATATTTACTTCATTTCTAAAATTTTGCACTACTCCACGACGCACATTTTTTTTTTTTTTTTTTTTACTTTGTACACTTTTGTCATGAATAAAGTTGATTCAACGGCAATATATGAGCAGCTGTTGTCTGCTTGCTCATTTTATTGTGTCTCGTCTGTGCTTATGGTGATGGATAATGTGGAATGATATAGGTTTTGCTACTTGTTCAAACAGGCCTGGAACACTTTCAATGTTTAGGTAGAAAAAAGGCATTTGGATTATTTGAGCTTATAAAAATTTGTGCCAAAGCTTTTTTTTTTTTTTTTCTTTCTGGATATCAGATTTTATAGGCTCGTGTGTAGAGCGTGAAGTAGGTGTGGCATTATCATAATCCATAGCAGCTTTCAGATCCTAATTATTGCCATTCATGTTTTCCCGCTAATGGTATGGTGCCTTATTGCGCAACTCGCGCAACTACGGGGTTGAAAGTGCAACTGTGGTTCCCTGCAGGAGCCAGAATTGCGCGTTCATCCCCGTAGCGTCGGCTCTCCTGCACGGCATTCGGAGTTTGCTCCTCGCGTGACTGAATTCGGCGAATAGCGGCGCCGCGCGTCGAGGTGCGGCACACTCAAAAGCAGGGGAACGTACGGCGGGGCGCGCGCAACGTCTACTTTCCTGCAGGGTGTTTGAGTCTGCTCCTCACGTGATCGGATCTCGGCGAAAAGCGGCGCGACGGCTCGTGGAAAACAGACGCGCAATTTGTTTTCATCATAGCAGTATGTGGACAGAACATAACCAGAGTATTGAGCAGAATTGATACTACTACCAGAGTTTTAGTTTGCTCTTGAAATGGTCTTTCAGAAGGACTTGCGAGCGGGAGGCATAACATCCTAACCTTGTAGTGTGCTTCATGTTGGGGTACGTACAAAAGTATAAACAAAAAAATATGCAGGGCCATTGTGTAAAGTTTGGGAGCTACTCAGCATTCACATAGGTTTTTAGTTTGTTATCATGGTTCAAAATCCCCAAGATGGTATAAAAAGAAAACAAATTACGAGCGGGATGCGGGACCATTCCAAGAAAGAACCGAAACTAGTTTTAGAATTGGTTAGGTTAGTTTAGGTTTAGTATAAACATGAGACGTGTTTGTAATACTATAAATTTAGAGTTATGATGCATAAATAAGAACTTTTGTCATGGAGGTTTTATAGATGGTAATAGAGAGACGTTTGATTTTACTGGTGTCGCCATCTGGCCGAGTACAATCGAAGCCGTGTCACGTGATTGGTTCTGCACAATATGGCAGGCACGTTGGAGGTGGAAACTCTGGAAGACGAAATTTCAAAATGCAATCAGGCGTCGGATGATGCGCCGATCTCACTTCCACCGCCTGTAGAACTTGAAAGCGTGCACGACGTCACCATCGACAGAATAGCTTCCAAGCTCCTCAAAGACAATTTCATTCTGACCGCTTTGGAACTGCACGCAGAGTTGCTGGAGAGCGGCCGAGAGCTGCCCAGGCTCAGGGACTATTTCTCCAACCCGGGAAATTTTGAGAAGCACAGCCACTCGTCGGCATTTGACGTCTCGCCTGTTCTGCGTACGTATACCGCTCCGGCCTTATTCGAAATAGTGTTGCTTTGTCCAGGCCGCTCGGCCTGCGCAAAGCCCAGCGCAGCCTGTGTGCCTGGCACAGCTACGACGCATGTCTAGCGGCAATTTTAAAGGGCGTTGCTGTGCTGGCGGGGTGGGGGGCTACTGATCTTGACACGTTTTGTCAGTCGGTTTGTTCGATTGTTGCTCTTTAGCTAGAACATCCAGCGTGCAGACGTTTGACTCGTTGGACTTCGCGAGGTACTCCGACGACGGAGAGAAACAGCTGGACGAACGAGTTGCTGGTGAGAAGTTCTCTGCCTCCAGCTTCGATCTAACCAAGCATGCACCCTTACGCGCTCGCGCGCGAGCTAGAACGATCCCTTATAACATTCAGAGTTTCTCTAGGGCTGTCTCCGATGCCCGGTGAAGGGCAGGTGCAGCCATGCATTTGACACTCTTGATCCTCTAAGGTTATGGTCCTGAAACCATTGTGACGCCTCTTAGATCTTTCACCAAATTGGACGTCTCTTTTTTTTTCTTTTTTTTTCTCTCTCTCTCTCTCTCTTTGGTATCAAGATGGCTTCAACTTTATTCTGCTTTGTTTTGCTTCTAGTTCTAGAATTCGAACTCCGCAAGGCTCGGGAGACCATCAAGAACCTGAGGGCCAACCTGACCGTTGTGACTGGTAGTACATGTTCCATGCTGCTTTGGATAATTTTGGGACCTTGGACCTTGTATCCCCTACCTTTTGTGTTTTCCATTCAGAATTTCCTTCTCCGTTACACATACTCAGTTAATTTTTCACCTATGTGTTTTGTGTGTGTTCAAATATCATAAATATCATATCTGATCAGAGTTGAGAAGTTACTCACTCTTTTAGGCTGTTGAGTAATATGGGTCCACACTGCTTCTGCTACTTACTTCATAGGCTGCTCTGCATGTTCCTTCTGCTAGACTACCTTTTAGGGTTTGGTCTTCATATTTCATTAGATTGATCAGTTCTGTTGTTATTTGTGAACAAACTGTGAATCGATTGCAAAGAGTATGTATTGTGCATAACATTACAATATATATTGCAGCATGCCTTTCCTCTTTGCTTCGTTCTGTAAAAATGTAGGCGACGAATACGCAATTTTGTTGCAATTGCTTTATGGCGCAAATGTAGCAAATCCAAGGTGCTACATAATTAAATAAAAACAAATAGCATAATGCCTGCTACAGTCTGTCCTTCTTCATTGATGTGGTAATGTATAATCAGTTAAACATAAGCCCCTGGTTGAGCATAAGAATTATGGAGAAAACATAGTGACTTTTCCCGAGACGGATTTTCTGCAGGACGAAACAAACTCGGAGAAGTCTCAAAAAGAAAAGTATGTTTTGAAAACTTGCACATATACACTACTTGTTCGTCACTTCTATTTTAACCTTGTGTGATATATTGGTGTTTGATCCTTCCTGGGTAATGCCTATGAATTGGTGGGCTGTTTTTCACCGACTTTCACTTTCTCACACAGACTGGTCTTGACGGTGGTGCGGCTTGTCCTTTTAGGCTTTCCCCTTCCTTTCTGCTCTGCTGTGTAGCACAATGGGTTTAGTTGATCAAATGAACTGGTCTCTATATATGATGCTGAAATTGAGATGACTGTTTGGAGGCATGTTTTATAGAGTTGCTCTTTGTTCATGATGCATGTATGAAGGCTAGAGAATATCTTAAGGGCACTGGATGAGCATGTTACAAAGTGATGTCGGAACTCCAGAAGTCTGTCCAGGTCTAGGACATCTGTGTAGGACGTCTAATGGTCCCAGGATGGTTAATTTATATTTTACAAGAGACGTTTGCCGGAACTGCTGTTGGCTAACATAGATGAAGTGGAAGATTTAACATTCTAAAAGACTGGTAAATGTCATAGAACTGGTTGTCATTTTGAGTGGCACGAGTGAAATAATAGCATGCTGTAAATGGCTTACACAGCACGTAACACAATTAGCGTAAACATGACACAGGTAGCTTGAACATGACGATTTTACATTAGACTAACAGTTTAGGCTGATTGTGCCTCTGGTAATAGAACCAGTTGCAAAAAATAACTTAAAGGGCTGGAAAATCATTTAATAAAGTTTTCATTTTTTTTATATAGTTTTTGCATTTCGGGTCATGTAAGCAATGCAGTGCATACAGACTTTTCATCAGTCATTTACAAAACATTATGTTCATCTGGTTAAATTTGTATACCCTGGCCGGAGAGCAGCCTCGGAAAGCAAAGTGCACGATATGTATGTTGTCTAGAGCCGCAGGTCTAAGCAAACGGGGTATGAAGTGCACTTTCAAAAGTTCATGAACAATCTATTTTGGCTGCAGAGTCGGATCCCAACACACCCGACAACGGCAGTGAGCATACCACTGTCTCGGAAGATCCATTGCGGCCCCATGAACGGAGGGCGGTAAATTTCCTGGTCAATGAATACTTGCTTAAGCAAGACTACAAACTCACCTCCATCACTTTTTCTGATGAAAATGAAGATCAGGTAAGAGAAAAAGAGCATGGATTTTATTTAATGTAGTACTTACTGTTCTGACAACAACAACTTTCTGCTTGCTGTTCGCGTGTCCAGCTTGTTGCTCGCCCTCCCGCGGTGGAAACGGGAAGCTCTTTAATGAGGGTCCCCCGATTCTGCTCAGCGGGCACAACGGGACTGCACATGATCATGGCTCGCAAAATGTTGTTTCTGAATGCAAACAACACTCTTCACTGCCCCAATGTAGTGTTGCAGCCAGTATGAGATTGTAGCCTATTAGGGAGCTTTAGTATTGCTTATAAAGGCAAATGCAAGTGCTGTGCGTTTGTGTTAGAGTTGCGTGCTCCACATTGCACATGCTTGTCATCGCCATGTGCCAGTCCAAGACCGCAATTTTGGGCTCTGCGCACGCGCAGTGTGGAACACGCAAAGCCAACGCAAACACGCAGCGCTTCTATTGGCTCCTATATGCAATCCAAAAACTCCCTAATGTTTCAATGGCTTCCAACACCAACGAAACATACTGCCATGAGCAGACGTTCAAGCAGGTAGGCGTTCCTTCGAATTGGAAAGGCTGAGATGGGCAAAACAACGACACATAAAAATGAAAGAAACTGCATGTTCTGGAAAAATTGGTAATTATGTGCGGGCCTTGCTTTAAAAAACGCACATACTTCAGCTGTCTGACTGTCACTACAAGAACCCAAAGGCGGAACCTTTGGGTTCTTGTAGTGACAACAGCATTTCTTAATTTATATGTTTTGTGAACATATTGTAAAAATTTTGGATTGATTCTGTTATTCTTCTGCTGGGAATAATGTTCAAGCAATTAATCATCTATGTTTCCAAAAACCCATTGAAAAGGCCCATAGTTTATTATTTCACCTTGCAATTATCTGAGTGAGAAAAGGCAGCAAGAATGCACAAATATCAGCACTGATTTTTCAACAAATACAATATTCTATGTTACCTCTAAGGTGTGTGAAAGACTAAAGGGACACTGAACTCCAAAATATTTTGAAGTGCCTGGATCGGAGACTTATGTCACAAAATAAAGTTTCTGCAAACAACTTCTTTAACTCAATAATTACACTGTGAGACACATCTTAAGTTAAGAAAGAATCCGAAATTAACACCTATACCGAGATATGAAATCCAAAATGAAGGTTAATTTCGGTTTCGTTCAAGAATTAAAATGTGCCTCCTGGCATAGATATTACGCTAAACAGTTTTTTTTTTTTTTGTTTTTTTTTGGATAAGGAGGTGACCTGCGCTCGTAACACGTAGAGCCACTAAATGAGCTGCGCTTAGAGTATCGGCACTCCATTCCCTGACATTGTTGTGGGTGCCGCCATTTCGGTGCTTGTGCGGAGCAGGCGCAACTGCCAGTCGTCATGATTCAAAAGTGTGACTTCCTCAGCATTAGATTCACTGTTGGAAAGTTCATGTAATATTGCTTTTATCTGTTGCAAACTTTTTAAACATTTATAAAGGACGGAAAAGCGTTTTTCGTAATTTCAGATAAACCTTCAGATAACTGGCAACAATGATTTTAAGTGACAATATGGGCGAGTGTCATTACTCTGAAGCAGGGATGGGCAAAATACATGCAAATATGTATCGAAATACAAATACAAAATACTTCGTCAAAAATGTATTTAATTACAAATCTAATTACATTTCCAAAAAAGCATTTAAGTACAAGATACAAATACAACCAAATGTATTTGGTCTCCTCCAAATACTTTTCCAAATACATTCCTCAAAATTTGCGTCAGCGACTTCAGGGCACCTGCAACGGGGGTTCCTGGGTATCTCATTTTAATTTTGCGTCACACACTCGGGAGTTAGTGTGCGAGGCTCTAGTGACGTAATAGAAATATAATCACAAAAAAAATGTAATCATCATCGACGTAATAGGTGAAAAAAAGTACAGAGCTTTAAGCAGCTCTTTTGTCGATAACATTTTGGTATAAACCAACAAAGAACTGAGACGACCAAGACGTGCAGCACTAGCTAGAGAATTTTTTATTGTTGCAACTCTCACCAGTTACGAAAATCTGGACGACCCGCGTATTTAGAATGTTCCAGGCAAAAATATGGATAGAAATCAGGCTGCAAGGCATCACAAGTTGTTACAGGCACTTATTTAGCCAGTCTGACTGTGAACGTCGATTTCGTCACTATTCTTGTCCTGGACTAGCACCGTAATCACAAAGTCACTAAACGCATGTGCTTGATTGAGAGAAACTGCATTTGGTGCAGGACGTAGTTTTCTTCCTGCTCTGTACAGTGCCTTTAAAATAAAGCCGGAGGAGGAAAAGAAAAAGCCCCATGGCTGAATAAAGGATGGAGACTATCTTTCAACCACATGCATAAAAACAAAAATTATTGTGACAATATATTTGAGGGATGTATTTTCGCCCACAAAATTGGATTTAGTTACAATTGTATTTGAAATACCCACGTTTTAGTATTTAAATACACACGTCAAATACATTACCCAATTTGTAATTAAATACAAATGCAAAATACACAAAGTATTTGAAATGCATATTTCAAATACTTGTATTTGAAATACTGCCCATCCCTGCTCTGAAGCGTAGCTTATTTAGTGGCACTAATAACGCCCTACCTTCCTTGTGTAACCAGAGATAATTTGTGTCGCTCAGTGAAGCCAGCACACTAGACAGGCTGAGCAGCGGCACACATGTTCGACCCTCTCTATAACCGCCATTTTAGAAACAAGTCGCAATTACTTTGCTGCTGTAATGCTGCACTTAATAGCGCTTCTAGGTGTGTGTGTGTGTGTGGGTGTGTGTGCATGCACGCTTGTGCAGAGGCAGATGCATATCTGGTGCAGCCATTGCCGGGCTTTCTTATGCCTTCTTGAGGGGTTAGATGCTTTTGAAATGGAGTAAATTCTGAATCCTGAGGCCTTAGTTTGGAAATACTCCTGAACATTTGTCATGAGATTTGTTTTAGAGCGCAGCTCTTAGGCGCCCGTTTCCGGCTTCAGCGGCGTCAGCGTAACCGCGCGTCACGTGACCTCACATGGGTCACGTGACCCCGGTGACGTCACGTGACCCCCGTGAGGCGACGGCGACGCCACTCGGAGGGAGGAGTAGCAGACAGGATGAGGAGGGGAGGAGAAGGTAGGAGGGGTATACCTTCCCTTCAGTACCCTTTCCTCCTCCTCCTCAAGAGCTGCACTCTAATTCGGCGTTACAGGGAGTTGTAAACGGCTTTCATTTTTTTTTAGCATAAAAACCAAAAAGCTTCTGTTGTTTTTTTGGCACGAAAATAAAAAAGCTGAAATAGTTTCGACAACAGTCATGCCCTTCTTTAGGACAAAGTATTGTGTCATGCAATGTCAAAGGAAAAAAAAATGTGTGCTGTGCTTGGGGTGGGCGACCCTGGGCGCCGCCGGCCCCCCCCCCCCCCCCCCCCCCCCCCCTTTTTTTTTGAATTTTTTTTTAGTTTTTTTGATTTATTTGAACATGGCGCCCGACACGGCGCTATATGCTCGATCGCCGTTTGTTTTTGGAATGCGGTTCTCGTCTCACAAAATGCTCATGTTGGGCCACTACTCATTTTTTTTACTAGCAATGTGATGTCATACCTAGTAGATAGGGGCGTACAAAAAAAAAGGAAAGAGGGGGGGGGGAGGCAAGGCACGGACGGAGTTCGCCCAGGGCGCTTGATGGTGTAGGGCCGGTCCTGGCTGCACTAGGTAGTTGTCCCAGCATCTTTTAGAGCAGTCCCTCATTCTATTCCTGTTAATGGATGAAGAGAGTGTTGGTGCAGGTCAAGATTGAAGAAAGAATGAACATGTAAGAGGAAGACAACATAATCACATCTTTCAATCAAAGATGTGATTGTGTCGTCTTCGTCCTACATATTTATTCTTTTTTCAATCGTAGTATTGCTGCATGCAGCATTTCTGTTTTTGTTGTTTTTCTTGTTATACAATTAAGTTTTACATTATTCTAATGTTGGGCCTTTCGTATCGAGCCATAAGCCACTATCCTGCTTAGCGACACAGTTTGTGAGAACAAAACACATTGATGGTGCATCACTTCCTGGCTCACAATGGGTCACTTTAGTGCTTGTAGAGGAACCACTATTTGAGCTCTTTCTTAGCTTGGTATTCCAGACAGACTCTCAGTTGTGTACAAAAATTGGAAACATGGAACCCCTGATTCTGCCTCTCGTTAGGCACTGTTGTATCTTGGCGTAAGATGCTAAAAGCGGGGCTCTTGCCACCTTGTTGTTGCCCACAATGTTGCCTCGGGTCTGTCATAGGACTTTGAAGACTGGGACGATGTGGGGCTCAATATTCCCAAGCCGCCAGACTTTCTGCAGCTATACCGCAACTACAACAAGCATGCTCGGCAGTGGTGTTCAACAACAGAGTGTGCAGCCCAGACAGAGGCCCTGGATGAACCAAGTCCCTCCGCCAGAGAACAGGAACTCAAGGCAGTTGCATTCGAGAAGGAAGTTCTGGTCAGTTCTTTTTTGTACTAGCTTGGCAACGGTTGCGTGGCATTTGTCTTAGCTGTGTGTACCACTCCATAGGGGAATGAACTGCTAAATTGACACATCTGTTTCTTTGAGGGGGTATGTTTACCTGGCAGTTTCTGCAGTGTGCTAGTACCTGACAGGAATGCCTCAGCTGTGCCCACAGTTCTGCTCTATCCACAGGCCTGTCGAAGGCTGTCTTTTGAAAAGCCTATGAGTGGCACCATTGCTGTTTTTTTATTGCAGTGGCTATTTGTCTAATCTTTTTGGAGCCTTTAGTATTGAAGTGTAGCCTAGTGTGGGCAAGCTCCTTTGTGTATTACATAAATATGCAGTTGGAGTGGAGAGAACTTGCATCCATTTAAAACTGGGTCCGGGAAAACTTTTCTACTTTGGTATACGCAACACTCAGTATTTGATGTAGGGCTTTCTCTATTTAATGGGGGTTTTCTCTATTTAATGGAGGACTCTCAAGGTTTTTTGCAATTAAACTTGGAGTGAGCAGACCTGATGGCCCCATTTGTTTATTGTTCTAGGAAACACAGGTGGAACAGTTGAAACTGCAACTGGAGAAAGCAAATCAAGAGAATGCAGCCTTGACCTCAGAGTTGGACAAGGCACTTAAGTGAGTACAAGTTAATGTGGTCGGCCATTGTCCCTTCAGCATGTATTTTAATTGCTTTAATTAAAAAGCTCAAGGTATTTGGCAAACCACCTGTCTCAATGAAACTCCCAGTTCTCAGGCAGAGCTGTCCTTCAAGCCGGTCTTGCCATTTGAGATCATGGCGGAAACTCTTTCTGAGATGGTGGAACCAAGTGTTCCGGACAGTCCATTGCTGACGGCCTCCAAGAGCCCCCTACGCAAAAGGCTGCCGGAAGAGAGGGGCAACTTGCCGGAAGAGGGTTCTCCCATTGATTCTACGTTCCACAAGGATGATCTCGACGTTGCAGTGTTTGGAGTGGAACAGGTCACCCCTGCCAAGTTGCGAGAATCTCGACCCATCACAACAGCAAGGTGTGTTTCTTTGTATTGCTTGGGAAGGAGGGGGGTTGACTTATTGCTCTTCTGGGATCAGACTTTATATTGAAGATGTTTCACCTGTATAGATTTGTTGTCATTCTTGTGTTAAAATCTATTGCCAGTTTAGGGTGCAGCTAGACTGGCAACCACTTGCATGCATGGGGCTGCAACACTTATTGTGAATCGACACTGCTTATGGACTATCTTTGGTCCCTGTCCGTGGGCAAGACAAAGTGCTTGAGTTAATGACGGAGCTGGGGAAGCTGATAATGCCGGAGGGCATGATAGCTGCTTTGAAAATAAACAGACTTGATTAGTTGGAGGCATTGTTCTTGTTTTCCTCTCCTGTGACCTTTCTGCCTCAGCCTTATCATGGTGATGTTGGCATGCACCTACAGGTGCATCTCTTTTTTTTTGTTTTCTTCTTTTTCTCAATGCATTTGTTTGAATGTATTCGTGTGATTCTAAGTCTTTATTAAGCATGAAACTTATAAATGAGTAATGTAACCATTTCATTCAATCTTTTAGTGCTTGCGTGTTTTGTGGCATATTAACTGGTGTATATTGAGTGATTTTTTTCAAGAATTTTATCTAATGTGCTAAGACTGGCGATGCTTGAATGTGTAGAAAGAAAAATAGCTGCACTGTTGTGATACTTCTATTCAGTGTTGGGAAGTACTTTAAGTACATTGTGCTTAAAGTACTACTTCAAGTAAGTTTAGGAAACTTGTACTTTACTTAAAGTATTTTTTTCTGGTACTTTCCATGGAAAGTACAATTCCCGACTTCAAAGTACATTCCCCAAATGTGGTTTTGTTAAATTTGTACCTTGAAATGATGCTTTGTCAACTCTGAAGAAATACTGGGAGGGATATTCTACTCTCACCAGAAACGTGAGCAGACAATGCATCGCTCCATTTGTTCTGGGGGCGGCTTTCCTATAGCTTTTTAAACTCTTGCTACTTCTCGGTCGGTCAGTGCAAGCGAGGAGGTTTAAAATATTAGGAGAGCAAAATTAATTATAATGTAGCACCTAAGACTGTGATGCGGAAAAAATAAATATTTAAGTCGAAGGAAAAAAAAAAAAAAATGGAGGAGAATGTCACAATGTTTTGAGACATTCTCTTTCGTCTTTTCCTTCTAAAACTGGCTTACACAACAAGTGCGTGTAAAGATGCACCATGCTCTCCTACTTGGACTCGATATTAAGCTGTGCTGGGTACCGAGCCATGTAGGAATTATCGGTAATGAAGGGGCAGATAAGCTAGCCGCCTCTATCAAGGATAACATTAAAATATGCTTTAAACTGCCATATGAAGATTTTAAGCCAGCTTTCAGAAGAGCAATTAATAAGGTATGGCAGTCAGAATGGGATAGGGAAATTGACAATAAACTACACGTCATCAAACCTTGTTTGGAGTGTGGGAGAGTTTCCATCACAAGAATCGTTACCATGAAGTTTTGATGTCCCGATTGAGGATTGGCCACTCGTGCTTGACACATCTGCATTTGCTTTGTGGTGAAGATGCTCCACAGTGTGAGCACTGCGGCAAAGTAGTGACTGTATTACACATCTTGTGGAATTGCAGGCACCTACATGAACAGCGACGGGCATGTTTTCCAGAACTTTTTAGATATCATCTCCCGTTTCACCCTGCCTTCCTTCTCGGTGATCAACCTCTAGTCCCTTTTTGGCGCGTTTTAGAATTTCTTAAAGTAACTGGCTACATACACCGGTTGTAACTTTTATTCATAAAATATATCACTCTCATTGTAGATATTTTAAAATGTTGTAGATTATGTTCAGTGTGTAATCTTAAAATTCATAGACATAGTAATTTTTTATACTCAGAACTCATGTTTATGTGATACACGACTCATATTCATAGTCTTATTAGATCATCAGCTACTATAGCTCTGTTTCTTCAACCCTTGTATCTGCAATAGTTTATGCACTTGACGCATTTTGGCCCTGGTAGCTCTCGTGCCATAAAACTCAAATCAATCAATCAGTCTTTTCCTTCTATTTGAAAGTTCTTTCATATTTTCGCACCCCAATCTCAGGTGTCACATTATGATTAATTATCACCAGCTCTCTTGCACAAGGAGAGGACACTCCTCTGTGAGAGAATTTGTTGTGGAAGCTACGGGGCCGACGTCATGCTTTCTCCTAGTACATGTAACCCCCTTGGGTGCAACAATCCAGTGCAAGGAGTGCCAAATTCAGAAGAGAGACTTCTGAATTTGGCTCCATTCCTGAAAGTAACTACTCTGTGGCCACTTGACTTTATCCAATATTCGCCGCTGTTTTTGAAAATAAGTCATGCACCCTAACACCCCTGGACAATGCATACCAGTTAATGAATAACTGTATAGGGGAATGAAAGGGCATCATCAAAAATTGTGTTAAAATACTTGACTTTACTTTGAAAGTATGTTGCATTTATAGTACTTTACTTCAAGTATGTTGCACCCAGTGTACTTCATACTTAAAGTACATCACGTCTCATTTACTTTGTACTTGAAGAACCTTTTAGATGTACTTTACCCAACACTGCTTCCATTTCCATCATAAGTCGTCCTGTTATACTGATGATCTTGTATGTCAGTGTGGATTTAAGGAGCCCAGATTTTGACATGTGCTGTAAAACTGTATGAACTTCACCGTAAACTTCTTGTGGACACTAAATTAGGAAGTTTGGCTGTGCTCTTTGAATCAGTTGTGTCTGCCTAGGGTATGTTAGAAAAATGACAAAACAAGCAATAAATGGCCAGATATACATCTAGGTAGTAGTTCTACTTTCCCCCACTGCATAGCTTCTCCAACGTTCACAGCTAAGATGCAGGCACTCTCCAGAACTGAAACAATGTTCGCATCACTCCCAACGGGACCACAAGGCCCCAATTTCATCCCCTCTCGCCTAGATCACTTGCTCTGTTTGTTTCCAAATGTTTTGTGGGTTGATTTGACTGGCAACAGGTGTGTGGTGTGGCGCAGGAAAATGTCGCCGGCATTTCTCGAGGCCCTGGTTAGTGTGGGCCACCCCCAGAGCCAGCTGGCAGACATGCGCCTTGCTTGGGACGTGACACATGTGGCTGCCACCGGGGATGAAGTTGTCCTAATGCTGTCCCGCTGCTTGCCTCATATTGTGCCTAATGTACTGCTGGCCAAGCGAGAGGCAAGTAGTCTTGCTTTGTTTGTTAAATTGTTAATTGTACCCTCACAATTTGTTGAACTTCGAGAGATTTTGATTTCCAAGATGCGAGACCGTTCGCTTTGAAGTAGCATTTAGGAAGAGAGTCGTTATACTGCAACACCAACAACATTTTAAAGTAAAGTAGTATTGGCGGTAAGGAAGCCATCTAGTTGCGATCCAAAAGCTTTTGGTAAAACTTGTTTTATTGAGCTTGACATGATGGCAGCTTCTTCCACACTCTTAAATGGCTGGGTATAATCAGGAATTAATCCTTTGTGATTGGGTGCCCTGGTAGGAGCTAGTCCCCTTGCTACTAGCAGCCATCAACTTGCACCCTGATGCACGGGAGAGAGACGCCTTGCTCAACCTGCTCTTCAACCTGACCAAGCGGCCGGACGATGACCAGCGACGGGTGATACTGGCAGGCCTGTTGTCGGTGGCACAGTGTCTGGGCCATGCACGCGTTGAGGCTGAGCTCTTGCCCCAGTGCTGGGAACAGGTGCGTATGCACTACAGGGAGAGAGAAGCAGCAACCTCGCCTGATCTGCACTTCACATTGTGTCAAAGGGATCTGTATTATATTTCTTGTCGAGCATGTGGCATGAGGTCCTCTGTGGGTTTGCTTCGCTTTGTCTCTTTGTTTGAATTCACATGAGTGGCTCAGTGAGTTCCTTCAGAATATACTTTGTATCATTTGAGATTGCTGCTGCTTATTACCTTGATTCCTAGCCCCTTTGTCTCTGGCATACTGCTGAATTGTGCAGTCCAGTCGCTTTGCACATTCTAATAATGGAAGTACAGTGGAATGTGAAACTTTGCATTAATCTCGGAGACCTATAGGATCACTTTCAATAATTCTTGTTATTTTATGCTCTTCGTTTGAACCACTTGTATGCTTTGTTCATCCTTACAGGGCCCCTAAAAAGAAAAAAAAAAAAAAAAAATTTTTTTTAAACAGTTTGGTTGGGACGCGTGTCAAAAAATAAATTTTACGCAAAAAAAAAAAAAAAAATTTTAGAGCAATATTGACGGCAAGAGATTTATTCGAAATTCTGCGTGCAAAGTCCATGACGTTGCGGGTCATTCTGGAATGACCATCTCGTTCGTGAATCCACCTCTCCTCCACGCGGCCGAAATGCCAAGAGAGAAAACCTGTGGAAATGAGGTGACTGCCGACTAAATCTTGTCTTGCGCTGTCAAAATTGCTCTAAAAAGATTTTTTTTTTTCTCGGTAACATTTATTTCTCGATACGCGTGCCCCTACCAGACTGAAAAGAAAAAAAAAAAACCTTCTTTTTCTTTTCAGGGGCCCTTTAAGCTGAGACTAGGGTGGGAGCTAGGTGCCCGCCGGACCAATCAGTTTCCTCCCTCTTATCAGCTGGCTCGGCTCTCCGCGCGTGGGTATGTGCTGGAGCATAATGACGTGTTGAAAGAGAGGACTGGCCCAACGAGGACGTAGCTTCCACAGCAGTTTCAGCTTAGGAGTGGACGGAGCATAGCATGGCAATCAATGGGAACTATTTTTATGAAGGAGGCTGAGGTTATAAAATGGAGTAAGTGTGGGCAACAACGGTTGTGCTTTCATCTTTAATAGTTTCACAAGCATTACGCATAGGCTTGCCTGTTTATGTTCTGAGCTGGCGTGTCAATGTTGGCTATTTTACGTCGAATATTGTATGTCCTTGACCTGGTTTGGAATTGGATTCCAGATAAGTCACAAGTACCCAGAGAGGAGGCTGCTGGTGGCCGAATCCTGTGGCTATTTGGCACCCCAAGTGGCTGTGAGTTTCATTTTGATATAAGCTGCTTGTAATTTGGGAGAATTACATATATAAAGCCAGTCAACTTGTGTTCTGGTGGAAAATTGCACAAACTTTGAGTGACAGTTGTATATGATTAATATTTTTTTACAGCGGAGCTGTTAAGGGCTAGGTTCCCAAGGATCGTGTATGTGTACGTCGACAAAAACCTACCTGGACAGCTACCTCTATCTATAAGCAGTGGCAGCAAGCACACAACCAGTATGGTTTCCGCCGTCGTTCGTAGATGGCGGCAACCTTTCCAGCTATAATAGAAGAATGGATAGTTTGGCGCGTTGGTGGGAATTCATCGTAGGAAACAGCGCGAAAAACAGACTAAGACGAAGAAGAAGCACACAGTGTATTGTGTACAGCTCCGCTGGTCTTCCTTCTTCACGACAGTGGAAAGGCTGAACTTTTTTTTAATATTGCAAAGTATGCACAGTTTGGGCCCCATGCTAATTAAACTGGCCTCGAGCCACAATCAGGGTCTTGGGAGCATGTGACATTGCTGTAAGTGTATGCATTAATAACAATTGATTTGTAAGCTATGATGTGTGACTTTTGCAGTCTGAGATTCGAAGCTCTCTGCTGCTGTCTATGCTGCAGCAGATGCTCAAAGAAGAAAAGGAAGAGCTGGTCCGGCAGGCTGCCGCAAGAAGCCTTGCCGTTCTTCTGGCATATGTCGATGACCCGGACAAGTTTTTGCAGGTGATTGCATTCATTGCCTTTGAGCTTCTTGATTTGGTACTACCCTCATCTTAGAGTAAATGATTCAAGGGAGCCAATTGTTTTTTTCTGGTGGCTGCTGTAACCATGCACTGCAGGCAGTTGACTTGGCGCTGCTCGTGGTGGCTGATGAGCAGCCAGAAATGGCAGAGGTGGCGCAGTCGGTACTGCTTCCGTCTGTGGCATGCTGGGCCCTGGAAAAAGGCCAGCTGGAGACAGCCCTGCTGACCACGCTCATGAAGCTGCTTGAGGATCATGTCCGTGTGAGTGCTTGGTTCCTCTTTGTTTCCCAAAATATAGTCAGTGACGGGTTGCGTTCAGGGGAAGCTCCTCCGACCTCTTTTCACTTTAGCAGAGCAAATGCTGGAGAGGAGGTCTTTTCCTCCCCAGCATTCACTCTGCTAAAATGGAAAGGGGTGGGAAAAGTTTCCTCTGAACTTTTAACATGTCGCTGACTATATATAGTGTGCTGTGGCCTTCAGGCACTCTGACTGCAGCCCCTCATTTACCACCTTGATTTCTTTCCCTCTGTTTTTGGTGCCTTGGTGTCAATTGTGGTGTGTCTGTTTATGTTCACTTTTATATTAGAGAGAGAGAGAGAGAGAGATGGAACTCTCAGAAACTCGCAGAAAGTTGAGTCTCCAGAATGGAAGATTTCTGGATCTTTGAATCCTTCTATACATGGATGGAAGTATACTTCTTAAAAGCAACCTTCAAGTATTAATAATTGGTATTCTTTTTTACTTTACTTGCTTGGAATTCAGAAGTTTCCCATGTTAACATTGCCTCCGCATGCAAGGGAATGTCTTCGGTTCATGAGCAAAAGATGAAAAGTACACAGGAAGCCCCCTTTACAAGGACAGACCTTGATACATGTGGTTATTGTTAGCTGTATGAGGAAATTGTTGCTGTACTCTGAGACACTTTGCAGTGGCAGTTCAGAAAAAAGGAAGCAATTCTCATGTATAGCTTTGACTTAGCAGATGTCTTGGGAAGGTGGTTGCAGTCACTAATTGTTCGCGGAATGAAAGGCCAGCAGAAGGTTGAGACCTGTCAGCCCACCGCTGTGTTGTCTCTTTTGCGCTTATTGTTTTGACCTCCATATGTGTTGGTGGTAATGCGTGACTAAATGAATACCTTAGCTCGAAACCCAGACTCTTTGTGGCCGACTGTATGCCGTGCAGGCTCTGGACATGCGCTCTGCGGACGGAGTGATGTCCCTGAGTCAGGCGGAAGAGCAGCACTCTGTGAACCTGGTGAAGGCTCTTGGAGCTGCTCTTCCTTTCCTCTTGGTTCATGTGCTGGAGTCTGCGCCGTACGTGGCTCGGCTGAACCTCCACGACAGCATATCACCCTGTTCCTTGCCAGGTAAAAGCGCTTTCACTCACCAGATTTTTTTTTTCAGAATGAGAGAGTGTTATTATTGACTTATGCTCCAACAGGACTTGCCCTTAATTTAGTAGCAAAGCAGATACTTTTTTTAAGATGCACAATACATTTTAGGACTAGTTTTCAAATCTAGATCATCACGAAAAGTTGTTACGAGACCAAAATAATACGGCCTGGCGTTTTTGCAAAACTCACTTTGTCTCTCGCCAGAAATTAAGCACCAAACCTCTCACTCCGTAATCCAGTACTCTATTCTCGTGCCAGCAGCAGGGCTTGGCTGTGTGTCGTTACAGCTACTGCGTGCTCGTGTTGCTGCATGCACATGATCACGTAATTACTATAGGTTATGTGATCGCACAATCCTATAGGTAGGGTTCCATGTTTTCGGATAAGTACGAAACACTCCAAAAAACACCCTCCGGTCAAATTCCCCTCAATTCAGATTCGTCCGATAAACTCAAAATTTCAAAATCACAACACTAAAAAAAGTGGTTATCTATGAAGAGGTTTGGTACAGGGTCAGTTAGTGATATTGAGTAGAGGCCATTCCAGTTTCCTTTGAAATCTCGTACCATTGACAAAAGGGCGTATACTGTTGACCTCCTCGGAGGTGTTGTTCAGTAAAACGGGTTATTGAACTTCTGCGCCACGACAAAAGCCCCTGTTCCAGTTTAAGGTTTAGACCCTACAATTTGGGCTTCCTAGAGGGGAGAGGGGTTCTGTTTTATAAGACTGAAAGCTATGAACTCATACATTTCATTAGAGAGGGAGGGGGGCAGCTAAAATCACTTCAGCACTCCACCCCACGCAGCAGGCGGAGTGGTGGAATGGGATGGGAAGGAAATGAATTTCCAAGCGAATATATGTCCAAGAGTTTATTGATTTTAAAGTATTGACGTATGCTGAAGCAACAATTTTTTTTAAAGTTTAGTAAGTTTAGTTGACTTTAATTCAGGACAGCTAGTCTTACCAATGGCGATGGTGCCAGTGCCAAATCTAATTGGAGAAATATTATTTGATACAAGCGATTTCTTATGCACTTAGTTCACTCTTATGTTTGGATATTTTTTTTTTTGTTTTGAAGTTTGAACAATTGGAAACGCAGCAATATTAAACTCCACATTTCCAAAAATTGGAAGTCTAACAAAAATAAATTCTGGAAAACTCGGAATGCATGGAAAATTATTCTTGGAAAAGCATGCTCCAAATTTCACCAAGAATAAACTGCGAAAAAAAGGAATCCTACATATAGGTTACATGATCGCACATACTATAGTTAAGTGATGTCATTTCACGAGATGTCTTGTAGCATCATATCATATGGTAACCTGACTCATTGTGACACCAACCACGTGACCATGTGACTCAGCCACTAAAACAGAAGCATTATTTTAATCTGACATTAACTGTAACCGGAACCAATCAAAATTCACCAGTAACTAACTAATATATTAAAGGGCAACTCCACTCAATTCTGAAATTTTGGAGATAATGAGTGATTTCACATTAAAAAGCATTAAAGGGGTCATGAAACGATTTTTCTACTTCTTCCTCCTTAGCTTTAATTCTCAACTCAAACGCGAATTGTGAAATCACGTCGTGACATTCTTCGGCACCGGTGCCATGACTCCTAGCTTCAACCGTGCTTTTTATGCACACCATAGAACTTGTCATTTGCCAGTGACGATAAGTTCCATCAGGGCACTGATTTGTCACAATTGCGAATCCGAATATTCGTCGACGGATTGATTGTTAACGAGCGCATACGTCCGAGTGACGTATTTCTTGTGTCCATGCGTGAGCTGGGCTCGGCTGACATCAGGTTGTCACCGCTGACGCGCTTTGGGAACCGCGGATGTATCATAGTGAAAAGGCGGAAAGCTTTCGAAGGAAAGAAGGCACAAAATAGTCCGCTACGTTTTCAAATTTTCGTACCGAAAAGCTGGCTTTTGACTTTCTACCCTCTTCCTTTTGGCCAACTAAACGATATGCGATTAGTAAAGTCCCAATTTAAAATCATTTATCTCAGCCCAAAATTCGTTTCATGGCCCCTTTAATAAAAGACACTGTCATTCGCTTCGTGAAAAATGGGATATATTTTGTTAAATCTTACTTTAAACATGAGCAGAAATCGAAACCGAAACTTCGGCTTCGTCGGACAACATTGGCCTTGGGGCCGTCCAAAACATGGCTACCACATGGTACGAGATGTGACGTGATCCTCCACGCAACGACGGGCAGGTTTGGAGCAGGCCACAGTTGGGGTGGGCATGTAGCAGGCGCAAGTGTCTTCTGCACAGTATTCTTCACCACATTTTGGTGTCTATTATATCCGACGACGTCTGCGCGACTGCGGCATCAGTCTGCACACATAGTGTGAACGAAACTCCGAGAGACAATAATCACAAACAGTGAGACGACGAAGGCGCTTGTGACACGGTATATGTCGGTAACGGTGGGACGGCCAGACGGCTCCCAAGAAGCGCACTGCGCAGGCACGTTACGCCCATCACGTGGACACTGCTTAGCGCCAAGAAGAATCGTCGCCGACGTCACCCGTTATGCTTGTCCGGACAAGTAAAACACAAACAAAAGGGTGCAATGTTGATGACGTTTAACTCAAATATTAGCTACGCTAACGCTGTGGCCTTGACTGTGCTGTTGATTGTGCCTCAATTTGCCTGCTAGAGTCAGCCGATTTCAGCAAATTGGCAAAGTTTGCCAGACCGTTTAAGAAATATTTAGACAGAACTAGGTCATAATATTTGACGTTTGGTCTTCCTAGGTGATGCTGAAGAGGACTGCATTGATTTGTCAAAAACAAAAATGAAGCGTAGTTGCCCTTTAAATTAATTCTGCACAGTTTTCACAAATAATGGTGAAACCTTGTGGTGGGATTTTCAATGCCATGGGCACTTGTAGAGTGCTCATGGCATCGGTGAGTGATGCTTCCTGTAATAAATTGAAGTAAAGGGTGAATCGTAACTGCCAGATTAATTCGGAATTCCGTTTTGGTGGCAATTGGCACAATATGCCCTATTTTTTTCATTCACTTGCATGCAAGAGCAAAAAGGTTTGTGTAACATGTTATCTGAATGTTCCATATAGTACAAGCTTCTTCAGAGCATGAACTTGGCAAGTTTTAATGCTGAGACGTTAGGCCAACTTCGTCCTCCCCATCTGCCAACATTCTTGACGTGAAGCATGAAGAATAGAGACAAATTACTAACCTTCTTACGGGTCTAGCGGACAGCAAACTCTGGCATTCAGTGTCACTGTTACAAAAAATAACTGCCTTAGAATAAAGTGGAAATAAATAAAAATGATGGGAAGTTTCAAAATGTTGTTGTTATGCATTAGGTCACTAAATAAGCTTTTTTTTTTTTTTTTACATTCTTGAAGAACGTTGCCTGTATGCTATTATGCGACATCCTTCGCAAGTGTAACCGGTTAAAGGGTATAACACTCGGGCTAGTTGATGTGGCTGAGGTAACTCGAAGGTAAAGAGCACCAAGACGCAGTAAACAAGTAGAAGAAACAAACGGGGCTCAATCTGTTCAGTTCTACTTGTTTGTTGTCTCTTGGTGCTGCTGTCTTTTCCAGTTGAACCGGAGAGGGGAGCTAATCGGACCCGGCGTGCGGCACCTAGGGTAACCTGGCAAACACCAGAAGATATACGGGCCTGCCCACCAGGGCTTCAATCATATGCAGTTCAAATTGTGGTCTCACAGTTTACTTTATGCACAAGTAGACGCTGTTGACACCGTTCATATATGAGACAAATGGAGAGCTGGCAGAACAAAAAAAATATCTAATGCCTAGTCGGAGTGATGGAGGTCAGTAGGTTCGTGTCGGCAATTTTAGTGCCACTGCCGAGCAATTTTGGAGGTGAGGAATGGTTTTGGCACGCCGTTGGTGCTGATTGAACACCAAAGTGGAAGTTTGGCTTTATCACCGATTGCTCACTTTTTCATGGTATGTAACATTTTATGCACCAAAATATTTAGGTGAAGCTACATCTTGCACTAACAATATCAAAGTAAAGAATGAAAACACCCCTAAAACATTTTTTTACAATAGACAATGCACCACTGAGGGGAGGTTATTTTTTTTTGCTGTGGAAGATGGTATTTTAGAGTTGCACATCAAGTGCACCAGGTTCTTCTGTAAGACAAACAAAAAAAGAAACAAAAAAACATTCTGGGTAAATGTGAGTGTGAGAGCCTTAGAGTTAAAATTAGTATACAAGCCTCTTGACCAATCAGCAGTTGCAAACACATTTTTGACTTGTTGTAACTGTGAGTTGCCTCAATTCATTTCGCCTTGCTGACTCATTGTTCGATATCAGGGCTATTTGATATCATTTATTAGGAAACGGATATCTAGCTTCGTATAAAGCAAATCGTTGAGAGGAAACCTGGTTTAAAGAAACTTGTTATTTTGGTTTGAGTCCCTGGCTGTGACTGTACTTAAAGCAGCTGTAATGGCCTGTCTTTGGTCAGTTGGAAAAGTTTGAATCTACCTTGATACTTCGCACAAAGCTGATTAATGCAGAATGCGGGGTGTATTTATGTTGTCATGTCTCACAGATTATTCAAAAAGCCAAATGGGCCAAATAGTTGAAACAGATGTAAACAGGTCACCACAAAGACGCGACATATTCTCCATCAGTCGGCTTTATGCGAAGTGTTGTGTATTAATGCGCCCCCTTAAATATGTATACGTACTGGCTTAGAGGCTGAAATCAGTCAGAATTTGTAATATCTGTACTATTTATAAATTGATTAAGGGAAACGAAGATGTAAATAGGTGTGGTGTGAGGAGCTTGTCTTTTCTTCTTCCTTTTCGTGTTTGCAGCCGACCGTCTACGGCCGTCCGAGAATCCTTTGCTCGAACCCGCAACGATAGTTGGAGACGACTCCCGAACTGCTCTTCTGGTGACTGCCTTTGACGAACACATAGGCCAGGAGTGGTTCAAGACCTGGCCTGCCTTTGACTGGCTGCTGAGCAAATTGTGAGTGACACCCCTCGTGAATCAATGTTTTTAATAGACTCGTTGCGAGATTATTTAGAGATTACGCCAAATCACAGACTGCTTTGTTTTGTTGTGCTGTTGATTCACTAGAGGAAGCATGAAACAGTTTTCATACTTTAGTGAACTATTGGTGAGGAGAATGATCTATTTTGTTAAGCTTGTTGTCTGCAGAGTTTAGCCAACACAAAGCCTGTGGACTCTATTCTTTGCGTCGTCTTCCTTATCGAGCGCGGAAAAAAAATTGGCCACTAGCGCTCCGTTTGGCTGGGACTTGGGTTCAACAAGCGCTTTACTGATAAGCCCCAGCTGAATGCTGACAGAGCGTTTGGCTAGGTCAGAAAAGTGCTGCGTCAGAAACACCGACAAATAATTAATGCTGCTGTTGTCCCTGTGGGTTTAGTAGTCAGCTTGTTCGTTAGGGGTGCAACATTTGGATCTCCTCCTTAGTACTTCCTTTCCGCTGATTGGGAGTTGGAGCTACGAGCTCCCCACCCCAGTAAAATGCCTCTGTGCGGCAAGCAAGTCGACCAAAATGCATTCCTTCCCGCATGAGAGGTGAGGCACAAAAATGCCTGGATTCTCTCTGCTCATGGGAAAAAAGCCCCAAGATGAGGCGGTGACCACTTATGCGATGAAGCTATGCCCAGGAGATGCTACTCTTTTCGGTAGGAAGTGAAGAACGTCTTGGCTGCAAGTTCTTAGTTCATTGTAGCGCATCTGGTAGAGTCAATCGTCTTTATAATGTACCCTTCCACTACAGAAATGCCCGTTTAATGAAATAAAATAAACTCCCAGCCAATTTCCTCAGTATTCAATGTGTTTTTCTGACTACTACAACAAATTCCAGTTCAAGAAATATTTCTGTTGAAAGGTGTGCTCCGGCGATATTTTTAGCTACCCCAATTAACTATATTTTCGGAATTGCTGGCCTTTACCCTTTCCGGTACGCTATTTTGTATCACGAAATTCAGAGTAGTTATGACGAAATCGGCAATTGAATATAATGCCAAAACCGACATTCAAATAACCTGCGCTTTTCAGTGCCGTGACGTCGGGGGAAGGCAGGCTTGCAAGTTGAGCGGGCCGTTTAAAAAATGAGCTATGCTGAGCATTTGTTTTGTGCTGCTGTTTGTGTGCTGGAGGGAGCTTCCAAAGCATCCGTCTGGCACGATGAAACTGCTTGTAATCAGTTGGGAACAAAGTCTACAGTTGAAGGAGTGAACCCCTGCCTTCCGCTGACGTCACTTTTTCATTGTTGCCAGTAGGGACTTTCACTTTCAAGAACACTGTGAGGATCAAAATTGCAAATTCAATAACTTAGCAGGAAAAAAAAAATATTTTGACACAATATTTGGGTTACTATTTCAGTGAAAAGGCTACAGACAAAAGCGGAATTATCTCTTGGTTGTGGATAATTGGGCTTGCTGGAGAGAAAATGGAAGACACATTATACAATAGGGCTGTAGGGTCTGAGGACTAGCAAGTGGAGAAAAGGGAATAACCCCCTGTCGAACAATAGCGTTGGTGCACTGGATGTATAAACAGAAAGTTGAGATGTCACAACGACCCTACCGGTCATGAGGGGGTTACCTGGTTCCCATCTGCCAGCTTTCTCCTGCATAAATTCGTTCCTTCACTGCATGAGTTGTAAATTTCCACAAAGATGCAACTATATGTATGTAGTGGAAGTAAACTTCAGCATGTTCAGTTACCTTGGTGGGAGATAAAAATAACTCCATACTTTGAGCGAAGCAAAAGTAAAAAGACTAGCAATCTGGTTAAAGTTAGACATAGAACTCAAGACAGGTCAAAGCTGGTGACACAACCGACACATGTCTGTTTTTGTGTCCCCTTTTACAGCAGAGCTGTTAAGGGCTAGTTTCCCCAGGATCGTGTCCGTCTGCACAGAAATGTTGACACAACACTCGGGTTGCCGCCATCGCTCATAGGTGGTAATAGCTGTCCAGAGTTTTGTGTTTGCTGGTTGTCGCCTTGCCGCCGTTGCCCATAGATCGTGGCAACCTTTCCAGCCTTTCCACTCTGGCTTGCCGACTTGCAGACGGCCATTACTTCATTCCCACCACAGTACAGCTTCGCTGGTCTTCCTCCTTCACCAGAGTGCAAAGGCTGAAAGTTTTTCTGTCCTCCTTCTTGGGATGTCTCTCATACCTTATTTTATAGACTCGGTGCAGGAAAGCGAAGCCGAGCAGTGTTTTCTTAGTCTCGGGATTTTCTATCAAACGTGAATTCATTGGCAGCCCAAAGTTTTCCGAGGAACGAGTTTTGCAGAGCACCCTGCATTTTTATAAGATACCGAAGGGGAATTGGGACTCGCAGCAACTTGTTTTCTTGTCTTGCAGCATTCCCTTCCTGACAAACATTGCAACGAGCACCAAGCCTCATAGCCGCTCTACTGTTCGTGCATTGTCCGAGCTAGTGAGGAATTTTTGCCAGCTCTTTGGTTGCACCTTTACTCACTCAAAAGTCAAGCCTGCCTTCTCCGCCCTGCTTCCACTGACCGGTGCTGTCCCTTTTGCATTTCCATGCTGCAGTTTACATGAATAACTGCAAGCTGCGAGTGTTCGGCTCGTACTAGGCTGACAGTTTTTGACCGGTTCCTTGTGCAGATGCCTCCAGCGTCGCATCCAGGGAGGCACTGACGAATGCCACAGCGCCCATTTATGCGTGCGGTGTGCTCACAGCTTTTTGTTCTGTAAGTGTGACATCAGCCCAGTGTTGTAGCAGCTGGGAAATTGACTGTGGCACAATGTTGCAGGAAACTGACCGTAGGGAATTGGTGGGATTCCTGAAGAGCCTCCTGTTTGTTGTGTCCCTCTGTGATGTCTCCTTGGCCAGCATACAGAGCACCCTCTTAGAACTTGGGTAGGAAACAAATGGGCTTGCTTGGTCTTGTGAACATTTGTCCAGGGTTTCTTTGTCTGCGTCATTACGTGCTTTGTCGTTGTGTGTCTTTGGTTCTGCGAATTGATGTTTGCTCTCTTGAAAGCAAGACTTGTGCAATGCCGAATTGCTAACCTTCAACGTAGAAGTTCTTTTTTGCTGCGACTGCCTGGCTTTTCAGTTGCGACAGGAACCACCAGGAGACGCTGCTGGCAGCACTCTGGGAGGGTGTTGTTCACGCATCACCGCTGGTGCGTGCCAATGCCGCTCGCCTCTTCGAGCTGCTCGTTGCAACAGTGCCGGACACACTTCTCAAGAACCGGGTTGCCCCTGCACTTGTCACTCTTGCAAGCGACCCAGAAATGTGGGTTTTGTGCTGTTCTGTGGCTGCTGCCATTCTTGAATGTTTTGCAACAATTTATACTTCTTTCTTTTCTTTCTGTTCAGTTCGGTGAGAGTGGGAACTGTGAGGCCATTTGGAACCATTCTGGCATTGAGTACCCAGAAAGAGGCAAGTCTAGTGTAAATCTCTGGACTGAACAAAAGTGAACACTTTAGCAGAGCAGCAAGAAAACATGGGTGCCCCCAGGAAAAGTGTAAATAGTAAAGAGCATTTCAGGGGTATTGTCTTTTTCAGACAATACCCCTGGCCTTTGTACTAGGTTTGTTACATAAATCTGTCCCCTACCCAGAGGGGAACATGTAGATAAAAAAATTGTTTCATTTTCCTTTAAGCTCCTTTTATTGATACTTGCCTCGATTAGGCATGGTTTTGTATATTTGAGTGTTACATTATTTTCTTATTTCAAAAATTGTTTTACTTCCAGCTTTTAGACAAAGCATTCCTCCAGCTGCAAACATTCCTTGAAGATCCCCAGCATAGGGATAACCATTGTATGCAAGTTGAATTCATTCAAATGTTTGCATCGCTCGGTCCCAACACGGAGCCTAGGTTTAGGGACGAATGTGAGTGCTCCTAAGCCATGTTTCCTCTGCATGTGGATGATATCTGGTGCCATGAGTGTGATGCCATGCTGCTGTGTGCAGTCATCCTTCCCCATCTGGCAGTGCTGGCGATAAGGAACAACCAAAATGCCAGCGACTCCTTGAGAGCAGAAGTGGCAGAACTTCTCCTTGAAGCCTACACTGCACTTTCCTGCACTTGTATCCTTTGTCAGGATATTATTGCTTGGAGCAAAGATGGATGTTACATCCGATTTATTCTCAAGGCAGAAGTTTAAGTACTACTACATTTTGGTGAGGCTTAAACTCGTCGTAAATTACGCCCTTTTTGCCTCGCATAAACTTCCAAGAGCTGTGCGGACATGCTAAAAAAAAAGTATTTGAGAATAGTGCTATGACTAAGTTACATGTGCTGGAAGGCTAAACTTTAGGTACTGGGATACATTTTTCTTTGATGTAGCAGAACGTTTAAAAAATACTTCTGCAAAATCAAAAGTATCCTAAAATACATACTAAAATCCGTATGCTGAAATACTTTTTCCTCTCGAATGAAGTTATGTTCAACAAAGATTATTATTAATGCAATATAGTGTACACTACAACCTATGAGGTGTGGCTTTTAAAATACCAGACTTCAGTTGTATAGATCTTTTAATCTTGATAGTTATACGACTGGCTAATGGAGGGCGCTAATGCACTTGCTGCCATTGCGTGGCTACAATATAATTGGTTGAAATATCAACATGCTCTTGGCTGTGTTGGTTATGTTGTTTTCGCTTAATTTTGTGATGCAAATGTGTTCTTATAGCATACAGTGGAAATGAGCTACTTTGAGAACCTCCAAGTGGTTTCGAACCTAAATTGTGGTACTTCTTTACAAACACCTTATGATGCATCTGATCTTCGTAGATCAGCCAGGTTTGGCGACGAAACCACTGAACTGATGCAGGAAAGGGATTAGCATCATCTAGAGCCGTACCTGCTGACCCGTACCTGCCGACACTAGTTTCAAGATAAATAAACTAATGAAGAGGCTAATGCTTCGATGCATTAGTCTCTTTCTTAAAATTGTTACAAGTAAATTTTCATGGTTTATTCTGGTGTTAGCTGGGCAAAACCTGCATCAGTGTACTTCACACATTCCTTGTTTTGTGGCACACAAGCAAGTATGCAGCTTTAGAAGAAACTTTCCTTGAGTGGATGCTTGTCCAATTAAAGCTATATGCAGAGTTCTGCTTTTGCACTCATGCTTTGGTGCAGAACAGCGCTCTGGAGCCCTAAGAAACCCCTTGAGATCTGCTTTGAGTGACACCGGGGGAATATTATCATACTAAGAGTTCAGAAGGTTACAGACTTTGCATGCAATAACGCACACACTAGGATGAGTTCTGTATGTCTAAATTGGTTATAACAGACCTTGATAGTTGCCCAGATTTCAGTTTGTTGTAAAATGTGTATGCTGTATGCAGCTGGGAAGCCTAACCAAACTTCAGAAAGCACTATGTTATATCCAAATGTCTGTAGTAACGAGTTTATACTGAATCTTCATCTTTCGTCGCGAAGCAGATGGGAACGACACCAGCTACACTCAGTTTTAGCGTAACTTGGTATATGGTGAAAGATACAGCACCAGTGAGCCAATAATGGTGTTAAAGTGAGGCATGGTGGCAGTGCTCTCGGTCGGAAGGGTGTCTGGCGCCTCACTCCGATCGGCTCACTGAGCCACAATTTTGCCGTTTACCAAGATAGACTGTGTTGGAGTGTGGGCAGATCTTTGTGGCTGACAGAAACGAGTCCCTGATGTGTGCATCCAGACATTCCAGAGCAAGTGATTTCAGAAGCCTTTCTACCGGGACTCCGTTGCCTGCTGGAAGATGCCCGACAGGTGGCGCCGTGTCACGAGGCCGCTGTGGCGGCCATGATCGGCAACTTTGAAGCCAAGCTGGATTGCAGCAGAGACAGGTAGGTACATGCGCTGGACATGGGCTTCATAGTGTGGTTCATCGCACATATAGTAGATGCGGGAGTACTGGATACTTCCTGCATTCTATGCTAGTTTACAGCCACTCGCTGATGAAGGCTGTGGTATCATGGGGCAAGCATGTCATGCGCCTGTCGCCTTTTCTCTCGCCTCGCTTGTGGCACCCCTGGTACAGTCGGTTGTTTGACTGCTGGGTCAATTTATGGCATTGAATTGTATGTTTGGATTATAATTTTGTCAGTATTGTCTGGAGTAGCTCTGCCATATGTTACAATCATGGACTTGTACTTTGAAAATCACTTTCGTCCATCTAGCAAAGATTTTCAACTTGCCTCGATTCTTCGCATAAACTCGAGAGACAAAGAATGCATTGTGCGTGTCTTAGCCTCCGACTTTTTTTGCCCCTTCCTAAATGTGACCGAATTTTTAGAAGTTTTAGACCTCTTTTGTGTATTACCATTACCTTCCGAATTTTTGGGGCTTTTAGAATTGTCGGAGACAGCACACTCTGCATCTCTCAGCATTATGCAAAGAATCAAGGTAAGTTGCACATTTTTCCCATTAAACCACAATTTGAATCACTGTACTTTTTTTCATTGGTAAACAAGAAATTATGGCTCGGTTTACTGGTCTCCTGGTGCTCACGATAGGCTTTTGGGCCAGCTTCTATAAGCCTTTCTTGCGTCATGCGGAGTCGTGATTTCACATGTGCTCTTGTGGCATCTTGTAAAGTCATACGACATGACCACTTAACTCTGGTGTATCATGCGGCTACTATGTAGTGGTAACATAATTATAGCTTGCATGGTCGTGTGACATCATGTCACCTCTCCCGACATTGGGACACCAAGACTACATAGCAACTGTAGCGACACTCAGCCACTTGGCTGGCGCAGAAGTAGAGCAGTAGAATACAAAGCAAAAGCTCTGGGGTTTGATCCCTAGTGAGGTATGTATCTCTGCGATACTTTCTCATAGCATTCCAGATGGCCAACCAACCCATAAACACATTTTGTGCTAAAAGTGGGGTCATGTCGAAAAGTGACAATAATATGGCACTTTTCCCAGAGGAACCCATAATGGTGTGGCTGTAGTTGATACTATTTTCTTTGGAATTGCCCATCCTCACAGGACATCATCGCTGACATCGCCCATAGCAAGCATGGAAGAGATGAAACGAAAGATGACCAAGATTTTTACCACGCCTCCTGCCAATGCTCGTGCCAACTTGCCAAATATCTTCCAGTTGCGTAAGAAATGAACTGGTGAACTTCAAAAACCGACAGGACAGCACAAGACAAAATCTCGTGGTAGGCATTCCTTCCTTTTGCCCACTTTATCGTGCGACATACTTGTGGCTAACCCAGCCTAATTTATCCCACAGTTCCAACCAGGCAGTCTGCAGCAAAGAGGCATCAACACTAACATCTGTCCACCTCTAGTCCTCACCACAAGAATGACTTGAAAGAGGAGTGTATTTTAAAAGCTTACAGCACGCGAAACTAACATTTTTTTTTAGACTGCTGCAGCTTTGACACAAGCCCCTTGCCCAAGGTTGTGAGACAAAGCCCATAATGGAAAGCTTACCAGCATTCTGCCTGCAGCTTTATAGATAGCTATCTCGAAAACAGAAATTATGTAAATATAGATAGGTTGTATTTTTGGATGTTCTTTATACAAGCACAAACTATGCGAGATGTAATAAAGCCAGTCTGCTGGTGCTGTTTCAGGGAGCAAGCATTGATGGATTACATTGTTAATAATGAAGGCAGCACAGAACGGGATGGGGAGCCTCCATATCAGAGCAAACACAATGCGGGAAAAAAAATTTATGCACTTCGCCTCCGTTGTTTTTTTTTTATAATGAATGTGTAGATTGCAAAGGGAAAGATTTCCAAGGCTGGTACTTGGAGGTGCACTCTCGATTTTATCAACATTGTTAGGCTTTTTCTAACACCACAACAAGTTTCTTCTGAAGTGTACATTTTATTTGTGAAACTAACGAGTCACTTCATTACAAGTGTTAAACATAGCATCATATGAACTCTGCTTCAAGATTACCACGGTGCATAGCAGTGGTGCTACATCACGAGGTACGACGCTCTGCGAGTAATATCTACGTCATTCCTCGCACTAATGAAAGAAGGCCAACAGTTTTGATTGCAGCGAACACAAAAGCAGTTTTTGTCAAGAGTGTATTGCAATACAAAATGTAATTTTCAGTGCATTAAGTAAAGATCCCTTAAGTAGTGTTTTAACTCCTATTTAAAAAAAAATACTTAGGTCAGCTTGTAAAACACCACCACTTGGCACCCTCAACATCTAAAGCCACGGGACCTATATTTAATGCATTCATCAAAATAGACTGTCAAACCAAAGTGCAATAGAGAAAGCTTCATTCAAGTTGCAAAAGGAGAATGTATGACTGTGGGCAGGCACATATCCATGAGAGGGAGGGAGGGAGGAGGCCACCAAGCCCGGCCCCCTCTAAATCGTGGCTACGTGCCTGACTGTGGGACTGGTTGAGGGGTTGCATGTAGATCCCTACTATGCTGGATACACAAGCTATGTTTGGGGCAAAAAAAAGTTGGGGAGCTTGTTTCCCTCAGAGCACAAACAAAATGGCTGTAAAATGATAAACCAAAATGTTTGTCTCTAATAAAAAAAATTGGGTAATGTGTATGATGCTGGCCATGTTTATACATATTACATATGTATTGAATGTAACCTGTGAAACAGCACAAAAGTAAACAACTTTTTAGAAAATGCATCTCTTTAGCACTGCTGAGGCAATTGTATGTAACTGTATGTTGCTTGCTCGTTTGCAATGCTTGGCAAAGGACTACACGGGCAAACATCAAGCTCCATCTCGGGCTATGAGAAACAATCAGCCGAAGCCACTGACAAGACCATTTTCGTGCAGCATGCATGAAGAACACTGCTTCGAGCCATGAAGGCGGCCTTTAATATTCGCAAGCCGAAAAAGGTTGGCTTACACAGGCTTAATTTCCTTATGCTGCGTTATGAAAGGTTACGTCGAGACATCTGTGCTTCGTATGAAGCATGGCGACCGGTGTAAGGAGTACACTTGCACGTGACATTCGAGGCACTGATTTTCCGGTGTCTTATACATTGGCTGCGCACTTTCCGATTTGAACTAAAAGACGGCAATAAACATCTGCCCTTGACAAATACAAAAACACTAGTGGTTCATTATTTTCGGCTCGATTAAAACCTCGGAACACCACTCGTTGAATGTTTTCGCCTTAAGCGCGATCCAAACCAACGCTTCTTTTTGCGCCTGTAGGTCGTGCGGCTGCGGATGTGACGCATTTCCTGACGTTTTTGCTGTTTCCGGGCGCGCTTTCCGAGTCAGAACCGTGCGCTTTGGTTTGGACGGGCCAGCTTCGGGCGAACGCGCACGCGCGCAACAGACTGGCCGGTTAGGCCAGTCTGTCACAGCCAGAAGGCGGCGAGAGAGAGAGAGAGAGATTGCTTATGTTGGAAGAGAATAAAAGTGGGGGGAGGAGAGGGCCAATTGTGGATGCGCACCGGGCGCTTTTGTCACTTGCTCTGAGAAGGCGGCGAAGAAACGCGGAGCCGGAACTAGCTTGCCCTCCACCGATTGGCCGGGACACAGGAGCACCCTACTACGTCACCACGCGTTTTTGTGCGCGCCCGGAAGGAGCGCTACGTCACGAAAATACGTCGCATCCGCAGCCGCACGACCTACAGGCGCAAAAAGAAGCGTTGGTTTGGATCGCGCTTTAGCGATGGCTCTTTTCTTCGAAACTCCTCCCCCGTAATGGTTCGTCAAACATTCTCGTAGATCCTGCTTCCTTCCAAGGTCTATTCAGCAGCTGCTTGCTATGGTTCTAAGGAAACACTGCCAACATCAGTGTGGTCCAGGGCCACTGACCTTGGAGAATGTGCCTCTTTGCCTAGGAACAGAGGTGCATTCATTGTTATGGGTTCAGTTTTGAAGGGCTTCTAGTTTGGTTTGATGTCGCCCAGTCTTCAGTTTGCTGGAACTGTTCCACTTTTTTGGATGGGGGAGGCAAGGGGGGCAGCTGACAAGTGAAAGTGTTCATGTTCAATCAAATTTTTTCACCGATGATTGCCGTTTTTAGCCTTGTCGCGAGCTGTCCAGCCGAAATACAGCGGCGTTTAAAAAATAAATACACAGAAAAACGTCCACAGATTTTTCTCAATAAACACCGCAAAATACACACCCTATTGTCCACACTAGGTGCAGGCACCATGCATGTGCAAAAACCAGATTTGTGCAAAGCGTCTGTGCCATACCAACAGCAGCAGTGCAACATCAAAGCCGCACGTTGGTGTATGCCTTTTGAGCTTTTGAAAATATCTGCTGGAACATCTTTTTCAAAATTATTCCACACAAAAAAAAAAGAGGGGGGGGGCGACGCTTTAGCATGCTATTTAAACTTTTGTCAAGTTTCTTTGTTGTCAGAAATTATCACAATTGGTTATACGCTTAAAATGGTTAAAGGCCTGGTCCTACCCAGAACTGCATTTCGACCGGTCCTCGACAAACAGTGACTGGGGTTGACCAACAATGCTTCTGAATTGCGTGGTGCCAACACAAAGGAAAGAAGATACATTCGCATTGCGCAGTCCTTGCCTGTCTTGGCTAACACAAACGTGCGAGGAGACATTTAATGTAATGTTTAAAAGATGAAAATATACAATGCACTCTGCGCAACTTTGTAGGCCAAATATGCAACCATCCTAGGTTCACATGCTGAATCTAACAGGTACCAGTAACAAAAGTACAATCCAAGGTATGGCCCCAGCTTTAACAAAAACATCTTTGTCCATTGCACCGTAATGACTTCCCAAGTGTCAGTCAAGCCAAATTTAAAAAAAAAAAAAAAAAAAAAAAGGGGGGGGGGGGGGGGGGGGGAGGGGGGAGATTTTCTCCCGACAGAGTGACTGGCTTGCCCAAGTCCATGGCGGAGAGGAAAGCAGCACTCAAAATTCTAGGGCAGCCAGGATGTCGTCGGCGATGCCTAAATCGCGAAACTCTGTGCGTAGGCGCTCCTTGTGCTCGCGCTTTTCTTCGGGTGTGGGTGGGATCGACAGCAATTCGCGGCACTTCATCTCGTACTCTGCAGCACTGGGGACCACGGCTCGGACAAGGATCTCCTCAGCGCGATCCATCTGCACACGCCTCACGCGGCACAGGGCCTTCATCACCGCCTGAAAAATTATTGAGGCAAGGAAAGATATATGTGGAAACAAGAATGTGCGTTTTCTTAATTAATATATGGAAATCTAGTTCCTAGGCTACTAAGAGGATTACAAGATTTGTTTCGGAGGTGCAAATATCAGACTTTTTATTGCATATTGAATGTACATATTAAAATTTTACTGGAAATCGGTTCCCCCGACAAATGGCCATCCACGCTGATTAGTCAAACAATATGAATGCAGGTACATTTTAAAGATCTTGTTGTTTTTGTTCTTGGAGTGTAAACGCTCTCCTTCATTTCGGAGGTGCTGCGACTGAGGTTCCTGAAAAACTCCACAGTCTCTTATCTGCCAGATAAGCCCATGGGTGTTTGTGCCTTCAAGATCAAGCTTGATCCACATCGCCTGCTTTGGCGCAGCTGCCTTACACTTCGCCCGCGGGGCATCCACATCGATCACGATAGCAACATTGGCCATCTCGACTTTTCTTGCAGATTGATGTCCAGCGTGGAACAGCATGATCTCGAGCAACTTTGAAAAAGGAATCTGCGTCGTCCGCAGCTTTAGATAGTCCGCACAGCTTAGAATAGGAACTTCTGAATGCATAGCCTGCATACTACATTCCAAAAAATATGGTACTTCATTTGTTTGAATATAGGTAGAGGGTTTCTTTGGCTTTGCCCTTTGAGAGGGGACATGAGTCTTTGGAGCCAAAAACTGCCTAAAACTGCAGTCTTTTGAAAATGGCGATGGCTGTTGTTCTTCTGAATCTACCAGACTTATAATTTCATAGATGAATATTTGAGCTGTAAATCAATTTATAATGTCTATGCGGGCTGAATGTAATGTGCGTTGAAGTTGACTCTAAAACATTGTTTCCACAAAACAATTTTTGGACTTGTTAAAAATTTCCAAGAGAGCAGGTCGAAATATAATTTCTACTGAAATGTGTAGCTAATTATGTGAAGCATACAATGTTGAGAGCAGATTTTTTAATATAAGTCTAGAAAATTTTCTATTTGATCTTTTGTTTTATTACTTGTTAGCCATGCATTGAGCACTGAACTTCAATGTGAGGTAAAATCACTAATATTGGGTTTATCTTAAAAGTACTTCCAACATTGTATTCTCTACACTTCATAATATCCAGCCATGTGTTAAAAAGGATATTCTGTTGAGCAGTTTTTTTTTTCCCTATTGTTCCTCCAAACAAAGGCAGGCAAGTTTTAATTATCTTGAGGACAATTCTACTGACTGAGAAAATTACCAGATATATAAAATCGGCACAAAAAATTGAACAAGCTTGTGCAGCTTCATTCGGTTTGGTCATAAGATAAAAAAAAAAAAAAAAAGCTCCAAGACCAGTGTTCCCCCTTAAAATCCGGGATCAAACTATAATTTAACCAAAGAAGGCAGGCCTACAACAGTGAGCAAAAATTCCTAATCCATCGAGCCAACCAAGAGGCTCTGAAAAACATTTCCTAGTCAGTGACAGGTTAAGAGTTCAGGGGAAACTCCTCTTGCCCCTTTCCCCCTTGGTGCGAACGCTGAACAGGGTGTCGCCTCTCCAGTGTTCGCTCTGCTAAAGTAGAAGGAGCTTTCCCTGAACTCTTAACCTGTCACCGACTATTCGCATCTCCAGTTTGTTGCTCGCCGTCCCATGGCGGAAACGGGAGGCACTCTAGTGAGGGTCCTCAGATTCTCCTGCTCAGCCGGCAAAGCGCAACAACAACGCACAGCAAGCGCTGTGCGTTGTTGGGTGCTCCAAGCTGCGCATGCGTGTCCCTGCCATGCACCAATTCAAGACTGCAATTTTGGGCTCTGCAAGCGCAGTGTAGGACATGCAAAGCTAAAGCAAACGCAGCGCTTGCGTTCGCTCGTATACGCAATACTAAGACTCAATACTGTTTCCCCGGTTTCCAATGCCAACGAAACGTGTTGCAGTGAGCAAGCAGGTATGCATTCCCTCAAACTGGAAAGGCTGCGATTGGCACAACAACTGTGCATAGAAATGAAAGGAACTAAACGTTATAAAAAAATTGAAAACTACAAACTTTTTGGGGGGGGGAGTGATTTAGCTTCGAAGGATATTGGCGGCGACTTTGGAAGTTATTTCCTTTTGTCTAAAGTCGCGACTGTGATAGCCCAATATGCTTTACCCACAATGTAATTTTACACGCGTTTCTCACATTAGCTGTTATTTTATAGCTTATTGATTAAAAAATGCTGCAATTGGTACCAGTGATGATAATTCACAAACTTGATGGTCATACTTGTTTGTGCGTTTGAATTTAGGTTCATAAGCAATGATTTTTATTAGAGCTTGAAAATTATATATTAAAATATGTTATTTTATTAGAGCTCGAAAGTTATGTATTAAAATATGTTCAGCTTATTATTATTACTACAAATTGCATCAATGTATGCCCCAATAAATGCCACAATAGCAAAAATATGCCATTTAATCATAAGTTTTTTCAGAAAGGTATCATTTTGTTTTCTTTTTAGGATATGAAAAACTGACATCATCATCAAGATAGACAAACTCTGACTGGATATAATATAAAGTCCTATGCGTCACACATTGCTTTAAAAAACACACACGCTTCAGCAGTCTGACTGAGATTTCGTCTATGGGGTTTTGTAGTGAGAACAGCATTTAATTCATATGTTTTGTGAACATATTGTGAAAACTGGATTTTTTCTGTTATTTTTGTGTTGGGAATAATGTTAAAGCAATTAATCATCTAGATACCTAAAAACCCAATAAAAGGCCCACAGTTCATCATATCTTGCATGACAATAGACCCTTTCCGGAATTCAGACTGGCAACTTTTATCAGTGTCATCATCTGAAAAATGGCAAATGTGCTATACTAATGGCGGCCTTCTGTTTAGTGATGAAGGAAGAAGTTGAAGATGCTCCTAAGCAGATGATTCGATTCCTATACATTTTACACATAAGCGCGGCGTGAAGCAGGAATTGGATGCAAGAGCTGTGTAAGCGTTTATTTCTAACTGCTCAGTCCATCTGTCAGTAGCACACACACGGTTTCAAATCCCCTTGATCTATAGAATTTTATCAAAATGTCTATGTGGGCTGGCGCTTCGTTCTGACTGGTTACATCTTTTTCACCATCGACACTGAAACAGATTGAAAAAGGACAGTACAGTGAAACACACGCTCTCATTTACCGTTGACTTGCGGAAGTGACGGTGCCCCATAAAATACTGCATACCACAGGCTCATTACCGCCATTAGTACGGTAAAAGTTAAACTGCCATTTGAGTCACCAGATGGCACTGAATTCTGGAAAGGGTCTATTACCTTGGCTAAAAAGGCAGCGAGAACGCACAAATATCGGAGCAATTTTTTCAACACATACAATATTCTAGGTTACTTTTAAGGTGTATAAAAGACCCTTTCTTCAAAGGGACTCTGAACTTTCCAGAATATTTTGAAGTGCCTGGATCGAACACGTATGTCACAAAATAAAGTTTCCGCAAACAAGTTCTTTAACTGAATAATTGTGATGTGAGACACATCCTGAGTTATAAAAGAATCCAAATTTAAGACTTATACCAAGAAAAAATAAATCTTAGTTTCGGATTCGCTGCAGAATTACAACCCGCCTCCTGGCGTAAATATTATGCTAAACACCGTTTTTGTTTTCCGGATAAAAAGGTGACTGCGCTCATAACACCTTACCGTCCTTGTATTAGCAGAAATAGTTTGTGTTGCCCAGTGAATTAGCACACTAGACAGACTTAGCAGTGGCATGCATCTACGACCCTGACTATAACCGCCCTTTTAGAAAACTAGTGGCGCCACCTATAGTGAATTGAAGTTGCAAATAGATACTGATGAGTCCTGCTTATAATTCCCCATGACGGCACACTAAGGGTCCCAGAACCTAGCGCAAACCTACAATTCGAAACATTTGTATCCGAACATGGGAAATTCAAAATTTCAAAGCTCGACATTTCAACACTCCAAATCATGTATTGATGTCGTTTCCTCCGACTAGCCAGTTAAGAGGTTAAGCAGGGGCCCCAACCGTCAATATGCACCTGCGTCCTCTTGAAAGCACAGTGCAGAAAAAAAAAAATGAGCCCGTTTCTATACGACAATAAGCTTCTGAGTAGCGACCTACACCGTCGTCCTTGGAAGGCTTCCGCAGACCACAGGGGATTAAGCGTTGCCGAACAGAACAATGAATGTTCATTCTTCTGTTCGACAATATGGTGTCTGGTCTTTGAGGGTCCTTACTTTCCTTTGAGCACAGTCTTCTGTCCAGGCGAGCTGCCTTGAAGCTACCATCATCACTTCCACAGTGGGAAAAGCTATAGATTACTCTTCAAAAACCTTTTGTTGCCATTCCCAAGAGTTCTTTCAGAGAGCTTTGGCAAAAAGGGAGGAGCTAGCGTTCTCATGCACTATCACAATGTTACTGGCTGTTGCTCCCACCTCTTGAGGTCCCCGCATAAGGACACAGAAAAAACGTTTTGCTTAGACGAAGGCACTAAAGCCTGTTTCCCATGGCCACACTGAATGGCAATGATTTTGATTCCCGGGATCAGTGATTAGTATTTGTTTTTGTATGGTGTTGGAGCCGACCAAGTCTTGCTTGCCTGTTTCAACCTTATCGGATACATCACTCCTTATGCAGCTCTGCGCAAATGGCAATATTAAAAAATATTGCCTTTAACTTATTTAGTGCTTGTTTTTATGCTTAGATGTTAAAAGCAGGCTAAAAGAGTGCTTGGGACATAGTTTGATAGAATATTCAATCTTATTTTGTATGCCTCATTGCACTACGCATTCTTGTGTAGAACTTTTAGGCGAACGTTTCGTATAATAGTCCACGGACATATTTTCCGTAGCAATCTCAAAAGCTGTAACTTCTCATGAGGATCTGAAAGAGACCAGTTGCCTAATTGAACTTGGTACCAGTGATGAGAGGTTCTGTCACTCATGAGTAGGATCCCATGTTTTCAATAAATACAAAA